ACCTCTATAGCGCCCTGTTTTATCATGAACTTGAAATCTTTGTTAGCTTGTTTAGTAGTAGTTTCTATTTCTCCCCCTTTTACTATCATTACTGGCATCTGCATTGGTGCTGAGGGGGTTTTGGGTTTTTCTTCTGCACTACTATAGGGTGGGGGCCTCTCTGGTGAGTCCCTTTGATCTGCCCACACAGCACTTTTTACTTTTGTAACCATGGCTGCAGCTACCCTGCTCCATTGTCTCAGTCTATCTTCTGCTTTTTCTATTTCTCTGTTTGCTGCTCCCTTCTTCCAAACCCCAGTTTTGTCCCTATTTTGTCTGGCCAGTGCCAAATCTGTATCTGCTCTTTTCTCCTCTGTCAAAAGTATGTTCAGTAACTTTCCCTGATTTTTAGTTGTCTCTGTCCAGCCATTTAGACCTGAGAGATATGTCCACTGACTTTCTAATGTTTTACTTATTTTCTTTCTGTCTTTTGGTTCGGTGTGATGTATTATCTGCTTACAGATACCATCCCACGTCTCTTTATATGTTGTCATTTTAATAATGGTTTTGTCTCCCTATTGGGGTCACACACTTCACAATCTTCCTTATGTCCTAATAATCTACACACCCACCACTTAGGAATATTTTTCACCTTTCTTGGTTTGTAATATAACACTTTTAGCATCTAATTATGATTCCTTCATTCACTCGATGTTTTATTCACATGCTCTCAGTCCCTATGAATATAGGGCTCATCAATCACACTCTCCTCTCTGAGCTCCCAGAATGCTGCGTCCGTTCCTACCGGGTCACACTTAAGTGACGGTCCAGAGAGGGTGCGCAGCACTCTGACCTCCCAAATACGGAGATATTCATTCACTCACATACACTCATTCAGGAATCCGCACACACTTGACACTTTAACACAAATTTACACCCTTTAAAGTTTTGCCTTTTACTCTCTTTTAGGTGTTTTTACGAGTGAGTTAACCTCGCCGGGTAAACTTCAATTCTCAACCATATCAGGAAAACACGATACGAGTTTTTATAATATTTCTTAACCACGCCGGGTCAACTCGTTTTTTATTAATTCAGAGTTTTTATAAATTTGCTTAACCTCGCCGGGTCAACTCTTTGACTGCCAATGCGGAGTTTTTATAAATTTTCTTAACCGCGCCGGGTCAACTCCTTTAATTACTAATTCTGAGTCTTTATAAATTTGTTTAACCACGCCGGGTCGACTCAATAATAATCAATTCTGAGTTTTTATAAATTTGTTTAACCGCGCCGGGTCAACTCAATAATAAACCAATTAATAGTATGAGTCTTTATAAATTTGTTTAACCACGCCGGGTCGACTCGTTTAATAAATCAATTCTGAGTTTTTATAAATTTGTTTAACCACGCCGGGTCAACTCAATGATAATCAATTCTGAGTCTTTATAAATTTGTTTAACCGCGCCGGGTCGACTCAATGATAATCAATTAATAGAATGAGTTTTTAAACCTTGTAACCACGCCGGGTCAACTCATTTTAATTGCCATTGTTGATCTAATTCAAATTATTTACGGATTATGTTGGTATTCAATCCCCAATCAACCTTAAATTTGGTAATTCCAATCTTGCAGTACTTTTATCAAAAAGGTGACTGCTTACCTTATTAGAAGTTCTGCGCAGAGGTTGATTTGAGATCGTCCTCCAACTCGACGAAGCGTCTGAGCGAATCCGGGTGCCCCCTCCAAATTGTAGGAAAATGGTTTTTCCCTCCCCGAGTTCAGGATTCGCTTGAAAGTAGACGCAGGAAACTTAGCTTTATCGAGAAATCAAAGTTTAATAAACGAAGGATCAGATCAACAATGCTGAGCCCAGGAATACTGAAGAGACACCATGAAAAGGCAAACTGGGCGCTCCAGTATTGCCGTACAAACATAAAACAATAGCTTTTATTCTTGGTTGTCTCCTCCCCACTCTCGATGAGCCTCCAATCCATTATTCGCCTTCCCATCATCAGATCTCATTTCAACCAGTTAGAATCTGCCAGTAGCCTGCAAACACACACACACACAAAACACACATGCACCCCTACACAGACTGAGATACGGCTGATTCCTTGCAGGTGTTAAACCACATCCTGTACCAAAGCACAGCTGTCCATGAGCTCAGATCTCTCGTCTTACTTCTGTGGAAAAACCCCGTTTCTCTAGAAGCGAAGCTTAAGCGATAGGCTCACATTTCAAACAAAGCAATAGGCTCATATTTCAAACAAAGCATTTCATCAGTAAAGAAAATAGCAAAACTTAATATCAATATCAAACATAAAACATCAAAATTATGAAAAACTTAATATCAATTCTGAACATGCATAAAACATTAAAAAATATGATTCCCTCAAAAATATAATTCCCTCAAAAGTTATACTCGCTGTCAGAAAAAATACAAGTAAGAAAAGGGAGACATTAAAGAAACAGGTTTAATATCTTAGAAATTAGTTAATGTATGTATGGATTGTTCTTTTTTTTCTTCTTCTTCTTTTTGGAACATTACACAAGAAACCAAGTTTCATTAAATCGTAAACAAATATTTCTTGCACTTTCATTTCTGTTTAAGTTTTGATTACTAAAGTCTGACTTCTGGCTTTTTTTTTTTTTTTTTATCAGTTTACATTTTTGACATGTTTTCAGGGCAAGTTCAAATGTTGCCATGCCAGTAATACAGCTCATCACAACAGACTTACAATATGTACTGTTTTATGAATCATAAAAATATTGGTTTCAATTGTTCAGGTCTGTGTACCCAAGTCATCCTTGCATTTAAATGCATTTAAAATCTGTTAAAAAGGATATTTTGATCAAATAATAACTTTTTTTAATCTTAACTATAACAACCAACTATTTTGGTATTTATATTTATTTATTTAGCAAACACTATTAGAGTGACTTACTTGTTTGTTTGTTTGTTTGTTTGTTTGTTTGTTTGTTTGTTTGTTTGTTTGTTTGTTTGTTTGTTTGTTTGTTTGTTTGTTTGTTTGTTTGAAACATTACACAGGAAACCAAATTCCATTCAATTGTTAACAAACATTTCTTGCATTTGAAATTTTGTTTAAGTTTCTAGCATCTAAAGTCTTCTTTTTGGCTTTGTCTTTGTTTTATTATTAGTCTGACATGTTTTCAGAGCTTAATCATGCCAGTAATACCAACCCAGTAATACAGCTCATCAAAACAGCCTTAGAATATGTTTGTGTGACACAATAAACATCATACACGGGGCTAGACTGTGAATCCTGATCTTTGAGTCATATAAAAATATTGGTATCAATTGTTCAGGTCTGTGCAACAGTCATTCTTTTCATATTTTTAATTAACAAAGCTATCCAAATATATTTAAGTAAATGGATCAATGTAGTGATACGACATTTATTACTTCAACTTCAAAGTAGGCAAATCAATCCATTGTGCTGTTTTGTTTTGTTGCAGCTCTCTAACTATGGCCTAATGGTTAGAGAATTGGACTTGTGTGTACTACACCACTACACCACAGTATAGGGCCCTTAGTTCAATTCAGTTTAAATCATCTTCATTTGTATTGCGCTTTTACAATGTAGATTGTATCAAAGCAGCTTCACATAAATGGTCATAGTAAATTGGATCAGTGTAGTTTAGTTTTTAGTGTTTAAGTTCAGTTCAGCTCAGTTCAGTGTGGTTTATTAATCACTACTGAGGGTCCAAAAGTAGTCTCAAACCTCAGTTGACTATGATGGAAAACTTTGATGCATTACTTGCTGGTGTGGCATTAGGTTTTTTTCTGAGGTAGCTTTAACATAATTAATAGTCTACTGTAATACAGTATTATTGGTAATGATTATATCTGAATTTAGTTGTTGTTTTCATATGAAATTAGATCCCACAGACTGAACACTGACTCTATTGACCTTTGGTAACATCTGGGAAGCATCTGGTATGTGTGTGTACATAAAACAATGCGTGACTTTTGAAACAAACATTTATTGTACATTAGTTCTTCACAATCCAACATGCATACTGTACTTGCATACTACAAAGTTTACACACAATTTAATTGTCTTCATCAATTGAGCAAAGAACTCAAAAACACACTTTGATTCAAAAACATATGCAAACCATTCATGCCTTTCTAAAATTTAAGCTCTAGACTTCATCAACAATAAACTTATATCACAAATATTTTTCTTTAGTTTATATAGATTGTTTGCTTGACCAATTATAAAATTAAGCAATTCAAAATTAGATATATTTTTCATACTGTATTTAAAAACAAAATTAAAGGCTAATTCAGGAAAAAAAAACATTCATTACAAGTATTAAACAGATATTTTATTAAAAAAAAAAACAATCTAGGGCATTATAAAAGCATGAAAAATGGTTTATCTTAAAGAACATAAAGGGCAAACACCATTAACTTCACTGTTCAAAATAAGCAAAAGTCAGCAAAGCCTGGAACTCCATAAAACACAATCTTCAAAAATTGAGAGTACATATAAAATTACAATTACTGTTTTAAAATATTCAGACACTCAATGTATATAATTATAAGTAATAATAATTATCTTACAGCAACCATTATAAACAACCAAACAATTTTTCATTGCCTAAATGAATGTTATTTAAGAACATTAATAAATTTCTAATTGTTCACGAGAACATTAATAACATTTAAAGGTAAACAAGTGAAGGTAATGTAAAATGGTACTAAAATCAAAGTCATACAAAAAATATTTAACAAATGTAGAACCAACCTTGTATTTCACATCTTTATTGTTCATTCATTTATTCATTCAATCAATCATTTATTCATTCATTCATTTTCTTTTCAGCTTAGTCCCTTTAATAAACCAGCGTCACCAACTTATCCATCACATGATTTACGCAGCGGATGACCTTCCAGCTGCAACCCATCTCTGGGAAACATCCATACAAACTCATTCACAGTCATGGACAATTTTAGCATACCCAATTCAGCTGTGCTGCATGTCTTTGGACTGTGGGGGAAACCAGAGCACCAGAAGGAAACCCACACAAACATACAAACCAAACCAATCACTTTTAAATTAATCAGCTATTTACTCTACCTCCTTGAGAGCATCAACAAATTTACAGTACACTGTGGGTAATTCATGCTCTGCTTTTTTCAGCAAAGCTTCTCTGACATTCTCATTTAATCTCACAATGACATTTTCTTTGCAGATCTGGATTTCTGAATTTGGCTGATTTGCTCTTTCAATAAATCTTTCAGCCACATGTGTGAGACACAGCCTCATCAACACAGGAGTTAAAGGGCAACCCCAGAACAACATTTTGTACCTGTTGTCCTTGCTGTTTTTCAGAATCTTTTTAAGAAAGTCAATCTTAAATTCAGCCATCAGTGGGGGTTTTCTCTTTTGCTCTTTTGCCAAGCAGCTCTCTAGGAAGGACCATGGAATCATTTTTGGTCCATTTTTAAAAGCCAAAACGACAGTTTTTTTATTGTCTTTTCTGTAATCTGATGAATGCAAATCCAAGTGATCACAGAGCCACCTGGCCATGATTGTGGTTAAAATCAGATAATCAATATTGAATATGCAGTGTTGCCCGACTTTTGTGGCCTTGTTGAAATACTTTGGGGTGGCCATTGGTTTATGAAGTATTTTGTGATAAAAAACACACAGATAAGGAATCAGAGCAAAAGAGTAACGCTTATAGAATGAGAGTGAATTACAATCTTGTTGTTTAGATTCATTTTCATTTACTGCCAAGGAGTGGATTGCTTTTTCAACAACCATAACAGGAATCATTTCCATAGACTTTTGACTGTACGTCAAATCAAAATCTTTACCCCAATATTCCTGTTTGCAACTGAGCCACTGCTTTGAAATCTCAGGCACAAAAGTAGAGATTTCCCTTTTCTTTTGTTTCGTGTTCACCCCCACCATTTGCTTCAAGATCTTTTGTTTCTTTTTTTGTGTGTTGTCATCGAAGTGATTTGGTGGTCCTCTTTTCCTTTTACAGTTTTTTTTTATTTCAAACAGTACTGGCTGATGATCAGAACAACACTTTTCCATAGAAATTGTACAGCTTTTTACATGTCTCATTGACTCTTCTGGCACAAAAACATAGTCCAGTCTCGAGTTATGAGATGTAGAATACTGGCAGTCTATTGGGTGAAGTCTTCTCCACACATCCACAAGATGGAAGGATGTCATAAATTTGTCCACAGTTGGTTTCAACATGAAGTGCCTTTCATTCTTTGTTGAAGATTTCCTGTCCAGGTAGGGATTCAAAGGAATGTTAAAGTCTCCTCCAATCAGCAAGATGCCCTCTGCAAAGTTCTCAAGTAATATTCTGAGCTTTTTTAGGGGTCTTGCATCCACCTGGTGAACATATACACTCACTAGTGTGTACAGCTGACCTTTGAGGTTACATTTGACTGCAATGTAACAGCCAGAATCATCCATCATGTCATATGTTTTTGATTTTCCTAAAAGATCCTTTTTTATCAAAATTGCCACACCTCTTTCCTTTGATTTGTAAGTTGTAAAAAATGATTCTGAATCTTGAAAAAGATCAAAAACACTTCTGTTATTTGGACTAATATGTGTCTCTTGAATGAAGGCAACGTCACATTTAAACTTATCTATTTGTGCTTTCACATCCTTAGGCTTTGTTTTAAGCCCATTGGTATTCCAAGTCATAAAAGTCAGCATCTCGTTATCCATGATTACAAGTAAGCCACATCCAAAACCTAAAAAATAAGATAAAATTACAAGCATTAAAAATGTGACCTAATCCTGTTGGATTTGACTCTACTGAATTTACATAATAGCACCGTTCCCCTTTTGTTTTATAGTTAGAAGCACATATACAATAAGTCATGTTCATATGGTAGCACATTATAAAAACTAAACAGTATGAATTACACACTATTTATTAAGCCATAACAAAAAACTTAATCATTTTTTTAAACATTAACTCTACATTAATAGACATTAGTAAGCAGTTTATAAAAACAGCGACAAAAGCTATAGTATTTATTTGTAAGCATATATATATAAATTAATATTTCATTACTAAATTAAGTACTGCATTATTTATGAACCTGTTAGAAAAGAGTAGTTAAAACAAATCATCAAGCAACTATTCGAAAGAATATTCATACATCCTATTTTGGTAACACTATAATAACGGCACACAAATGATTTATTAAGTATTAGCAAATAGTTTATTCATTATTTGTTAAGCATTAACTCTACACTAATAGACGTAAGTAAACTAAGCCTTTACTTTTTAAGGGATTTACAAAGCATAAATAGTTCTCACTTTAGATGAGCTTACAAAAATAGTTGGAATTCTGATTTACCTGTGGACCTTTGAAAGACAAAGCTGGGGCGATGACTTTGGTCATAGTTTACAATCTTAGTTTTTTTAGAAACTGCATTTATATACAGTAGCAATAAAATAATCTCTTTACAACCTAAAAATTTACTCAAAAATGTTCATATATCACTATTCATTAGTACCAGAATATAGATTAGTTCTGAGTTACTTTCTTGAAAAGAAATGAAAAGTTATGGCATTTAAATAAGTATAAAAAAAAAAAAGGTCATTCAGGCATTATGTTTTGTGCTGCCAGTGTCCACCTTGATGTGTTAATATTCTTTCATATGAAGGTTCAAAAGAGAATTGTTTTCTTTGTTAAGAAATTTTCGAGTCAGCACATTGTTTGGATAATTTTTTAACATCAACTTTTACAGTTACATTCAGCTTGGGCGTGGATCTAACTTTCACAGAAATTTATAATGTTAAACAAAACAAATACACAAATAATTAAATTAAATAAAAAATCAACAACAATATAAATTTTAAATAAAACACATAAATTGCCCTTTTTTAATAAACAGAAAAGATATACAAAGATATACAAACGCATAAAAAATGTAATGATTTGTCAAAGATTGTTGGATAAATAAGTAGTAAAACTTATGTTTGTGGATTGTTTTTATTGTTATTTTATTATCATTATTAATTTGAAAATATATTTAAACTAAATAGTTTGACAATAAACATTTTGGTTTATTGATATAATGACATTTGTTTATTGATTTAATGATTCAAAGAAAAAGTTACCTTTTGTTTCGAAGGATAATGTCTGCAGGACAGAACTGTCATCAATTCAGCCGTGAAGAAAAGTAAGCAGTAAAGCTTTACTACCAGCGACTTTATAGCTGCCTTTCTTCCTGGGTGGTGATTGAAGTTGTAAGTGGGTGTTCCTACCTTGACGTTGCCTATGTGCCTATGTAATGTTTATTTGCATTTATGCAAACAAATGTAACCTATTTTTTATTATTATTATTCTCAGGTTAGGTGAAGTAAGTCCAGTCTGCCTTAAGTTAATAGAATTTCAAATTACTTACTTGGTCAGAAGACTACTTTGTTGTGTTTTTTTATTTTTTTCTTAACTTTTGTACAGTTACTGATAAACAAATAAAGACTTTATGCATTGAGATTTATTTTCAATGAGTTCCTATTTTCTAATAGAGAATTTATGCTTTTTTTTTACAGTTTTTACTTGTAAGCCTAAACCTACAAGTTCTTCCTTTAAATTTTTTAATAAATTTTAGAAAAACAAAAATAACTATACTGCCCAATTTATGAATAAAATTAAAGTGCAAAAGATCCAGAATTTATCACATAAAAGATAATACACATGTTTTAAAGGTCGTAATCATGCCTGTGTATGTTGCTTTTTCATTGAAAAAAATTATTTATCTATTGAATTAATGTTTATCCATTAAATAAAATATCGACAATACTCTGAAAGAAACCCTGAAGCTGCTCTTTGAAGAGAATCAAGCTGCTTTAACCTGATGCAAAAAATAAATAAATAAATAGCCCAATACCTTGAGTATTTTTAGCAAAAGAAAAAAAAAGAAATATATTTTGGCAGAATTAAAAATGTAAGAAGTTAATTATTTTTTAAAATATACAGGCCTAGAATTATCTTTTGAAGTGTATGAAAATGAATAGCATGAATGGTCTCAAAACTATGCTGAATGCTGTAAGATTGCGTCAGGATGATGATACATGGGGCAACCTTGAGAGCAATGTTGTTTGGCAATATTACATATCTTTGATGCAGTGGATGCTCTTCCAGCCGCAACCCAGAACTGGGAAACACCCATACACTCTCTTATTCACATACACACACACACTCATACTCTACAACCAATTTTGTTTACCTATAGTGCATGTCTTTGGACTGTGAGGACTCCGGATAGTTACCTACCTAGTGAAACTAAAACATAGTACTGGATTCTTTTTACTTAAGTACATTTTTAAGGCTGTACTTCTTTACTCAAGTACAAAAGTGTAGTCAGTACATTTTAAACATGAGTATTTGTACTTCAACTTAAGTAAAGTATGTGTGCACTTTTGCCATCCTTTTTAAAATAATATTCTATTTTTTTATTAAAAGGTAATAAATGAATGAATAAATAAATAAAAACTGCAAACACTCAAAAATGTGCACATGATACTAATTTATTTATTTATTTATTTGTTTGTTTTTTGTTTGTTTGTTTGTTTGTTTGTTTGTTTGTTTGTTTGTTTGTTTTTAATGCTAAAGTATGCTTATTTATTTCAGTGAATGAGTCAATAATTACAATAATCAGAAATTGTATTTAGTAAACAAATATTCATAATCAATAGCTTACATTTTGAACTATTTGAGTTAATTAGATAATAAAGGGCTCTGACAACCATGAAGTGTTGTTTATCATGATCTTTACTCTTTCAAGCTCAGCCTAAGGGCAAATGCAATGCAAACCTTTTACAAAGAAAAGCAAACAACATGCAAACTCTTTTTTTTTTTTTTTTTTTTTTTTTAACAAAAAATCTCACAATAAAGCTTTAGTTAAACATATTTTTTACACATTAAACTAAAAAGATGCCACAGGATGTAAACATATACACAACAAAATAAAATACGTCCAGTAATTTATTTACATTATAAGTTCCCTCAGAAATGTAACAATTGTTCTTTGAATGATAAAAACATGAAGCCTTTAGAACTAAAAGTAAACTAGATCATTTCCACTAAGCCTAAATGGTAAATTCAGTTTGCTTTAACTACTTTCACTTTTATTTTCTCTTAAACTGAAACCTAAAGATAAAATCTTTATGAACTTTATTATTATGAGATAAAGGCAAAATTAAAGCAAATAAATACAGAATGTTGATCGATTGATTGATTGATTGATTGATTAGTTAGTTAATTGATTGATTACTTGATTCATTCATTCATTCATTTAAAAAACAAAATGTACTCTACAGTGTAGATATTTAAGGTAATAAATGTACAGTTGAAGTCAGTCAGAATTATTAGCCCCCCTATAAATTTTTTCCCCAATTCCTATTTAACAGAGAAAGGATTTTTTCAACTTTTTTTCAACACGTTATGTTTCTAAACATGATAGGTTTAATAACTCATTTCTAATAACTGATTTTTTTAATTGTTTCCATGATGACAGTAAATAATATTTTACTCAATATTTTTCAAGACACTTCTATACAGCTTAAAGTGGCATTTAAAGGCTGAACCACAGGTTGGGGTAATTAGGCGAGTTATTTTATAATGATGGTTTGTTCTGTAGACTATTAAAAATATATATATCTTAAAGGGGCTAATAATTTTGTCCTTAAAATGATGTTTAAAAAGTCAAAAACTGCTTTTATTCTAGCCGAAATAAAACAAATAAGACTTTCTCCAAAAGAAAAAATATTGTTAGACATACTGTGAACATTTCCGTGCTCTGTTAGTCGTAGTTTGGAAAATATTTCTAAAAGAAAAAAAAAGAAAATCAAAGGGGGATAATAATTCTGACTTCAACTGTATATATATATATATATATATATATATATATATATATATATATATATATATATATATATATATATATATATTAGTGCTGTCAAATTTAGTGCGTTAACGTATGTGATTGATTTAAAATATTTACGCGTTAAAAAAATGTACGCAATTAATGAAGTTGCTGTTTGTTTGTTTTCTCCTGTTGTGGTTGACGTGTGTTCAGCATGCAAAGAAATATGGATAACACCAAGGAAGCACTTTCTGAAGGCAAGTTTCAGTATAAAACAATTAATGTTGCATTACCAGGCTATAAGCCTTTCCTCCAGAGTTTCATGCAATTTCGGGTGTTTCGTTTTTAACTTTCCTTTTTTAATGAAATTTAATACCGCATGGCAAACGGAAAGAAAAACCTCCGCATTTCATGACTCGGTGGTCCTTTAAGGTAATCAAAAATCTCTGTTTACATGGTAGACTCTTAGTAAGAATATTATCTTAATCATATTAAAATCGAAGTATTGGTGTCCATGTAGATTAAGTCAAAGACAACACATTCCTTGGCCTTTCAGCATGCTCCCTCCAAAGTTTTATCAAGTTTGACGTGTTTCCCTCTTAAACACAACTTTTGTAAAGCGGCTGCTTAGCGTAGTTGTGTCAAAATCCTTCTGAAATATACTTTAGAACGCTTAGTTAACCAATAAGAAAAATATGCACATAAAAAAGTCATGTGATTTTTGTTCATTAATTTTCTTTTCGGCTTAGTCCCTTTATTAATCTGGGGTCACCACAACGGAACAAACCAACCTTTCCAGAATATATTTTTTTACGCAGTGGATGCCCTTCCAGCTGCAACCCATATCTCTGTGAAACATCAATACACACTCATACACTATGGATAATTTAGCCAACCCAATTCACCTGTACCACATGTCTTTGGACTGTGGGGGAAACCGGAGCACCCGGAGGAAACCCACACAAACTTAGGGAGAACATACAAACTCCACACAGAAAGGCCAACTGATCCAGCCGAAGCTCGAACCAGAGGCCTTTTTGCTGTGAGGCGACAGCACTACCTACTGTGCCACTGCGTCGCCCATGTGATTTTGTCTCAACATAAAATGTGATTGGATAGCTAGACTAAACAGTGAACCAAAAACATCTCCCACCATCTCAAATGTGTCCACCACAAATAAAACTGCTTGTAAACAATGTTCTGTCCAGTACTGTCACACATTACAAGTACTTGTTTGCAAAAAAAAAATCAATTGGAAAATCTTTTATTTTAAATGGTTTATTTTAATGATAATCATAACATTGAATTTTATAAAACACTGGACATGACAAATATTTTTAAAAGCCTATTTACAACATGTTGTTTGTTTTAATATAATATTATATAATTATATAATATTTTAAATGTAATGCCTGAAATCATGACATCAAGTCATAAAGTATTAAACAGAAGGAAACATGTCACAGAAATTAATGTTTAATGTGTAATTGGACCTACACAACCAATGACTGATTGAAAAACTCAATCAAAAATGTCCCAATTTATTTCTGGGTCTTCGTCAATGGGTGTAGGAGAAATCATATCTGGGATCTCAACCACAGGACCTGCGGAACAAAATAATAGTAGTAAAAAAAATGTAAACATATATTTTTATTTGATTATGTATTTATGATCTAAAAATGTAACATTGCATGATATTTTTTAGGGGTCTTAAAATCAAAACAGATAAAATGACGGGCCCTCATCTATGAAAAGATCTCATTAGAAAAGAAGCCCGTTAGACCATTTGCAAGATCTGCATCACCCACCTCCTTCTTGTCTTGGTCTCTTCCGAGTGAGCCGATCAGCTGTGTAACTCAGATATTTTTTAATTTCCTTTTCACAGTCATGCCTAATTACGCTTCGTTTGAATGCAGCATCTAAAAGAAGAAACCGAAACAGTAGAGATAGTTTGTATATAGTTAAGGTCTCGGTTCTTTAAATATATATTTTATGTATTAATGTTAATGCAGTGATGAATTACTTTACCTCTGATCACATCTGCTAAAAGAAGCTGAGAGAAGGCCTTTTTATCTCCTCTGCCCTGCCAGTTGAACTCCTTTGCCAGATCATCTGTTAGGATACTTTGCATTATGTTCTTAACAACATCTTTTGGCCCAAAGCCTCCAAGTTCTGACAGATGTTTTGCCTGTGAAGAGAATGTTTATGTGAATTTGATTCGAATGAATTAATCACAGCATTGAAATCCAGTCAAATAATTTGTATGATAACCATTAAATGATACAGTTACAGTGATATGCATGTACTAAGAAAAAAAATAACCCCCCCTTCAAGTGATAAAGCATTACTTTTTCTCAAAGTAGTATTTTTACTTTATACCAGCAGCTTTTATGACCACATGAAAAAAAATACTGCTTATGTGCCATTCAGTTTTTATTTACTTCTAATGTGAATTTTATTACCATCTTGCATGACATTTACATCCCTACCAAAAGCACCAGCAGGTAGTTTACCACATAAAATAATTAGAAATAGCATAGCTTAATGTTATGTATTTATACAACAGTTCTATCTGATTCTCGAATCTGATTGGCTGATGGCCGTGCCATATTCTGCTTTAACAGCACTCTTACAGCCTCTTCACTCTTGTGAATTACTCCACCCACATAAAGTGACAAGCAGAGAAATAAGCTCACTACAGTTTGACGAAAAAAAGAAAAAAAAAAGCTGTTGGGCAACATAATGTACTTTTGAGGGTTTTTTTGTCAAGAATGTAATTGTTTAGATTACAAATATAGTTCATTTATAAAGATAGTGCCTATGTTAAATATTTATAATTTTGTAGCGTGTCAGTGGCCATCAGCCTGACATAATAAACAGAGCAAAAAAATGGAGTAAAGTCTGTCTGCAGACTACAAGACGGGCATAACATAAAGGGGCATAACTTGTAGTATGTTAACTTGCGTAACTTGAAGCTATGGAGACCCACATGTCAAAACTATTTTGTCAGCAAGATGGTATTTTATATCAGTTTTGAATGTCTACACCTCTTCCACACCTAAACGCAACCATCACAGTTATTAACATCTATACCTACCACAACCCTAAACCCAACCATCATCATTATTAACCTCTACACCTACCCCAAACCATCATAGTTAATAATGTCTACACCTACCCCAACACTAAACCCAACCCTTACAATTATTACAGCTACACCTACTCCATATCTAAACCCAACCATCATAATTATTGATGTCTACACCTTCCTCAATGCCAAACACTTTCATACTTGACGCACTCACTATTGTACTGTTATTTGTAACCACAGGGGGCAATGCCAAGTAGGCTAACTGTCATGACAAAACAGATGAAGAGGTCAGCGAGTTGCATGCTGGATTTGCTGAATGAATGAATGAATATAACAATATATCAAATAATAGGTTGTGGATAAATTTGGAGAAAACTCATGAAAACATTTGGTGAAAATGTTCTCTGGTAAGTATTTCCACCATCTTGCCAACAACATCTCGTTTTGACATCACGAATGGTTCAATGGGATCTGAAAAACTGCAAGTTACGCCTGTATAACTCGCTACAAGTTACGCCCCTTCATGTTACGCCCCTGTCTTTCAATCCACAGACAGACACACTTGAAGTAATTGACGGTTGAAGTTCCGACACAAGAGGGCGAAAGAGACCACATAATAAGTCTTTAGGGGAGAAAAACGGCTTTTTATCAGTGTACATTTTAAAGTTTTATCTCTCTCTTTTGTATTTTGTAGTGATGTATGTATACCATAGTTCCCCTTCGGGGGGAACTTCAGCACTATAAGTGGATTTGATTGTAAAATCCACGCATTGGGAGGTTCGGTTCAGAAGCTACTCGTCTGAAAGAGTATTGAACGGGCCAATTAAGAATGAATTGGCAGCGCAAGCCTGCGCAGGTGAGCGGCATAAGCAATCAACTGAGTATATAAGCTCACCTGGCGCCAGCAGACGCTATCCTTTTCGCTTCAGAGACTTTCTGATCGAGTCGATGAGGGTTCCTCCTGCTGTGACCAGCGATTCTGAGCGAACGAGAGCATTCTCCCGGTCCAGAGTGTGTACACGCAGTGGCAGACGGTCGAGCTGGGTTTCTCCCTTGCCTGGCGTTCTTTGGGTCCGGTCCTCCAGAGCGGTGCGTATAAAGTTGCAAACTTCACAGAAAGAGCAACACAGTCGTGCAGCACGTCCTTATCAGGACGGCGCTCCGACTGTGCGTTTCTGGATGCAGTGGTTTCCTGTCCTCGGATGATGGGCACGGGCACTGCGTTGCATGTCTGGGGGTCCAGCATGTTAATGCGCTGCTCGCGGGCAGTTCATGTCGTCATTGCGATGCCATGACTGTTGCGCAAGATCGCGGTTAGCCTTTGCAAAAGGGCGAACCACCCCAGTTGTCCCCTGCTCTGCAGCGGGCACTCGGGCAGATCTGAGGGTTTCAGCGAGAGATAATCCGTCGCCCACGGGCCCGCGGACCTCCCGCTCCTCTAAGCGCTCTATCCAAGCTTCGGGCGGGGGAAGCGATCCGTCTAACAGATGGTAGCCCTTACGCCCGATGACACCGGAGACCAGATGTCCACCGCGGCATCGGAGGGTGGGCTTTCATTGTCCGATGATGATCCAGACCAGTTGGTGGGTGATGTCTTATCGGCGGTCCGTAGCCCGCTCCGCCCGCCGTTCCATTCATACCTGCTCCTCGCCGAAGGCGCCCGCCTACGAGAGCTGCTCCGCCCCCGCACACGCCTCCGGCGAAGCGAGCGCGTCGGGCACCTCGGAAGCAGGCAGCCCCCCTGCCCAGAACGCCGCTAAGTCCGGCAACGGACCGCGTAGCGCCCCTGGGACAGGCCATCTGGAGAAGAGGGAACTTGCTCTTTCCCCGCTGGAGGGCGGGGCCCCATTTCAAACGGCACTTTTTACTGCCATGAAAACATTATGAAAGGGCACTTTTCACTTCCCCAGATGTGACAGCCCGAAATCTGCCAGTCTGGGACGCTATGCTTTCTAGCTTGCAGATTCGGTGCGTTTCGCCAGTGGCTCACGAGCGCTGGGAGGACGGTCTCCTTTCTCCCACCCCTCGAGCCTCCCCTCCGGAGCTCGGGTTTGGAGTGAGAGCAAATATCTCACCTCCAGCTTTTCCGTGGGACCCGCGAGCTTCCCGGATCAGCACACCCACTCCGCGCTGCCCCACTGCTGGTACGTCAGCGATTGTAGCGATGAGTCCATTAGCGAGAGCTCTGCCTGCCTGGTTAGCGCGGGCCAGCTCTTCGCGGTGGCTCATACGCACAATCAGACTCGGCTATGCGATTCAGTTCGCGAAACGGGCCCCCAAGTCACGGGTGTGTATTCACCAGGGTCAGCCCCCTGTCTGCCCCTGTCTTGCGAGAGGAGATTGCTGTCCTCCTGGCGAAGGATGCAATCGAGCCGCTCCCTCCAGCCGAGATGGAGAGCGGGTTTTACAGCCCACGCTTCATCGTGCCCAAAAAGAGCGGTGGGTCACGGCCAATCCTAGATCTGCGCGTTTTGAACCGCTGCCTGCACAAGCTGCCGTTCAGAATGCTCACGCAGAAGCGCATCCTCCGGTGCGTTCGTCCTCTGGGTTGGTCTGCAGCATTAGACCTGATGGACGCGTATTTCCATGTCTCCACTCTTCCTCGCCACCGACAGTTTCTGCGGTTTGCGTTTGAAGGTCGAGCTTGGCAATACAAAGCCCTCCCCTTCGGGCTCTCTCTGTCTCCGCGGGTCCTCACCAAGCCCGCGGAGGGTGCCTCAGCGCCCCTTCGGCTCGCGGGCATCTGCATACTCAATTTCTTTACGACTGGCTGATTTTTGCCCTCTCTCGGAGCAGTTGATTATGCACAGAGACAAAGTGCTCTGGCACTTCCACCTGTGGGGGTTTCAGGTCAACCGAGAAAAGAGCAAACTCGCCCCCGTGCAGAGGATCTCTTCTCTCGGGCTGGAGCTGGACTCGGTCACCATGGCAGCGCGCCTCTCCGGAGAGCGCGCTCAGCTGATGCTGTACTGTCTGAGAGAGCTCGACAGTAAAATAGTGGTCCCACTGAAACTATTTCAGAGGCTCCTGGGGCATATGGCATCCGCAGCCGCTTCATGCCGCTCGGATTATTCTATATGAGACCACTTCAGCACTGGCTTCACGATTGAGTCCCCAGACGCGCATGGCACGCGCGCGCACACCGAGTCTCTGTTACTGCGCTGTGTCGCCGCGCCCTCAGCCCTTGGAGCGACCCCTCGTTCCTACAGGCCTGGGTGTCTCTAGAACAGGCGTCCAGTCTTGTTGTCGTTTCAGCAGACACTTCCAACACGGGCTGGGGGGCTGTGCGTTGCGGGCATGCGGCTGCAGACCTGTGGAAAGGTACCCAGTTGCATTGGCATATCGCCTGGAGCTGTTGGCAGTGTTCCTCGCTCTCCACCATTTTTTTCCGGTGCTGGAGCGGCAACACGTGCTGGTCAGGACGGACAGTACGGCGGCGGTGGCGTATATCAGCCGTATAGGGGGTATGCGCTCTCGCCGCATGTCTCAGCTCGCCCGCCGTCTGCTCCTCTGGAGTCATCCGCGGCTGAAATCGCTGCACGCCATTCATATTCAGGCAAGCTCAACCGTGCAGCCGATGCGCTCTCACGGCAGCCTTGCGTCCTGGAGAATGGAGACTCCACCCCGAGTCTGTTCAGCTGATATGGGCGCGATTCGGGGAAACCCAGATCGATCTGTTGCTTTCCCCGAGATCGCTCATTGCCAGTTGTTCTTTCCCTGACCGAGTGCTCTCGGCACGGATGCACTGGCTTACAGCTGGCCTCGGGGCACGCGCAAATACGCGTTTCCCCCAGTGAGCCTGCTCGCGCAGTTACTGTGCAAGGTCAGGGAGGACGAGGAACAGGTTGCTGGTTGCGCCCCTCTGGCTCAACCGGATCTGGATGTCAGAGCTCTCCCTCGCGATAGCCCTCCCCTGGCAGTCCCTTCGAGAGAGCACCTACTCTCTCAGGGACAGGGCACCACCTGGCACCCTCGCCGATCTTTGGATTTTTAGACGCGAGGAAGACTTAGGTAACCTCCGATTGCGGTGGCTAATACTGTCACTCGGGCTAGAGCCTCCTCCCCGAGCGCGCCTATGCCCTGACGTGGAGTCTATTCACTGAATGGTGTGTCTCTCGCTGAGAAGACCCCCGTAATTTGCCAGATCAGCGTTGTGCTTTCTTTACGCCGAGAGAAGTTGGAGAGCAGGCTGTCGCCCTCCACACTCAAGGTTACGTGGCTGCCATCTCCGCTCTAACGCGGTGGCTGGCAGCACCGTGGGAACGCATAACCTCATCATCCGGTTCCTCAGGGGCGTTAAGCGAATTAATCCACCCCGCCCCCTCTCATGCCCTCTTAGGATCTCGCCCTCGCTACACAAGCCGCGTCAGATCCCTTCGATCCTCGACTCAGTATCTTTCTGTCCCTGAAGACAGCTCTGCTGGTCGCGTTGATATCGATTAGAGGGTCAGAGACCCGGAGGCATTTTTCGGTCAGTGACTCGTGCCTGTAATTGGGCTGGCTTCTCTCACGTCCTGAGACCCCGCCCGCGATATGTGCCCAAGGTTCCTACCACTCCGTTTTAATACGAGGTAGTGAGCCTGCAAGCGCTGCCCTCGGAGGAGGCAGACCCAGCCCTTCTTATTGTCCAGTTCGCGTTTTGCGTATTATCCGGACCGCACTCAGAGTTTAGATCATCTGAGCAGCTCTTCGTCTGTTATAGCGGTCGGCAGCAGGGAAGTGCCGTACCGAAATAAGTTCCCACTAGATTGTGGATGCCTTTCTTTCACTATCAGAGCCGAGATGAGCCGCGTCCCCCGAGAGCGCGTGCGCACTCCACTCCGAGCTTCGCATCCTCTCGAGCGCGCGCACGCGGCGCCCCTCTAACAGACATCTGTAGAGCTGCGGGCTGGGTGACACCCAACACATTTGCAAGGTTTTACAATCTGCGAGTGGAGCCGGTTTCCTCAAGGGTATTAGGTAACCCTTGGTGATTGAGGAAACAATTCGGTAGGGTGTTGAAACACGCTTGCTGCGCCATTTTCCCTAACACGGAGATACGTGCGCCTTTTTATCTGTCAGTAAAGTTCCCTGTCAGGTGAACCCTGCAGATTCCTCCGTGGCCCCCAGCACTGACTCAGCGGAGGAGTCACTTGCTGGCCCACTACGTTGTAGGTCTGCCCGCTGGTCAGCCCGCGTTTTGGGTAAAGGTGCCTGCTATGCGTGATCCCCACTAGGCGATCCCATATGCTTATTCCGCCACGGTTAAGTCCCCCCCCTGGGCGGACCCGTGTCTTCCCTCCCCGCTAACCACTCTTTTGCTATGCGTACTCCCCCTTTTTAGGGCTAGTCCATATGTAAATTCTGCCATCTATCCCCCCTTGGGTAACGGATGGCCTCCGCTGCGTCCTCCCTATCGGGATTGCACGCTTCCCAACGTACTGTCGTATTTTCCTAGAATTATCTAGATGCTCACGACTTCCCAAAAAATATATATAAATCCGTAAAACTTCTGTTGAAGTAGGATTAATTAGGGCCAGGGACACGTTGGAGGACCGCGCCCCCCATGATGTGGGTGCGTCACGCTTGCTTGACTATCTCCTCATCGGGGGTGTTGGTAAGGTGCAGTCATTATGGCGCTTTCAATGGGCTCCCAATGCGTGGATTTTACAATCAAATCCACTTATAGTGCTGAAGTTCCCCCCGAAGGGGAACGTTCGAGGTTACTAAAGTAACCCTTCGTTCCCCGAGGAGGGGAACGGAAGCACTATACTCCGTCGCCATAATGACTGTCCCTTAGCTGTTGAAAGTCTCTTCAGCTTAAAAAGGATAGCGTCTGCTGGCGCCAGGTGAGCTTATATACTCAGTTGATTGCTTATGCCGCTCACCTGCGCAGGCTTGCGCTGCCAATTCATTCTTAATTGGCCCGTTCAATACTCTTTCAGACGAGTAGCTTCTGAACCGAACCTCCCAATGCGTGGATTTTACAATCAAATCCACTTATAGTGCTTCCGTTCCCCTCCTCGGGGAACGAAGGGTTACTTTAGTAACCTCGAACGTTATCTGGTAGTGTTTGCTTTGCTTTGCTTTTTCAGTGTTATTTATTGTGATATGCCAATTGCAGCAGAGAAATACTTGGAAACCTCTGTAGACTGATGGCATTTCATGCTGTTCAGCCTTATAATCTTAAAATGTGAGCAAAATCAACTGTTTCGTCAATTACTTACAATTATTTAATATTACTTGTGTAATATTACTCATGTATTCTAGTTTAGTCCAATGTACAATTTTACTTTGATTTTCATTTTAAGTTCAAAGTAATTCAATTAATTCATGGTCTATAAAAACAATATTTTACCTTTAAGTGAATATATTTTTTTTTCCTTGGGCAGAATAAATATTTTAAATAATATTAAATTACATGGTTTAACCTAGACAAAACTATAATTTGAGGGAAGTGTATAAATTTAACTGTAGCAAATTACAATATTTTTTCTAGGTTGACCCAAGCTAAATTATACTTTAATTAAAGCATTAAAGGTATGACGTTGACTCACATATTTTTTGCGTGTTGTTGCATTGTTGAGCTCTCTTTCAATCCTGGCCACATCGTCAAAGGTTTTTAGAGGCAATTTTAGGTTTGTAGTTTTGTTCATCTCTTTCGGAGGCACATTGGTGCTGCTGCTGGGGGCTTCAGAAACTCCATTGTATTTCATTAGTTTCTTTAACATGGTAGAGTTTCGCTGAACTGTGCTCTTGATGTCTCTCAGCATTTTGAGGATTTCATCTTTGTCTGAAATACAAAATGTTTTTTTTTTTTTAAGAAACAACTTATTGAAGTGATATTGACAAAAAAAGTGTGGCTCACCATCAATAGATGTAGATGTAGATGTCACTGGAGCAAGTGTTTGAAGTGGATTAATTGACATTCCTTGAAAGTTTTCAACTCTTTGTCTCTTTATTCCAGGGAATCCAGTGGCTAATAGATATGATCTTCATTTGGATATAAACGATGAATTAAACAATACAGTACAAACGTACTCAAAGGTTATTTTTTGGCAGCTTTGGCTGATTACTTGTTACTCACCGCTCCTTCTGTTCCTTTACTTCTTTTTGCCCCACTTTTGCCTGATCAAATGTGACTGCAATAACACGAATATTGTACTGAGAATTTGATACTAAACAAAGACTAAAACAAACAGGTGTTATAAAAAGTGTAACCATTACCACATTCTCTGTGAAAGCTAATGTTTAGTTTTTCCCATGGTTTCCCTCCTGTTTCAGGCTTATGTCTGTTCTGAACAGCTTCAATACACTTCTCTGGGGATTTGAATGGAGGCCAGTAACATAGCTTTTTATCAAGGCTCAACCAGTTTGATGACACCACCATCACCTCATCTGAGTCTTGCAGAGTCACAACTGCATACATGATCTGCCTGCTAAAAAATAAATGAATAAATAAACATTAATTCTCAATTTCCTCATTGTTCCTAGAACAAGCTTTTAAAAAAAACGAAGTGATCGAGCATTTCCGGTTGCTGGTCCTAAACTCTGGACAACTCTGCCAATTTACACTTTTACACAATTTACAATTGTACACTAGACTTTCCCTCTCTTATTCTGTGTTTAAGTCCCTTTATTCATCAGGGGTTGCCACAGCAGAATGAACCACCAACTTATCCAGCAAATGTTTTACACAGTAAATGCCCGTCCAGCTGCAGCCCAGTACTAGGAAACACCCATACACTCTTACAGTACATTCACACATGCATACACTACAGTCAATTTAGTTTAATCAATTCACCTATAGAGCATGTGTTTGGAGTGTGGGGAAATGCAGAGTACACGTAGGAAACCCACGCCAACATGGGGAGAACATGCAAACTCCACACAAAAATGCCAATTGGCCCAGCTGGGATTGAAACCAGCAACCTTCTTGCTGTGAGGTGACTGCTAACCACTGAGCCACCATGTTGCCCATTGATGTGTGTTATTAAGTGGTAAATGCTACTATTGTGAGTTTGAACAACATTTTACACGCCATTTATCGCTATGCTACTGAACGTAGCAGCAGATAGTTCACTTCAGATTTTAAAAATAATAAAGACTGTGACTTTGCTGGAATGTCATCGTGCTGCATGTTGTTAGGACACAGTGTAAGTATCATTGCAAGTAAAATGTGGAACAAGCAATGCAAATTGCATTAGTACAAATGATGATTTGATTTATCTTCATGTCCCTCACCTTACATCACCCAACAAAATGTCATCATCCTCATGTATTTCAAAATCTTGCTCCTCACACACTCTACTCTCTGCATTGATTTTGATAATTTTTGACCAACTGGGCTCTGATTCTTCCACTGTGATGTTCAGTTCATTCCAGTTTTCACCCTCATTTCTTGTAAACTTTAATTGTTCACCTCCAACATTTCCGCTGAATAATTCTGTGATGTGGAATACTTCATTAGCTCTGTTTCTCACAGCAGCCGTTACTTTCTCAAGATCTTCAGGTTGGACGCAAAGTATCACGCTTTCTTTGAAAACCCGAATATCATGCTGTCTAAAATCTCCAGCTATTGCAGAGGCAAAGCATTTCAGAGCCAGAGTAATGAGAACCGGGGTCAAAGGGCAGCCCTGATCCAGCAGTTTGTCTCTTTCACTTGAAACATCTGTAAATTCAGCATCTCCCTCCGGTGCGTCTCTCAAGAGGTTTTTCACAATGAGGAAATCCTGATATAAAGCTGGATTTGATCGTTTTTGTTTTTCTATCTCATCCTTTATACAAGACAACTTCATCTCAGTGCAGAAAGTTTTGGGACTGATCATGACAGCAGCTGAGTTTTCTGGTACCTGACTCTTTGATTGAGACTCCAAGAAATCATCTAGACGTTTTGCTAGAATAGTTGCAATGATGAGGTAGTCGACGTTAAAAAAGTGATGACTGTCGTCATGTGGACTTTTCACAGTTTTGTTAAACTGTTTCTCAGAGCAGTTAAATTCACCCCTGCGGATTCTGTTATAGAGTGTCTTTATGTATGGAATCAGATCCTGAATTTTCTCTCTATAGAAGGAAACTGGGATGTCGTCTGGTCTTGGTGTGTCTGAAACTTGAAGAGATTGAACAGCTGACACAATGTCAACCTCACTGACTACATGTTGGTTTTCTTCCCCCTGTGATGGACCTTTATCATCATTTAATATATCACTTTTATGTTTTAATAGTTGGAAGAATGTTTGTACATGGCATTGTTTCATTAAAGGAATTGTGGAGATGTTATTGATCTCCAAAGATACAGGCTGATGGTCAGGCCTCTCAGAGTTTCTTATTTCACAACTTCTCACTCGCCACATGCATTCATCTGGAATGAAGAAGTAATCGAGTCTGGACACTGGACAATCTCTTTTGTAGAATGTAAAATCCTGCTTTACAGGGTTCATTCTTCTCCAGACATCAGCCAGCTGAAGAGATTTCATGAACTTCTCCACAAACAAGAGCAGATTTTTCTGATTTCTTTTATTTGCTATCTTGCTTGTATTATTCTTTTTGTCGATAAACGGATTGAGAATTGTGTTAAAATCTCCACCAATCACCAGCAGCCCTGTGGTCATTTTCTGCAGGTATCCTGAGAGATTATCAAGAGTTTTTGCATCGGTGTGATGGTTATAAACACTCACCAGAGTGTACTTCTGACCCGCCAGTTTACATTTCAACACAACATAAGCTCCCCTGTTATCTTTGTCATCACTTATATATTCAAAATCTAAACTCTTCCTCACTAAAATGGCAGTTCCTCTGCTGGAGGAGGTGTACTTTGTGTAGAAAACAATCCAATCTTTTTTATAGTCTTCTATTTGTTCATCTTCTACTCCAATGTGAGTCTCTTGCAAGAAAACAATGTCAGCATTTTGTAGTTCTTGAAATTTCTGATCTCTGTTTTGTTTAAGTCCATTAACGTTCCAGGTGATGAAGTTTATGGTCTGTGAAGCCATTGACGGATCAAAGAACCTCAGCTTTATGAGTTCACTGTCAAAACAAAGAGCGATAGGGAGTAGAATGTTTTTGTCCTGCATTCTTTTGTGATATCCTGACAGCGATAGAAGCAGTTTATGTTTGACATATATTTGTATTAATTGTATTCAAGATTTGCTTACATCTTAATTTTTTTTAAGTTTTCTGTAAATGTAAGTTGCCACACCCTGCTTAAACAGGTCTTTTACAAAACAGCTTATATGATGCATGCTTATTATCGGTGTTACCTCCTGAAAATCAAGTGTCCTTAAATTATATTCATAATATATTACATAAAACCTAAATAGATTCTTATGCACTTGTTTCCATTATTTGATTTAGTTAAGAGTTTCACTTTTCTCATTGTCCCACAAATAACACATCGTTGACCTTTTTTACAGACATTATAGTGTAGTAAAAATATAATTAGCATAACGCATAAACTGAAATTAACAGAAAAATAAAACGTTAACATGATTATGTTGAATGCTTGTTGCATTATAGATTGTTTTAGAAACACTAAGCAAAACATAAGGCAGAACACATTTTTGACAAATATTTTGTAATTGTAGTTCACTTTTAAAAATCATAATAATTTAAAAATAAAGTTACCTTTTACTTCTCTGGATAATATCTGGAGGACAGAACACTCCTGCTGATACGACTGTCAAGAGTCAATAAAGCAGTAAGATTGCTGACGTTAGCTCTCGATTGGGTGTGGACTTCTGGGAAAGAGAGAAACATACTAAAGGAAACGAGAAAGTTTCTCTCCTGCTTTCGACTAAATTACTACTGTAAATATAAAGCAATATCATTAATATGTACTCAATGTATGATTTACTTGTGTTTCATTTTCTTTGAATTTTTCAACAGCGATATAACTGACAGAGCTTATTTCTCTAATTACGCCTAATAATGTTAAGCATTTTTTTTCTTTAGCAGTGGTATGTCCTGAGTTTTACTCTTCCAAAGAGAATATGTAATCAATCAAATTTAAATGAAAACAACACATGAAGGGACTTGTTCTTAGTAGATGTTTACCCCGTAGGCCAAATGGCAATGATCCATTTGAATTGCTCGAATGTCTGCATTCTAATCTAGACAATTAAAAAGAAGTATTACTCAGGGGACTAGCTAGACATAAAGCTCTACTGGGGTCAGGGACGGAGTGGGACTCAATTTCAGCCCTGGAGTTTCAAGCCAGACCGGCCCACCTCAGTTCACGACTGATTCCAATTCAGTTTCTAATGACACTATCACGTCTTTTTCAAGAAAACAGCTGCTTTAAAAATTCAACTGTTCAACAGCCCTAACAGTATTATATGTCTTAAAAAAGAAGAAAAAGAAAAATTGTTTTTCAAGTGAAATTCGAACACGGGTCCACGACGTTATTACGTAACAAGCTTACCACTGGTTCACAGTAGCGCTATTACAGTGGGAATAAAAAATAAGTAATGACTTGTGACCCTTAAGACACAGCATTACTTTCTTTTGATGGCTTAATCTTTTTCTCCCCTTTTTAGATTTTGGATCAAGTTATGTCAGATTTATTAATGTAGTGAATCATCTGATTTTCATTGAGCAGATGTATTATTCATTAATATTAATTATTCGAATTCTTATATTCACTAAGGTGCCGCTGTTTGGGGTCGATGGTTACATCATCATCATTAACGTTAGTTAACCTGCGGGCTGCATTTTGCTCACTGGGCTACGAGAAAATAAATAAGAAGAGCGGCGCTGCAGCAAAATAATGAATAAAAAGAGTGAAGCTATGGTCAAATAAATAAATAAATGAAAAAAGTGTGACTGCTGAGAGTGCAAGCAGCTACGGACACCGGCCCTTGCAACCAAAAAACAGACCGGCCCACCGGGAATTCTCCTGGTCCTCCCAATTAGCCATTATTTCTAACTGACATATTTTTAATGATCTTGTCAAAAGCTTCTTGTCAAAAGCTTTTTAAATATTTCCCAAATGGTGTTTAACAGAGCAAGCATTTTTTTCACAGTATTTTCTGTAATATTTTTTCTTCTGGAAAAATTCTTATTTGTTTTATTTCGGATAAAAGCAGTTATCATTTAAAAACATTTTAAGGTCAATATTATCAGCCCCGTTAAGCAATATTTGTTTTTCAGTTGTCTACAGAACAAGCCACTGGTATACAATGATTTGCCTTATTAATTAACCTAGTTAAGCCTTTAAATTTCACTTTAAGCTGAATACAAGTATCTTAAAAAATATCTGGTAAAATATACTTTCATCATGGCAAAGACGATCAGTTAGCCTATTAGAAATGAGTTATTAAAACTATTATGTTTAGAAATGTGTTGCCCTGCTGCCAAGGATCATTAGCAGAGTATATAGCCGGTGCATGCGGAGCAAGCGTTATCTTTTTTGCTTCAGACCCTCACTTGAGACTGAAGAGACTTCTGATAAGCTGCGGCAGTCAAACTGGGTGTCCTTTCCCATCCCTGGGTGTTTCGCTAATGGCCTCTGCAGGGTCCGCCCCCTTTGGGGACTGGCACACTTTCTCAAAATACTGTGTACATATTGTGTGTCGTATATGCGCTCACGCTATGCTTGGCAAACGTCACACCAGGGGCATGACAGGCTTAGCTGCTATGGCATTTTCCATAGACTCTCCCAAAAGTGTCTTTCCAGACACACGTCAGAGTTCCCACTGAAGGGGTATGTCTCGGTTTTTAATGTAAGCCTCGTTCTTCGAAGAGGTAATTTAGATTTTCGGCTCTTCAGCGGCTAAAAGATAACTCTCACTCCACAAGCACCGGCTATACACTCTACTAATGATTAATTGCAGCACCTGCGGAGCCAAACTCTGCCAACTCATTGGCATTCACTGGCTCTCTCACTTACTCTTCAGAGTGATTGGTTTACTAGCTTTCACCCAAATAGTGTCTTTCCAGACACTTCTCCGTTCCCTCTTTGGGGAATGGGGGTTATGTTAGTAACCAAAACGTTCACATTAGACCCATTAGACCCATAATAGCATGACCAGATGTCTCTCTTTCTTTTTCAGGACAATCATGTATGTTTGTTGTATTTAAAAGATGACAACCACCTTATCAAAAGGTAGGCTAACCAAATATTTGTTTATCTGTCTAGAGGCAATCGCACACACAAAACACCATGCAAAAAAAGTATCAACATAGTGCAAAATGTACCATATAACACATTTGTTTCATATAGCAGTTGAGTCAGATTTATTACTGTAAAATATAAGTTAATTTCTACAAAAATAGTGCCAGAACAATTAACACAATTGTACTTAGACATTTTATGGTTAAATTAGAATATTTATTTATACTGCAATATTATTGTATTACTCTTTGAATCAACATTTTTATTACAAATTTGTTTTGCTCTCATTTAATTACAGACACATCATAGTTAACAAACATTTTTAATAAACATTTAAAAAAATAATCAGTTAACAGGTTATTGACATTTAGCAAATTGTAAGATGCTAAAAAATTGGAGAAATGTGCTATCTTGTATGTCTCAGAATAAAAACACACAACTGCAGTTACACTCTGACAGGCATTCTAATCTCTAAAAACCCAGCCTTTGGGTGTGGCCTTCTGATATCAACTTAAAAAACACTATGTTAAATAGAAATAGTTTATTTTTGACTAAATACTAAACTAACATATGTACAGTATTGTGTGATTATGCTGCATTTTAGTCAGTTAAAATTGGATTCAAATTTTAGCATTTAAAAAAATAATAACAATTAATAAAGCACACATGAAGTAAAAGCTAGATGGCATGTGTTCATTGTTCTTTTTGTTTGCTCTAAACGCATTCAAATTAGCATTCAAACACAATCAAATCCACCTGTTTTCTTTTGCAAATGATGTAAAGAGTGCTTGGTCTGGGTTAGTTTCTCTCTTGATCCAGACAAGATGTCTTTTCCACCAGAGAAAGCAATATAATTATAGAAAACTTGTATTTTAGCTGGAGGCAATGGGAAGGATTTCTAATACACCAAAAAGTTGGTGTAAAATTTAGTACAATGCCATTCAAAAGCACCATTATTTATTTATTTATTTTTTAACTTTTATTCATCACAATAAATTGTGCAAGAGTGAAAGTAAATACAGTTTTTTATGTCAATTTAAAGCTATTATTTAAAAACTTACTACTACCATAAAATCTTAAAATACTATCACAGTTTCCATAATACTATGACGCAATAACATTTATGTTTTCCTCATGGTTTCCCTCCTGTTTCAGGCTTAAGATTTCTATGAACAGCTTCCACGCAAATGACAATTTAAATCACCTAAACTCATCAATACTAATAATAATAATAATAATAATAATAATAATAACAATAATAATAATTCTTTAACAAATTTGAGATCATCTTAATCTAATAAATTTTTTTATTTCCTTATGAAGTGATTATTTCTTCATTGTCTAGATTAGTGCTGTCCAACATTCCTGAAGCTATACTAGTTGCAGATTTTGCACAGCTTTTAAATAAAACAAACATTATTACAGACTCCAGGACCTGAATTGGGTGGATCAGACAAAAATGTAAAACGTTTTTTTAATGAGGGCAATTACATTAGCAAAATTGGTGTGTCCTTAGGTTCGTTTTATCTTTGGTTTAATACTGTTCACACTTTAATTTAAAGGTAATTTTGAATTAATATCCCAATTTGGCACATCTTCAGAAAAAAATTGACTTGGTTTAGTTCCCTCTCAAGTTAAAGAGTAATAAATGGAAACTTTTGTTTTGCATTTTGGGTTAATACTGAGTAAATAACTATCTGAATTATAAAATTATTCCCTTTTTTAAATATTTTTGCCACTTGAAAATCTTTTAAACCGTTAAGATTAGCTGTAAAATTGTAGATGTTAGGTTAAAGTAAGCATTGGGTGTGTATTTGTGGAAAAGAGGAAGACAAACAAAAGCAAAGAGATTGATTAAATAGAATAGTTTTAAGCAATGTACACACTATAAATGTTTCAGTTTGTATAGAAACACTGACTGGTTGGCATCATGGTAACTGCATTACAAAAACAAATTTAAAAAAAGATTTTCTTACGTGGTGGTTTTGTCTTGTTTGTAGTCCAATTGTCTAAAAAGTCTTAAATCAAGAAGCATTCTGGACACTTTCTTTTCTTGTTTTTAGAATTTTTGCCTAAAGCAGTCTAAAGCAGTTTATTTAGCTATTAAGCAGTCTAAAGCAGTATTATTTAGCAGTCTAAAGCAGTTTATTAGCTTATTTAGCTTATATATATATATATATATATATATACGTTTGTAATAATGTGGGACACTGCTTATAGGTCAAAGCTCTTAGTTTGGTGATTATGATGTACGATTGAGGCCAGTGGTTGTACGGATGGTACAAATTACCATCTTTTGCAATGTAAAAGCACATTGCTGTCAGCAAAAAGTTCATAAAGCATTCTAGCTTTTGTGCAGATAATGTTGGCATGTTCTTTTTCCTGCAGTCACTGATCCACAAAACTAAAGCAGACTCCATTCTTAAGGGGGTCGCACACCTGATGCACTGAGCACATGACAGTTGGAAGTAACACACCCTGGACGCACACATTCGCATGTTATTAAAATGAAATTATTCAGATGGCGCTTTGTGAAGCGGCAGAAATATGAACAGTGTCTTGAGTCATAGCAGGGTGCCATGGACAGACGCTAACTTGCGGTGTCGGTGCGTGTAAATGTGAAAATGTTAATGCCTGAGAAAAGTGTATAAAGTGTGTAGTGAGGCGTTTTACAGCCTCAAAACATATAAAGCTGTCTACTTTACAGATTTTGCCTATATTGCAGGTTATTTTTAAAACAAAACTCCCGCGAATAACAAGGGACCATTGTAGTTTGTGCTATTTGCATGCTTTGTAAAGATTTGAACAGTTTACTTTTGTTTGTTTTATTTGCCTTAAAGGGCAACCAGTTTACCCCTTTCTTAAGATTTAATATCAATATTATGGTTCTTCTGAGTGTGCCAGTTTAGGCTCTGTTCAAAACACAATTCAGATTTTTTTATTATAATGTGTTTAAAAGTGTCATTTTGGGTGAGTGTACACAGCTCACTGTTTTAGGGTCATGTTGCTTCACATGAAAATTAGTTTCGTCTTCCTGCCCAAACTAACCAAGAGCTCCCCCACTTTGTGTATGGCAACAGACAGGCAGAGAGAAGCAACATGAGTGAGAGGACCAGCATTCAGCTGTACATGTACTACTCGCACACAGACCAAGCAGAGACCACAAAATCATTTGTGTCTTTGTATTGTTTTACAGCTAACTGTGTGCTAGATTAAAATTCCGAGCTTGTACACAGAGATTAATAACCACGCACACTGAATTAACTTTGACTAAAAAATAAAATGATGAAAAACATATAATAATAATAAACATATAATAATAATTGTACCCAGCTTAAATGTAAAAATAAAGTTACCTAATAGAGAAAGTAACAGGAAGAGGGAGAGAGAGTGGGGGAGAGACAGAGCATGAAAAGTGCAGAGCAAAGTTTACCAATTATTTTGTCTCTTTCTTGACCATGTGACCAAAGCTCAAATACTGAGACATTCAAACTGAACAATCAAAAATTGACCACATTGTAAAATCCCCAAAGTCCACACACCAGGCCCTGATCTCTTTAGTATCTGCCTTTGGAGTCAGTATGAACCTTCTTTGGTGAAAAATACATGTTTTGTAAGCATAAACAAATGCATATGGTAATTTAGACTCTTACATAAACAATGCTGTGTACAGTACTGTCACACATTACAATAACTTGGTTTGCAAGAAAACAAATTGACTCTGTATTTGAGTGTAATTTTGGTTTGTTTTAAATGAAAATCATAACATTAAATTGAATGAAACACTGCACATGACAAATATATTTAAAAGCCTATTTGCAACATGTTATTGTTTGTTTTAATATTTCGAAAGTAATGCCTAAAATCATAATAATTCATTAAGCAATGTCAAAATAACACACGTCTCAGAAATGGATGTCTAATGTGTAACTTTATCTACATAACCAACTCAAAAAACTCAATTAAAAATGCTCCAATCAATGTCGTCGTCGTCGTCAATGGGTGTGGGAGAAATCCTATCTGAGATCTCAACCACAGGACCTGCAGGACAAAATAATAATTAAAAATTATATAATAAGTATATACAAATACGTATACAGTATATTTGTATTTAGGTATGCTCATTTATTCATTTTCTTTCAGTTTAGTCTCTACTTCAGAGGTCGCCACAGTGGATTAAACCGCCAACTATTCTAGCATATGTTTCACACAGCGGATGCCCTCCCAGCTGCAACCCAGTACTGGAAAACACCCATACACACTCATTCACAAACAATTTAGTTCATTCAATTCACCTATAGCGCATGCCTTTGGATTGTGGGGGAAACTGGAGCACCTAGAGGAAACCCACACGGACAGGGGGAGAACATGCAAACTTCACACAAAAACGCCAACTGGTCCAGCCGGGACTCAAACCAGCGACCTTCTTGCTGTGAGGCGACTGTGCTAACCACTGCGCCACCCATTTTTTTCAGAGATTTTAAAATAAAAATAAAAAATCCCTGTATGTCAGGTCAAGGTCTGTATATGAAAAGATAAGAGCATTTATAAGATCTGCATCACCCACCGCCTTCTTGTCTTGGTCTCTTCCGAGCGACTAGATGAGCTTTGTAACTTAGATACTTTTTAATTTCCATTTCACATTCAAGCCTGATGATGCTTCGTTTAAATGCAGCATCTGAAAGAGGAAACAAAACAGTGGGAATTAGAGTTTTTATATTATTATGATCAAATTAGTCTCATAGATGTTTAAATATGTATTCTATGTACTAATGTTAATGCAGAGGTGAGTTAGTTTACCTCTGATCACATCTGCTAAAAGAAGCTGAGAGAAGGCCTTTTTATCTCCTCTGCCCTGCCAGTTAAACTCCTTTGCCAGATCATCTGTTAGGACACTTTGCATTATGTGCTTAATAACATCTTTTGGCCCAAAACCTCCAAGTTCTGACAGATGTTTTACCTATAAAAATAATGTTTTTTTTTTTTTGTTAATTGCAGCATTGGAAATGCTCAAATAAGTTGTATAATGACTATTAAACTGTATATTTTTCTTTGAACGTTTCTAGGGAAGGCAATACAATAATTTCTTAATTTATTTAGGGAATCTTTATCATGGAAGTAGACATTATGGTAATATCATTTTGAGATCATGACCAAATGTCATATAAATGCTGTGTGGACTTACATATAATTTGCGTGTTGTTGCATTGTTGAGCTCTCTTTCAATCCTGGCCACATCGTCAAATGTTTTTAGAGGCAATTTTAGGTTTGTAGTTTTGTTCATCTCTTTAGGAGGCACGATGCTGCTACTGCTGGGGGCTTCAGAAACTGCATTATCTTTGATTAGCTTATTTAACATGGTAGAGTTTTGCTGAACCATGCTCTTGATGTCTCTCAGCATTTCGAGGATTTCAGCTTTCTCTGTAATACAAAATGGGTTTTTTTTGCTGTATTTATATATTAAAAGAAACAACATATTGAAGTGATAATGTGAAAAGATGTTTGGCTCACCATCAGTTGACATTCTAAATATAGGTGTAGATGTCTCTGGAGCAAATGATTGAAGCTGATTATTTGAAATTCCTTTAAAGTTTTCAAGTCTTTGTCTCTTTATTCCAGAGAATCCGGTGGCTAATAGATAAGATCTTTATTTAAAAAAAAAAAAAACGATACATTAAACAAAATTGTACAAATTTATTGTTTATTAGGTTTTTTTTTTGGGGGGGGGGGGGTGATTTGTTTTTACTCACCGTTCCTTCTGTTCCCTTACTTCTTTTTCCACCTCTTTTGCCTTATCAAATGTGACTGCAATAACATAAGTATTGTACTGAAAAGTTGACAGAAAAAAAATGACTAAAACAAACAGGTGTCATAAAAATGTAACCATTACCATATTCGCTGTGAAAGCTAACATTTAGTTTCTCCCATGGTTTCCCTCCTGTTTCAGGCTTATGTCTGTTCTGAACAGCTTCAATACACTTCTCTGTGGATTTAAATGGAGGCCAGTGGCATAGCTTTCTATCATGACTCAACCAGTTTGATGACACCACCATCACCTCATCTGAGTCTTGCAAAATCACAACTGCATACATGATCTGCCTGTTAAAAAAAAATAAATAAATAAATAAATAAACATTTATATTTGAACGTTGTGAAAGAGTAATTTCCACTTCTACTCTAGAGCAGTGGTTCCAAAAGTGTGGGTTGCATGGCAGTGAAGGGAATTCTGCTTTGACGGATCAAAGATCAAACTTCACGATCAAAACAAAGAGAGATGGAGAGGAGGAAGTTTTTGTCTTGCATTGTGAGTAAGACTTTTGTGATATCCTGACAGCAATAGAAGCATTTCATGTTTGACATATATTTGTTTTAACTGTATTCAAGATTTACACTTTATCTTAGCTTTATTAAGTTTGTGTGGTAAGATTGAATGAATCTGGGACCTGGCTTCTTGCAGGGTAGTCTAAGACCAATGTCCTTGGTGGAGAGCCATACTTTCTGTTCTGGATGGTAAGTTGGAGTTGGGGCTCTCCAAACATTCGTCTGAATAGTATGACGCCTTACTGCACACTCTTACTCTCCCTCAACCAGTGATGGATAGATGGAATGTCCAAAGGTTCCCCAGACCAGGGGAACAGAGGTGGTTGGTAGCTGACTATGCACAGAAAAGGAGTGATCTCTGTGGAAAGTTGATGGAGGAAGTTAGCAGACGCAAGGAATTAATTCCAGATGTTCTGGTGGTCATGGCACAAGGTACAGATTTCTGCCTGTGTCCTGGATTTTTTTCTCTGTTTGTTCATTGCTCTCAGGATAGTAACCAGAAGATCAACTGATTGTCATACTTAGGAGAGAGAAAAAAGCTCTCCAAACATGGGAGATGAACTGGGGACCTCAATCGGATGCAATATCCTCAGGAATGGCGTGGTTTTGAAACACATGGTTGAACAAGATTTCGAATCGGTCTACTGCCACAAAGATACAGGAGATTCCATCAGATGGTGGCAAATCTGGTGCCAATTCAACATCTAGGTCTGACTAGAGATGCCAAGGAATGACAAGAGGAAAAGAGCTTACAAGGTGGAAGATGACAAGGAGCTTTGGACATTGCACGTTCCCGACATTCTCTCACGTACCTTCTGATGTCAGTGCCCATTCCAGGCTACCAGAAGCGATCTTTTAGCAGTGAGACGGTTTGATATGTGGGTTAATATTTGACTGTGTAGAATGTAGAAAAGGTTGGGTGGACACCCCGGTGGAGCTGGATTGGAGTTACTGTTATTTCTGATCTCTTTCTCCAGGGCCTTCTGGATTAGGCTGATTATCTTACCTGGGAAAACAGGTTCAGCATCTTCAAGAGTATGGATTCTAGAGAGAGTGTCAGCTTGACAGTGACAGGAGGTCAAATCTGGTGAAGAGTAAAACCCACTGGCCTGCCTGGGGTTGAGACTTTTAGCTTGTTGAGACGATGATTCATATATATAAGAAACTGATGTTTTGCTTCTTCCAACCAGTGTCTCCATTCTTCCAGTGCTGCTTTGATGGCCAGTAACTCACAATTTTTAATGTTGTAGTTCTGCTCCGCCGGGGTGAGTTTCTCGGAGTATAAGGCTCGTAGATGAAGTCATGGATGGGTCCCCAGCTGCTGGAAAAGTAGAGCTCCCACTCCAGAATTGGAGGCATCTACCTCCAGAATGAAAGGGTTTTCAGAGACTTGGGCTTATCTTTTAGTAGATCTGTCAACAAAGAGGTGATGAAACTGTAATGAAGAATTAAATTTCTATAGAAATTGGTAATACCTAGGAATCATTGGAGCAGTAGAAACCACACTCATCGCAGGTTGTGGAGGATGGATGGGACATGTCTTGATTACGTGTCCATTTTCTCTACAGTATATGTATAAATTCTGGGTCAACCGATGTCGACATTCAGCTGAGGATAGTCAGGTGGTATCCACCTGGATGGGTTCATGTTGAGAATCTGGAGGGTTGTGATACTCCATGAAACCTCTATGTAGTCGTGAAGAATTTGATTAATTGTTTTAGTTCAATGGTATCATTGTGTGCAGAGAAATGTAAACGTAACTGGAATTCCAAGCCTAGTCAATAGGTGGTTAACAAGGGAGTGTTCATTCTAGCCATTGGGGGTTGCTAGTGTGCAGAAATGAAGAGAGTAACTTTGAACAGAATAGTTTTCTTGTCGTAAAAGATATAATTTCTCACCCACTAATGTATCTTCTATTTTGTTTGGAAAAAGGACCCTTAGAGTGACATGTCCATTTTGGGTCCAAATAGATTCTGCCCATTGTAACTTTCAACCTGTTAACGGAGTAATAATAAATGCAGTTTTAGACCTGTCAGAGGGGAATCTGTGCTGCTGCATCTCCAAGGCTAGCGAACATTGTGAAAGGAATCTGTTGCAATCCTCCACCGAACCAGAGTAGGGCACAGAGTTGATCATGGGACTGGCGAAGCAGATGTGTGATGGAGAAGAAGTGACAGATATGGGAATGGCTACTGGTGGTGGTGGTGGTGTTGTTGATGGTTATGTGAGTACACGCCGGAGTGCCTATTGGGAATCTGGGGCCTCATGTATCAACGCTGCGTACGCACATAAGCCAGGTTTCACGCTCAGAATCGCTCACGTTTGGATTTACTAACGATGAACTGAACGTGGGAATGTGCGCAGCTCCACACCAGCTTTATGGCTGGCGTATGCACATTTTTTGTGCGTGTCTGTTTTATTTCCATTGGCGACTCCTAGAGGCAGTAGTGTTAAATTGCTCTCTACAAAGAGTCTTTAAGCCTTGCAATGGCAGCTGTATGAGACGGGTTCATCTAGCAGGTATATAAGGTTTCCATACCATACAGTTGACCAGCCAAACATTAAAGCGCAAATTGCAGTGGTCGCCTGTTTTCCCAATTTAATCTGAGCTATCTACTGCACGCACATTGCTATAAAGACACTATCTGAAGATGAAATTGCATGCGTGAATCAGAAACATTTCCATTCAATAAATGTGCAAATAAAATATGATGCACAGACTTATTAATGATTCCTACTTGTCTTTCTCATGATAAATAGTTGGCAAAATCTGATATGTAGCGGGGGAAAAAAGAATGACTTTATCAGACGCTGGATTCGTTGGATTCATGCTCGAACGTGTCAAAACATGATGACATCAGTTTTTCGAGCTGCACCACTGAGACTGTTAAGGGTTCTGCAACAATTTACACCTATAAATCACACTATTTCTTTTTTAATTCACTCAGTGCGATGTTCAGACCCAACTGTGTTAACCGCATGAGCTAAACTCTCCCACTCTATTTTTTTCTTTTGTTGTTAATTCCGGAGAACAAACTTGCAAATAACATCGCTTTTCTCCGGTCTACCTCCGAAAGCAGCACCTCCAATTCACATTCTGTTCAAAGTTTCTCTTCTTGTTTGCTTTTGCCTTTGCTTTTTCGTTGGGTTTTGCCAAAGTAGAGTCATTTGCATATTCATACGGGGGAGGAGGCAGGGAGGGGTTTTGTGCTCGTGCATGTTGCGCTCAGTTTCACGTTCATTCGGATGTACAAAAGAATATGTGTGAGATTCGGCGTACGCAGTGTTTCATACATCTGAATTTTTTTCTGTGTACGCACATTTACAGCTTTGTGCATACGCAATGTTTTAGTATGACTTCCACGCAAGTCTTTGTACATGAGGCCCCAGGTGTGTTGATTAGGGGGAAATACATTACACCCTCTCAAGATAAGAGTTATGCATAGAAACTTTTTGTTTTGCATTCTGAGTCAACTTTAAAGAAAAAAAGTAAAAGATTTTAATAACCTTTGAAAATTTTGAAAATCATTTAAAGCATCAAGGGTTGCAGTAATGTTGAAGATGTTAGCTATACTGTAAGTATTGGGTGTGTATTTCTGGAAAGGAGGAAAATTACAAAACAAAGATTTATAAAACAGGATGTTTTATAGTTTGTGTGGAAACACTGGGTGGTTGGCATCATGGTAACTGCACTGCAAAAAAAATTTCTAACTTAGATGTTTCATGAGCACAACAGCTAGGGCAGAAACCACAGATACATCACCACCTACTATGAGGAGGAGGATGTGGTGCAGAGACAGACAGTGAACAGTTTCCTGTTATTTTGTTTTGTTCTGCTTAATTTAATTTAATCTTAAATGATGACGTATTTCAAGAAAGTTCCATTAGTTAAATTGGGCATAAAGCACATTAAGGACGTTATTGCAGATTAAAGCCTGACAGGCTTATCCACTGGGATATTGTGGATTTTATGTCACCAAATTACCTATTACATTTATATTATAAAAGTGTTGTAGCTTAATAGCGAGGTTGTGTTTTATTGTATTTTATTGTATTTGTACAGTGTATTGATATACACCCAAAGCACTTTCCAATCACATGAGAGGATTGTACATGTATTAATTGTGTATTTTTTTATTTTTGCTTCTGAGCATTTAACATGGTTTACTTTATGGCTACATCCAAAAACATCCATTCGATTTGTTTTTCCTTTTTAAGTATCCAGGATATATCTTGACTCATCCTTCATAATGCAATGTAAAATTTGTCCAAATGGAAAAAAAAAAACTGTAAAAATAAATTAAAATCAAGACCAGCTCCTATTTCTAACAATTAGTCACAAGATAGTCATGTAACAAATTAAATGCCTACTAATAAAGAGTTTCTTCTAAATGGATAATTATTTATCATTTTTTAATTTTCCCTGACACAAAATCAAAGAACAAACTCAAATATATGGCATAACAAACCCCATATACTACTGTAAGCACAAAAGCTATTTCCCATTATGATCAGAGCTCTGTCAAAGAAAATTAGAAATGTCTGACCTGTGACCAGAGATGACCCCTTCTTGTGGCTCTTGGTAATATTCTTGTTAATAAAAGAATTTCAGAAAAAGCTTTATCAGAAAGAGGTGGTATATTGAATGCCGAAACCCTGGTAATGAACGGTTCAGGAAAGATGCTCAAGCAAACACTGACGCAATGCTCTTCTATCACATAACATTCAAATGTTGTAGGCAGTCCAAAAAAATCTCTTCACTCAATATTTACCATACATGGCATACAATATGTTCTTTGATGTGGGACAAAGTATGTGTGCAGGAAACTCTTTTAAACTCTCAGAAACTCTGAAACATTCTTAAAAGTATTTAAATGTAAACAACCAATAAAAAAATATCACATAATGTAAATAAGTTGTCATTTAATAAGAATATGTCAATAACTCAATTTTGACAAAATTATCAGACAAAACCTTACAATTCTAAGGTGACGATTTGTCTTGGAACATTCTACAAGAAACTTACATTTTTATTTATAAAAAGGTGACAGGGCCTGACTTTAGCTTGTCACCTTCAAAAACATCATACAATGCATCATTAATCACTGTCAGCTTCTTCTCCGTCAAATGATGTCACTTACGAGTCATAGGCTTAAACGTGCAATGCATGCATTTTATGTTAAATTTAATACAAATGTGACAGGACTGACAGAAACATGGGGACAATTGTAAGTGTATTTGTATTATATATTTGTAGTATTTAATTGTAGAATTAATTTATAATTTCGTGTTTAATCAACTGATGTGAATGAGAACAACCTAAACTTGCTATTTCTGTAGTATTGTGTTTCTAAATAACTAAATAAAGTTTTAGCATAACAAAATTATTAAAGCTGTATGTTCAATTGGGCAGAGGACAATGACAGGAAAATGACAGGTACATTTGTAAAAGTGTTTTCGACAACAAACAAAACTCTGAGAACCAAATGAATGACATATTCCTTTACAGAACAACTCACAGGAATCAACCATCAGTCCATTTTAGAAATTTCTAGGATGAAATACTTTTTATTCACTGTATTTATGTTTTTATTTCAGGGACAGATAATGTACGTTCTGGTAGAACGTTCCACATACTCTTATTGTGTATACAATCTTTTAGGACACACACGTATTTCTTTTACTCAGTGAACATGAAAAAGTAGGCCATTATACAAATTTCACACAAGTACTGAATAGCTGCAAACCAAAAAAAAAAAATTATTCAATGATTATTCAACATCTACTAGAATTCATATCAAGCTGTCTGTGTTCATATTTTAGCTTCGATTTAAGACTTAACTGCATTGTTTTAATAATTCAATCATTTTGTGTGTAATGAAACGTCAAACAAAATATTAACGATCTGAGAAAACTTTAAATGGTTTTAATACAAAATCAATGATCACCCTCTCTGCTTCTCATTGCGTATTAGCTAGATTTAACATTTGCACATTATCACAATCAGTCACACAGACTACAAGCATGTTACAGTACATATGAAGTGACATACAGTACAATTAATTTCAGTACTCTACTTTAGCAGGTTTAAGCTCTATCTAATTAAAAACAAAACTACACATCAAAAAAGTGTTCTTTCACACCTATATCAAGACATGTGAATAGACAGACAAGTTTTAAATCAACAGTGGATATTCACTTAAAGGTTTAAATTCATGAGTAACTGGAGATGCTGAATTGCGTTCTCTCGTCGTCGCTTTAAACTGTTAACATTAGTCAGATTTCTGCGATGTGTTCAGACAGCGTCTCCAGGGTTTCAATCTCTGTCGAGACATCTAGAAAAGGAAAATACATCAGTCTGACCTGCAAAATTATTTGTAGCTATTTGTATGCAACATTTACACTACAGGTATATTGGATATATTCTAAAACATTCAATATGGACACATGTACACTTTTTTTGTAATGAAAATATTTTGTATAGTGAATTGTGTTTAGATGATTTAAGCAAGAACAGGATTCAGAATCACTCTCAAGTACTCATTGCTAAAAAATGATTCGTAGATGTTGTATTTTCTCTTACCCATCAGGGAAGCTTTGCTGCTTTGTGAGAATGAGCGCTCCACTGATTTGCTCAGCTCAGTTTTAAGGGTCTTGCCTATATAGTTCTTTGAAAGAAATAACAAAAGACACATACTGTATGTACTCAAGGTATTTAAAAAATCCTATTGTTTTGTATTGTTTATAAATGTTTTCAGAAATGAATCAAATGCTCAAAGAATATTGAAAAACAATTACCGTCACAGACTTGAACTCTTTCAGAAATTGTATTTTTGCGTCTTTGAACATGCTGTCTTTTAACAATTCAATTGTTTCTATTATTGTGGTCTCTCTCTTTCCCATGGCTCCAAGTCCTCTCTTCTCTGCAGCTTCTATAAAGGCAACATTCAATGTTTATTCACATTCTGAGTATAAATGCGACACAAACACAGAATATCTCAAAGTCTGGATAAAATGGTAGTTAATTATAAAAGATTTATTTTAAAGCCAGCAGATGCTTTGTTGTACAATCCCATGTGAGAAACAGTTTAATAATCTGACATTATTATGAGTTTTACATGTTCTTACTTTTATAGCCAGCAGTCATTTGATCCTGAATTGTTGTTTGGATCAATGAGTAGATGTTTATCTTTCTTTGGACAACATCGCTTTTGAGGAATGTCTTCACTTTGGTTTCCTTTTTATGAAGTTAAAACAAATGAATTAATATTATTTTTAGTACTATTACTATTTTTGTATTACAAAAGTAATAATAAGTATTTTTGTTATTAATATTTAGGTTGACCATATTTTAGTTTGAGGATGGAGAAAGAATGGGGGACTTTACTGCTAATGTATTTAATACAAAAGTAATAACATTCTTTACATTAAACTTTAGGCCCTCAGCAATAGAAAAATAACAGAGAAAAATGTTTAGCATTTAACACATTTTACATGATAATTTTGTCAATGAGTTAAAGTCAAATAAAAAAAAATTAAATCTACTATTTCTCTTTTTTACGCTGTTCAGGAGCCATGTGCACAGCCCAGGCTAACTGAAATGATGTGCCCAGGGCTACATTTTTGATAACCAAACAATATGTACTACCTCTTCTTGGTGTTTTTGTTTTCACAAATCAACTAGAGGCCACTGTGTTCATTTTTGACAATCTCAAATATACATAGCTATAGCACATTTTCTCTTACGTCCCATTTCTCATAAATCTATCAGAGGCCGCAGTATATATTTCTGCCAATCTTAACGTCATTCTGGCTCAAGTCCATGAGAGACGTCGGTTAACTTGAAATGCTTTTACCATTGGATCACACAGCTATTTCAGTGGGGTCGTGTTTTACCTGGTTTCTGGAACCATCCTTCTTTGAACTTAAACCCCAATCAAATTTGACAAACCAGTGCCGGTAAATTCAAAACAGCTCTTTCTACTGGTTCTATTATTGAGGCTTGCTGTGAGCAAAAATACAGCTACAGTCTGCTTATGTTTGTTGTAAGGTATCATGTCAAAATGCAAAATAGTGAAAGTCAAGTGTCACGAATGGAAGACGTCAATCTCATGTAGATAGATGATAAATAAATGAACTGAAATAGAAATTACAACTCACCTCTGTTTTCATGAAGTTCTGAATGTGGTACAGCATGGAAGATGGAGCGTAAACTGTGCCATTCTGAATGATACTGAACTTATCGATCTGTTCTTGCACTGACTTCCCTGTTTTGATTTTACTATCAACACTAATAAAATGAATTAAACAAAACATAGAATATTACAATCTTTAATAAGGAAAATCTTGTTATCATATTGTTCAGAACATGAATTCTTCTTTAATATACTTGTGGGAACCATTATTTTTCCATTAGTTTGTGGTACATGTCATCACCTACAACAGATAAATTTAAAAACACTAGTAGACTATGTAGATATGATTATACGTCAGGGTATTTACTCTGTTTTATGACAGCTTATTAGTGCCACTTTTAAAAATCTGAACTTTGTTTTTATGCGCCAAAAGACAAAGAATATCTTTATTGCTAAATCCTAACCTAAAGTAGGATTAGCTATGTTAAGCATAGCTATAAGCATTAGTAGCTATGTTTTTGCTTTAATCTCCAATCACTTTGACTTTATTTCCGTAACATTGCAACTTTATTATTGTAATTTTGACTTTTAATCTTGTAATCTTTTTTTAACGTCATCGTACTGTTTAATTATCACTGTAAAAAAATTACAAAAACTGTCAGTATAGTGAATAGGGAATGATGGCAAAACTTACGGAAATATCAAATTGAACTCCTCATCAATGTTTTCGTAGATGTGTTTAGCCAAGCACTTGTTTAGATCTACAGGTGCATCCTTGTTTTTTGGCCAGTAATATCCTTTGTTCTTGCACAAAGCCTGGAGGGTTTTATCTGATGGTTTCACCTGATTTACAATACAAAACAAAGCATTACATTTAGAAAAGCCTGGAAGAAAAGAACATTATCTTTCATTATTGGTGTGACGATATAGTCAACTCTTCATTCGATCCGTATCTCAATACTGAACTCACAGTACAATAATTTATGCTATTAAATGTTTAATATCAGTATTTTTGTTTTTTGTTTTTCCTCAGTATTATATTATAGCATGTAGGCCTTCTGTTGGTTAAAATGTAAAATTTATTTATAGATTTGGGGTGGTGAACTTGAATAGACTTTAGATTGGTCCTGGTCCTCAATGCTCAGGACAGTTATGACAGTCCTTCTATAGATGATTTATTAATTATGTTGGACACATATGCTTGCACTCTGTTGTGGACTACATATAAAGTGTTTATCACTGGTAAAATCAGACATTTGTCTTCAGATTCCATCATCTACTATAATCAGCGATATATATAGTCTAGAGCAGAGATTGTTGGCCCACTGTAAATTTGATTTGGCCTACCAAAGCATCTGAGAAGGGAGTAAGAATGATGGGCAGGGTTGGGGCGAATGATTTTGACCGAGATTGTCAATTCTAGTTTAAAATAACTTTTTAAATATTTTATTGCTGAGCTAGAAAAAAAAAGCCTATTTCATTTAAATGTTATTTATAAATACATAAATACTTTGTAAAAATGTAAGTACTGTTATCCGACAGATAGAGGACAATGCAGAAGACATCTGCAACCAAATCAAGACATTCTGTTTCCTTCCACTGATCATTCTTGAGATGTTTCGGCAACTTAATTGGAGTTCACATGTGGTAAATTAAAAAAACCTGTCTATATAAGGTCCCAGGGTTGACAGTGCATGTCAAAGCACAAACCAAACATGAAGACAAAGGAATTGTCTGTAGACCTCTGAGACAGGATTGTCTCGAGGCACAAGGCTGGGGGAGGTTACAGAGAAAATTTTGCTGCTATGAAAGTTCCAATGAGCACAGTGGCCTCCATTATCTGCATGACTAGACTGTATAGAGGGAAAGATGAATACAGCAATGTACAGAGACATGGCAAATCATTTTGTTTACATCAGTGACAAGCATAAGCACATTTTATGCTTCCCAATATTCCAATGTATCATTACACCTCTGTCTTTCATATATTTCACTGAACAGAATCACACTTACAGATGCAATCACAGGCTTTGTGGTACTGACACACTGTTCCACTGATTTCTCCACTCCTTTTGAGAAACATTGCTCTATGATCTTATAATGTGAATTAAACTGACTGTTCAGTTCCTTCAGTGCTTTTTCAAGGCTCTCATAGTAATCTTTACAAACTGTGGCTTTAAGCTTTGCCTATAAAACACAAAGAAACACAGCAGTGAATTACTGAACGAACTAACTGATGTAAGCAGACATCTGTAAATGATCAATCAGCAATTCTGTACCATTCCTTCATTTGTATCCAGTTTGATACTTTGGATGAAGAACAAAACTCCCTTTGCTTGATTGACATAATCTCTGGTCAGTTCCCTCCTGATGCTCTTGTTGGTGTTCTTGAGAAGGTCCTGCAGTTTTGGGATCTCTACAGATGATTACAAGAATATTCAGATTTCAATGACTCAATGAAAAGAGAATGAACAGACATATAAATAAAACGTTTGTTTTCCAGGTTCACTTAATTTTTACCAGTTTCATTTTGATCCATCTGAAGATCTGCATCAAAGTATGCCTTAGAGCTGACAGTAAAAACATCAGCGGTGAATCTTCTGAAGTCTTTTGATTTCTGAGTACGAACAAGGATAAGTATAAGAATAAGAATTACATTAACAATAATAATTTTCCGTTTCACAATTATACCATGGTTTCAAACTTGTTTTTCACGGAATCCTTTGCAGTCTTGTTCCTATGATGTATGCATGCTGTTTTCAGATTCTGAAAAATAAAAAAATAATAGTTATATATTAATAATGTAATAATACACAGTGACAGTTAACTTAATTTTAACTTTAATGTAACTTAATGTGAATGTTAATTTAATACACAAATTAAGCTTCTTTAATATAAACTAATTGTCATTGTAAATTATAGCCCATGAGGCAACTAGCATTTCTATAGAGCAATCCATTTCTAGTAAGTCATTTATATTTCTGTTATGTAACTCTTGATCTCATTCAAAATTAGGGCTTTTACAGTGGAGACCAGTTTCCTCAGAACAGTATGAAAGCCAATACAATGGCCACTACAAAGGACATACAGCAGGTACTGTGTTGGGTAAGTTACTTTAAAAAGTAATAGATTACAACTTACTGACTACTACTGGAAAATTGTAATCTGGTTACATTAATTACTTTACTTTGAAGTTACTTTTAAAACAAATCAAATATACCTAAATACAAAATAAACTGCAGCGCTTTCAGTAATTTAATATTCACTGAAAAACATTACAATGGGTTGATCACAGCAGCTTGACATATTGAAAAGAGTTTTTTAGTGACGAGTATTGTCATGGAATGCTTTCTGTTCAAGTGCTTAAATAAGTTGCTGGTCAAGTTAAAAGCAGTCAAAAGTAGTTAAGAGCTCACATTTTCCAGCAATTTAAAACTGCATGCTCATTAACTGACGTTGGAGCGTAAAACCTGATTTAAAAGAAGCTTTTCTTTTTCTTCTTAAAATTATATTTGTAACATAAGTGATGCAATTACTTTGACTTTAGTAACTGTAATCAAATAACACAAATTTTAAATGTAATTCGGTATATTACATTCCTCGATGTACATCATCGAGGTAAACAAAAACAATATTAAAAAATGTAACTTTTGCAGCGGTTTATGCTAATAAACTAAGCTATTTTCTGTCTTGTGATATTCACATTTTCATTGAATCTGCTAGGGATTTGCATAATTTCAAGCAGCACTGTAAAAAGAGATGCTCTGCTTGGGCAGAATCTTGTTCTTCTCTGAGTTGACTCTTGTTCTAACTGTCTGAGGTGGCTAAGCATGAAGTCCCTAGACTACACTTGATCACTTGATCACAGCTGCTCGAGAATAAACCCGAAAAATGCATTTAATTTTTGCTTGTAAATGTACCAGACCTTGCCTGAAGTAAATTGGTCTCCAGAGGGCCGTGCAGATCTATGATAAAAATAAAATACATGAATAAATGTGATTTAATAATGTAGATATGTAGAACATTGACAAATATTTCTATATTCTTACCTTTGATATTCTTTTATATTAATGTCATCAGTCCTGGTACAGATGAAGTTTATTGTTTTGCACTGTCCTCCTGGTCCCAAGTCTTGCATGCAGTGCTCCATTATGCTCCAGGGCTCTATGCTACTAATTGCTCGATTGATACCATTTACAATCCACACAGAAGAGCACTCTCTCACTTTCTGTGGAATTAGAAAAATAAAAACTGAATGAAACACCAGTGTTATTGCTCTACATTACACACTTATGTTGAACGCACCCCGGCCTCAATGTATGTGAGTGTGTCTAAAATGTAACCTCAACAGGACAGTAACAGCCTCCAAAATAAAACAGCGTTAAATCAAATTCAGAGTTAAAAAATGCACATGAAGTGGTTTTTAATTTGGAAACAATACAAATGTTTGAAATATGATGGAGAACCCAGCTGAGCAGTTTACAGTGTAATGCTTTGTTCACACCACTCATGGAGCACCATGTCACAGATTTATACACTGGACTTTTTTACCTCAAGTGAATTTTCCACTCAAATGAAACATTAGAATTTAAGCGGCAGACACAACTGAGGTGAATTTTCTGCATTCACAGCAAATGAAACAGATGAAAAGTTATAATAGTTTGAAATTACAATATGGTAAGTAAATCACAAAATAATCTTTATATTTAGGATATTTGGTAGTGTAGTACTTACTGATTTCCACAGATCATTTCGTATCTTGTTGCAGTCTCCAGTGCCAGGAACATCAAACAGCACAATGTGTTCCAGAAGCTCTTGACGATCTGGAATCTTGATGGTCACACTCTTCACAAGAGGCCAGTACCAGCCACCAGGATTATACTCACTTTGCTCAATGTTACGTTTAACATCATGGAGAAAGTCAAAGACCTGTTGTAAAAAATTAAAAATGTGCTTTTTATTCAGATAAAAGTTCAGAAATACATCAGATACGATTTCGGATTTTATAGTATAATAATAGTATAATCATATTTTACAATACTTTGTGATATTTTAGTCTATTTTGTAAAGAATGAAAAGAAATTTATAAAATATTATTTTGATGGTGCCCCTATAGTCTGCAGACCTGCTTTACAAGTTCATATCTGCTTACTCTCATCTGGATAATATTTGTAGATTGACATTTAAATGTTCTTAGGTAATTATTAAAACATTCATTCATTCACTCATTCATTCATTTTCTTCCACTTATCCGGGGCCAGGTCACGTGGGCAGCAGTCTCAGGAGAACCCCAGACCTCCCTCTCGCCAGAAACTTCCTCAAGCTCCTTCATGGGGATCCTAAGCCATTCCCAGGCAAGTAGAGAGACATAGTCCCTCCAGCATGTCCTGGGTCTTTTCCAGGGCCGCCTCCCAATGGGGAAAAACCTGAAACACCTCCCTAGTTGGAGGTGGAGGAGCAGCGGCTCTAATCAGAGTTCCTCCTGTCTGAGCTACTCACTCTATCCATAAGGGTGTGCCCTGACATCCTGTGAAGGAAAGTCATGTCGGCCGCTTGTATCCTAGATCTTGTCCTTCTGCTCATCACCCAAAAACTCAAGACCATAGGTGAGAGTAGGAAGGTAGATTGACCGGTAAATTGAGAGCTTTGCCTTTCGGCTTAGCTCCTTTTTACCACAACGGACCAATACATTGACCACATTACTGCTGTTGTTTCACAGATCCGCCTGTTAATCCCATGTTCCACCCTTCCCTCACTCGTAAACAAAAACCCATGATAGTTGAACTCATCCATCTGGGTAAGGACTTTCCTCCGACCTAGAAAAAGCAAGCCACCTTTTCCCAGTGGAGCAAAAAGGCCTCGGACTTGGAGGTGTTGATTCATATACTGATCATGTTTCAATCTGAGGCAAGTTTCACTGAGGAAGTTTGCAAGCTCTGCAGTGGCAAAGCAGCAAAGGTGGAAGAGATATCTGTGTACCTCAAGTCTTTGGATGTTATGTGGTCTTAAAATCAAGTAGTGTGAACAAGGCATTAACTACTACATACAGACAAGGTTGCTGTTGGAAATGCTGTTAGTGAGGCCAGCAGGGGTCACTCCAAATGTGGTCTGAGTCTTGATGCCCCAGTATAGTCAAGGGGACGCTATATACAGTCTGTGATCACCATCATTCAGATGAGATATTAAAGGGTCACGAAACACCAAAAACATTTTTTGAGCTGTTGACAGTCGTATATGTGTCCCACACTGCTAAAAACACTATTAGGACACCTATATTTCACTAAAAAGTGTAAATTGGTTGTTTTTGCGTTATTTCAAGCAAATTCGTACTTCCTGTTTGAAACGAATTTTTGAAGCTGCGTCACGGTCATGACATAATAGCGTTGTATTCCAGCGTGCAGACTGGACGTCTGTGCCAGAGTGTGTCTTATTACGTCTTACAGTGTGATGCATTAATGCATGAGTAAGGCTTGGTTCAAACCAATCAGCGCGCTCTATTGTGCAACTTCATTAATATTCATAAGTGTCACCGTGTTTACACCACAGAGACGCCACGTTGTGTTGGCAAAACAAGCGTGAAGTGTTGCTTTTATAGTTTGCTGCAGTTAAGTTTCGTTTTCATTTTCTCTCTGTGAGAGCTCATCTGGATCACGTGTGGATTAACAGTGTACGCGACGCTCGACAACAATAACTTACGTGTCTAAGGAGGAACATTGTTTACCTGAGAGCTGTTCTCATCTGCAAACGCTGAAATCCGGATTCGCTTGTAGTATTCTCTTCATAAAGACGCGGCTCTAGTTATTGGTGATTGTCCTGTCTCTACAGATTTGGTAAGTGAGCGACCAGTGCTCTTTGTTTATTTAGTTTGTTCGTATCGAATTAAGTTAACTATTGCACTAAGTGCAAACATAGCACCGCATTTTGTGACCGGAATAACACACGCGGCTTTCTGACGCTACCTGCCGTGTGCATCTAAGTTTCTGGGAAATGCGGAGTTTTTTTTTTTTCTCTCATTCGCCGTGCGGTATCAAACATTGCATGAAAAATACACGCTTAGAGCAGTTCCTCGAATCAAATATCTCGTTTGTCGCGAGGGGCATGAATGAATTCCCTGAATGAAAGAGCCAAACTGCAGTTAAAGTCCACCATTTAATAATTTGGCAAATAATTCGACTACAGATGTCCATGTAGGTTAAACACCATCACTTTCTCCTGTGTGTATTTTGACTGAAACTCGCGCGTGCCCAAATAGACACTCCCACACCCTCCCACTTTAGTTCCTCCGACACTCCCCCCTAAACAGAGCTGGACACGCCCACTTTTCTGACTTTTTCCAAACTAGAGGTGTGAAAACACCCTGCTGAAACGAGGGGGTTTCATGGCCCTTTAAAGCGAGGTTCTGACTCTGTGGTGATTAAAAATCCCATGGCATGTCTCGTAAAGAGTGGGGGCAAAACCCTGATCCCCTTGCCAAATTCTTGTAAAATTTTGCTGGCCAAAAGTTTATTATATGTTCACATGTTGTAAATTTTGTAATAATTGCCTTTGGAACATTTACAAAACAATCTACATACACTACACAGATAAGAGTAAGGACCAATACCAATTCTACCACTTAGCTCTTCCCCTTACCCTTAGGGTCTTAGCTTTAAGACGTAGGGTTAAGGGGTAGGGCTAGATAGCCCTTGAAACAGAGATTTTTCAGGACAGCACTCGAAACCAAGGGGCAGGGGCGGACTGGCCATCTGGCAAACCGGGCACTTTCCCGGTGGGCCGACGTACTTTTTGGGCCGGGCTGATCATCGTCTTATGATCTGATCGGCCCATAAAAGGCTTAGCAGCCTATCGTTTTTTTCTGCCTTACTAATTGACGCTGCTGTGATCTCTGTGACTCTCTGAAAGTAGATGCTTTTTTTCCCGGACAGACAGACCGGGCCGGCCCATGTGACACTCTGCAGCCCATTGGTTCTTTTCTTTACTGACATGGGGCTGGCCCAATCACAAACTCCTATTTTGGACTCCGTGTGAGCGTGCGTCGTCTGTGTGTATTTGTCAAAATAGTCGAGAGTCCGAGAGAAGAAACGCAAGGGAGGCGCAGAGAAATCGCTAGAAATACACCGGCGTTTCATTTAGCGATTCTAAAAAAGTTCCTTGTTTATTCTAGCACACGGCTAAAAGCGCAAATCACGTGACCACACACACACTGCCAAGACCTTCAGCCAGTAGTTCAGCGGGTGAGCATAAACCCCAGGTGAGAGTAGTGCATGTCAGACAGTTCATCTGCTGGATGATCTCATCTCAGCATAGTTGTTAAACGTGATATTGAATTCATCTTGTTGTCTCTATCTAACAACTCTTATGTCTTTTGAATCACTTGTTCTCAGTTAACCGTTTTGGCTGAGTGCAAAGATAAGCTAATATATTAATTTATGTAACATACACTGATTCTGCACATTGACTGATTGCTTACCTTTATCATATAAATTTAATGTACGTTATACTGTTATAATGGCCATTATAGATTATTAAAACTGATATTCTGCAAAAGAGATGGGGTGAAGTTCATTCTTTTCAATGGAAATGAAAGGAGGCAGTTATATTTAAGCCCTGTTTTGTTATAAATATGCAGAGTGAAGATGATGCTCATATAAATATGCAGCTACACGAGGCTGTTTGGTGTGTGTTAATCATAATATCAAAATTAAACAAATTTGACTTATATTAGGTTTTCATTGTTTAGATAGTGAAACAGCAAGCAGGATGAGGTGAATGTGGTTATAAAGTACACTGTTCCCTTTAAAGATTTAGCCATGCATTAGCAGGCAGTTTTTTTGTGTTTATTATTGAATATAGGCTGAGTGAATAGTGTATTGAATAAGCTAAATTGGCTGTAGTGTATGAGTGTGTGTGAATGAGTGTGTATGGGTGATTTCCAATATTGGGTTGTGGCTGGAAAGGCATCTGCTGCATAAAACATGCTGGAATAGTTGGCAGTTCATTCCACTGCGGCAACCCCTGATAAATAAGGGACTTATGCTAAGAAAAATAAATGAATGAATAGTGTATTTTTTAGAAATCAACAAATATCTTTATGGACAGTATACAAAAATTAAATTGTAATTAAAGTTTGTATTTATTCATTTATTTCATATATATAGCTTTTGTGTTTTATAGAATATGAGTTGATAAAAATATTGGACGTGCATAGATAGATAGCATTTTGATTGAATTTAGTGGGCCGCTTTGGCCCAAAATGCCAGGGCCGATTTTTTGCCCCAGTCCAGCCCTGCCAAGGGGTAATAAAATTTCCCAGAATACACCATCTATAACAGCACCATGGCTGTATATGGAAGTAAGGAGATGCACACATTAGTATTTTTGTCATTATTACGATTTTTTACAATAAACAAGCATGTTTTAATACATTCATAACCACATTTGTGTTTTACCGTCATGCTTTTAAAAAAATTCTAGCTAAATTTCTCTATCTATTATTCATAATAAAAACTTCTGTATAATTCTCCCATAGCATTCTGTCAATTGATGACACTGGAATACCCTGTTAGAAAAGTCTAGCAGCTGAGAATTAGCTTTTTACAGTGTCTGATATAATGTTAATGTTGTTTATGTGTGTTTATATAGATGAATATGGCCACGGTGTAAATGCACAGTACAGTTAAGATCTTATTGCCACATTATAACATTATGATAACATGAAATATGCCTTCAGTGCCTCCTGAAGCTAGATATAAAAAATAACACAACTGGAATACCCTCAGCAATCATCGTTGTCAATTTCATATGAAGCAAGTGATCGTGATGTCATATGGTGAAATGCGAGGGTTGTAGTGCTCTCCCATTTCTTAGATGTAAACTTTGAAGCCCTTCCCCTTCAAACTCTGTTTCAAGGGCCAAGGGGTATGGGGTACAAAAATAGAATTGGAATTAGGCCTAACCATAAGTATTTAAAGTATATTATGGTCAGCAGGGGTACTATCAAAATATGGTGTTGCCTTAAAGAATAACATCTAAAAGAGATGTATAAATACATAGCCGCAAGATACTGTGTTTAGAACGGTCCACACCATTTTAGTGCAAAAAAAAGACCATTTCAGTCTTTAAATCTGACAACAGTTTCTAAACACATAAATGCATAATAAGAAAAATATTTGCTAATCTAAAATATGTACATATTTTAGCCCTTACTTCAGTATGTGAAATAATTTTTTTCCCAGCGGACAAAAAGTGATCAATTTCAGCATATTTGGCATCTTTTTTAAGTTCTTCCAGTGATTTCTTATCTGCATCAGCCCCATACACTGCAATGATCCTTTCATTATCTGTATCAGTTCTTTCATCTTTGGAAGCAATCTCCCTCTCCCATTCCTGCAAAACAACACAAAATACTGCATTACCTTCCTTTACTTTACAGACAGACAGACAGACAGACAGACAGACAGACAGACAGACAGACAGACAGACAGATAGATAGATAGATAGATAGATAGATAAACCTCTTTAGAGATAAGCTCAATCTCAGCTTTGTATTCAGAGTCCTCCAGATTTGCTTCCACTTGAGTAATAACTGCTGTACAGGCACCAAGACTACCAGATGGCAGTAGACCCTCTAATCCCAACACTGCATTTAATAAAGAGCTTTTTCCTTCTCCTGTTTTTCCAAAAACACCAATAGTTTCCTTTCTTCTTTTGTCTTTCTCCATCTCATTAATTTTTGCAATGGCATCTCTACATCATGATATAGATAAAAGTAACTGAACACCACTTTACAATTGAGCATACAGAACAATTTACATTGTGATTTATAAGTACTTACAAAATGGTGTTTTTCAACTCATTTGTCGTTCGGTCTGTGCTGCTGATGTTCTGAAGTCTAACATTAACTTCATTCATTTTTTTTTTTGCCATATTCAATATGGCCATCTCTGTTGAATAAAAGTATAAGAAATTATTTTGAGATTGATAAACTAAATGCACACATTCATAATAAATGTAGGTATAAAAAACACACAAAAATGACTTGCCTGAATTTGATTTAGCACTGATATTTAAATCCCTCGATTCACGCTTTCTTTTAGTGCCTGAATCAGAGAATTAAAACACATCAACTTTGTACTGAATACAACGTGATCATTTTATTTGAAATATTTTTTTTTTGATTGAACACTCAACAGTTTAAAGAAAATGAAATGTTCCAATGAATTAAAAAATATATCGTTTTCTCCTGATATTTGCAGGTACAAGAAACTCACCTGTAACTGTTTGTTCCCCTTCGGGGGGAACTTCAGCACTATAAGTGGATTTGATGTTCTAAATCCACGTATGGGAGGATTCGGTTCAGAAGCCGCTCGTCTGAAAGAGTATTGAACGGGCCAATGAAAGCAATGAATTGGCAGCGCAAGCTTGCGCAGGTGTGCTGCATCGCCAATTAACTGAGCATATAAGCACACCTGGTGCTAGCAAACGCTATCCTTTTCGCTTCAGAGACTTTTCTGATCGAGTTCATGAGGGTTCCTCCTGCTGATCTACAGCCACTTCGAGCGAACGAGTGTCTCCCGGTCCAGAGCGAGTCCACGCAGCGGCAGACGGTCGAGCTGGGTTTCTCCCTTGCCTGGCGTCTCTTGGTGTCCGGTCCTCCAAGAGCGGTGCGTATTGATACAAAGCATCCTAAAAGAGCAACACAGTCGTGCAGCACGTCCTTTTTAGGATGGCGCTCCGACTGTGCGTTTCTGGTTGCGGGGGTTTCCTGGCTCCGGATGATGGGCACGATCACTGCATTACATGTTTGGGGGTCCAGCATGTTAATGTGGTGCTCGGGGGCGGTTCATGTCGTCACTGCGATGCCATGACCGTTGCGCAGTTGAGATCGTGGTTAGCTTTCGTAAGAGAGCGAGCCACCCCAGTCGCCTCCTGCTCTGCAGCAGGCGCTCGGGCAGATCTGAGGGCTCCAGCGAGAGATAATCCGCCGCCTAAGGGCTCGCGGACCTCTCGCTCCTCCAAGCGCTCCATCCAAGCTTCGGGTACTAGGAGTGATCCGTCTAATCAGATGGTAGCTCTCACGCTCGCTGACACCGGAGATCGGAGGGTGCATCCGATGCACCGCGGCATCGGAGGGTGGGCTTTCATTGTCCGACGATGATCCGGACCCGCTCGCCCCCTCTGGGCAAGCGAGCGCCGTCAAAACGGATCCTGAAGCGGACATGTTGGCCGGGCTTTCTCGGGCTGCTTCGGCCGTCGGGTTGGAGATGGTTCATCCCCCAGCCCCGCGGCCAGACCGACTAGATGGGTGTTACGTAGAGGACCAAAAGACGAAGCCTTTGAAGCCTCTCGTCCCCTTCTTCCCGGAAGTGCACAGTAGGCTCACGCAGTCCTGGAGGGCACCTTTCTCTGCCCGCACTGCGTCCGCCTCCGCCCTCAGCCCCCTGGATGGTGGAGCTGCCAGGGGGTATGAGGCGATCCCACAGGTGGAGCGCGCCATTGCGGTCAATCTTTGTCCGCGTGGCGCCACCACTTTGCGCGGTCCGTCCCGTCTCCCGTCCAAGGCCTGTAGGTTATCTGCCTCCCTCGGAGTTAGAGCTTACAAGGCTGCGGGCCAGGCAGCTTCCGCCTTGCACGCGATGGCCACCTACCAGCGCTAGCAAGCGCAGGCGCTGGCTGAGCTGCACGAGGGTGGGTCTAACCCAGGCTTGTTACACGAGCTGCGCACGGCGACCGACTATGCTCTCCGGACCACTAAGTCCGCCGCGTGCGCACTGGGGAAGACGATATCCACACTTGTGGTCCAGGAACGCCACCTCTGGCTAAACCTGGCAGATATGCGCGATGTTGACAAAGTTCGCTTTCTTGACTCGCCCATATCCCAGGCTGGCCTGTTTGGCGACACCGTCGGTGAATTCACCCAGGAGTTCAAGGCGGTGAAGGAGCAGTCGGATGCGATGGGCAATGTCATCTATCGGCGGGGCCGTAAGCCCGCTCCATCCCTGGCCGAGCCATCCATCTCCGCTGCTCCTCGCCGAAAGCCGGTAGCCCCTCCTGCCCTGGGCGCCGCTAAGTCCGGTAAACGGACCGCGAAGCGTCCTTGTGACAGGCCATCCGGAGAAGAGGAGACTTGCTCTTTCCCCGCTGGAGGGCATGGCCCATATTCCAACGGTACTTTTCAGTGCCACCAAAGTTTCGAACAAAGAGCATTTTTCCCCTTCCCCGGATGTGACAGCTCAAGCCCTGCCAGTCTGAGACGCGCTGCCTCTCAGCTCGCAGGGTCTGCATGCTTCGCCAGCGGCTCTCGGGCGCTGGGGGGACGGTCTCCCTTCTCCCAGCCCCCTCTCCGGAGTCAGGGTGCGGAGCCAGAGCGAATCGCTCTCCTCCAGCTCTTCTGTGGGACCCTCGCGCTCCCCGGATCAGCACACCCGCTCCGCGTTGCCCCTTCGCGGGTACGTCAACGATTGCTGCGATGACGTCACTAGCGAGGGCTCTGCCTGCCTGGTTAGCGCAGGCCAGTCCCTCGCGGTGGCTCATACGCACGATCAGACTCGGCTACGGACTACAGTTCTCGAAACGGCCTCCCAAGTTCACGGGCGTGTATTTTACCAGGGTCAATCCCCTGTCCGCCCCTGTCTTTCGAGAGGACATTGCTGCCCTCCTGGCGAAGGGTGCAATCGAGCCAGTACCTCCAGCCGAGATGGAGAGCGGGTTTTACAGCCCGTACTTCATCGTACCCAAAAAGAGCGGTGGGTCACGGCCAATCCTAGATCTGCGCGTTTTGAATCGCTGCCTTCACAAGCTGTCGTTCAGAATGCTCACGCAGAAGCGCATCCTCCGATGCGTCCGCCCTCAGGATTGGTTTGCAGCCATAGACCTGAAAGACGTCAGTTCCTGCGGTTTGCGTTCGAAGGTTGAGCATGGCAGTACAAGGTCCTCCCCTTCGGGCTCTCTCTGTCTCCGCGGGTCTTCACCAAACTTGCGGAGGGTGCCCTAGCGCCCCTGCGGCTCGCGGGCATCCGCGTACTCAATTATCTCGACGACTGGCTGATTTTAGCCCACTCTCGGGAGCAATTGACTGCGCACAGAGACGATGTGCTCCGGCATCTCCGCCTATTGGGGTTGCAGGTCAACTGGGAAAAGAGCAAACTCGCCCCGGTGCAGAGGGTCTCTTTTCTCGGAATGGAGCTGGACTCGGTCACCATGGTAGCGCGCCTCTCCTAAGAGCGCGCTCGCCTGCTGCTGAACTGTCTGAGGGAGCTCGACAGCAAATTTGTGGTCCCACTAAAATATTTTCAGAGGCTCCTGGGGCATATGGCTTCCGCTGCGGCTGTCACGCCGCTCGGATTGCTCCATATGAGACCACTTCAGCACTGGCTTCAAGATCGAGTTCCAAGACGTGCATGGCATGCGGGGACACACCGAGTCTCTGTTACTGCGCTGTGTCGCCGCACCCTCAGCCCCTGGAACGACCCCTCGTTCCTGCAGGCCGGTGTGCCTCTGGGACAGGCGTCCAGTCATGTTGTTGTCTCAACAGATGCTTCCAGCACAGGCTGGGGAGCCGTGTGTCGCGGGCATGCAGCTGCGGGCCTGTGGGTAGGTGCCCAGCTGCATTGGCACATCAATCGCCTAGAGCTGTTGGCAGTGTTCCTTGTTCTCTGCCGTTTTTCTCCGGTGCTGGAGCAGCAACACGTGCTGGTCAGGACGGATAGTACGGCGGCGGCAGCATATATCAACCGCATGGGGGGTATGCGCCCTCGCCGCACGTCTCAGCTCGCCCACCGTCTGCTCCTCTGGATTCACCCGCCGCTGAAGTCGCTGCGCGCCATTCACATCCCAGGTATGCTCAACCGTGCAGACGATGTGCTTTCACGGCAGCAGATTCACTCTGGAGAATGGAGACTCCACCCCGAGTCTGTCCAGCTGATATGGGCGCGATTCGGGGAGGCCCAGATCGATCTGTTTGCTTCCCCCGAGAACGCTCATTGCCAGTTGTTTTATTCCCTGACCGAGGGCTCTCTCGGCACAGATGCACTGGCCCACAGCTGGCCTCGGGGCATACGCAAGTATGCGTTTCCCCCAGTGTGCCTGATCACGCAGTTACTGTGCAAGGTCAGGGAGGACGAGGAACAGGTTCTGTTAGTTGCGCCCCTCTGGCCCAACCGGACCTGGATATCAGAGCTTTCCCTCCTCGCGACGGCCCTCCCATGGCAGATCCCTTTGAGAAAGGACTTACTTTCTCAGGGACAAGGCACCGTCTGGCACCCTCGCCCCGATCTCTGGAACCTCCACGTGTGGTCCGTAGACGCGAGGAAGACTTAGGTAACCTGCCGCCCGCGGTGGTCGATACCATCACTCAGGCTAGAGCCCCCTCTACGAGGCGCGCCTACGCCCTGAAGTGGAGTCTATTCACTGAATGGTGTGTCTCTCGCAGAGAAGACCCCCGATCTTGCCAGATCAGTGTTATGCTCTCTTTCCTTCAAGAGAAGCTGGATAGCAGGCTGTCACCCTCCACTCTCAAGGTTTACGTTGCCGCCATCTCCGCTCACCGTGACGCGGTGGCTGGCGGCACCGTGGGAAAGCATAACCTCATCATCCGGTTCCTCAGAGGCGCTAGGCGGATTAATCCAACTCGCCCCCCTCTCACGCCCTCTTGGGATCTCGCCCTCGTTCTCACGAGCCTGCGATTTGATCCCTTCGAGCCACTCAATACAGCATCCTTAAGATTTCTGTCCCTGAAGACAGCTCTGCTGATCGCGTTGGCCTCCATTAAGAGGGTCGGGGACCTGGAGGCATTTTCGGTCAGTGACTCGTGCCTGGAATTCGGGCGGATTTTTCTCACGTTATCCTGAGACCCCGCCTGGGTTATGTGCCCAAAGTTCCTACCACTCCTTTTAGAGATCAGGTAGTAACCCTGCAAGCGCTGCCCCCGGAGGAGGCAGACCCAGCCCTTTCCTTACTTTGTCCAGTTCGCACCCTGCGCATTTATGTGGACCGTACTCAGCACTTTAGATCTTCTGAGCAGCTCTTTGTCTGTTATGGCGGACGGCAGCAGGGAAGTGCCGTGTCTAAACAACGTTTATCCCACTGGATTGTGGAGGCCATTTCATGTGCTTATTTGAGCAGAGGTCAGCCCCGCCCCCCGGGAGTGCGTGCGCACTCCACTCGGAGCGTTGCATCCTCTTGGGCGTGTGCGCGCGACGCTTCTTTAACAGACATTTGTAGAGCTGCGGGCTGGTCGACACCCAACACATTTGCAAGGTTTTATAATCTGCGAGTGGAGCCGGTTTCCTCAAGGGTGTTAGGGACCTTTGGTCATTGAGGAAACAACTTGGTGGGTGTTGTAGCACGCTTGCGGTGCCTTTTTTCCCTAACACGGAAAGATGTGCACCCTCCTGTCTGTCAGTAAAGTTCCCCATTCGGTGAGCCCTGCAGATTCCTCCGAGGCCCCCAGCACTGACTCAGCGGAGGAGTCACTCGCTGGCCCACTACGTTAGGTCTGCCCGCTGGTCAGCCCGCGTTTTTGGGTATAGGTGCCTGCTATGGCCGATCCCCGCTGGTGATCCCCATATGCTTTTCCGCCACGGTTAAGTTCCCCCCCTGGGTGGACCCGTGCTTTCCCCATCCGCTAACCACCTTCTTATGCGCACTCCCCCTTCTCAGGGTTAGTCCATATGTAATTCCATTTGTTTCCCTATTGGGTGCGGATGGTCTCCGCAGCATCCTCCCTACTGGGATGGCACGCTTCCCAACGTACTGTCGTATATTCCTAGAATTATCTAGACGCTAGCGACTCCCAAAAAAATATACCTATACCGTAAAGCTTCTTTTGAAGTGGGGATAAGTTTGGCACCAAGGCCAAGGGCACGTTGGAGGACCGCGCCTCTCATGATTTGGGTGCGTCACGCTTGCCTGACTGCCCTCTCATGGTGGGTGTTGGTAAGGTGCAGTCATTTTGGCGCTTACAATGGGCTCCCATACGTGGATTTAAAACATCAAATCCACTTATAGTGCTGAATTTCCCCCCCGAAGGGGAACGTTCGAGGTTACTAAAGTAACCCTTCGTTACCCGAGGAGGGGAACGGAAGCACTATACTCCGTCGCCATAATGACTGTCCCTTAGCTGTTAAAAGTCTCTTCAGCTTAAAAAGGATAGCGTTTGCTAGCGCCAGGTGTGTTTATATGCTCAGTTAATTGGCGATGCAGCACACCTGCGCAAGCTTGCGCTGCCAATTCATTGCTTTCATAGGCCCGTTCAATACTCTTTCAGACGAGCGGTTTCTGAACTGAATCCTCCCATACGTGGATTTAGAACATCAAATCCACTTATAGTGCTTCCGTTCCCCTCCTCGGGGAACGAAGGGTTACTTTAGTAACCTCGAACGTTTTGTACTCACTATAACAATTCACTTTTGCAAAACAATCTATTAAGATGTTCCCCAGCGGGAGGGGAACTTCAATGCTATGTGGAAAAACGTCCACAATGTGGATTTTGCCGGTAAGTTCACGTAGCTTTCACAGCAGTTTCACGCCCATGAGAATAGAGGCTCCACCCTTGGCTGTCCATGGTTATGGATGCGTGATGGTGCACTTGTTTTTTGCGCCTCTCTGGCTCAACCGGACCTGCATTTCGGCTCGTGACGCGCCTTCCCTGGCATATCTATTTGAAGAAACACTTTCTTTGGGACAGACACCATCTAGCAATCATGTCCAGATCTCTGGAACCTCACGTGTGGTCCATAGATGGAGCGCTGAGGTCTTAGGTGACCTACCAGTTCGATAGTTAACACCATCAATTCAATTCAATTCAATTCACGGTGTGGTGTACTTCTGTCCGAGAAGGACTTGTACATGCCAGATCAGTGTGATGCTATCCTCCTTCAGCTGGCTGGAACTAAGGCTGTCCCCCCTGCTCTGAGAGATTGGCATTGCTATAATTCCCTCTCTGAGAACGTGAAGTATCATATCCATACTGAGGTTGGCCCACTGGATAGTGCAGGGGTGGCCAACCCTGTTCCTGGAGAGCCACCTTTCTGCAGATTTCAGATGCTACCCATATCGAACCTACTAATTAGGACCTGAACAGGACGTGGTGTGTTTGATATAGGTTGCAACTGAGATCTGCTGGAAGGCGGCTCTCAAGGAACAGGGTTGGCCACCCCTGGGATAGTGGATTGTGTCTCCCTCGCTTTTCAGTGGCAGGGTGAGCCACGTTCCCCGGGAGTGAGATCTCACTTAACTAAGAGTATCGACTCCTCCTATGCATGAGCACACGGCGCCTCTCTAACAGACATCTGTAGAACTGCGGCTGGGTGACACCTAATAAATTTGATAATAAAAAAGATTCTGTAAACTTTGAGTGGAGCCAATTTTCCCCACTTGAGCTGGATATTGCCAGTGAATGAGGAAATTCTGTACTGTGTTAAAACAGTTGCTGTGCTTTTGTCTCTAACACAGGCATGTGTTTGCTTTTCTTACCCTGCTCAGTTGAGTTCCCCATTCAGTGAATCCTACAGATTTCCTCCGAGGCCCCCAACACCTGATTCAGCAGAGGAGTTGGGTGCCTGGCCCATTACGTTGTTGGCATGCCCGCTCAGTCAGCCCACATTCTAAGTATAGTTCCCCCCTCTGGGGGGCCCGTGTCCTCCCTCCCCGCTAACCATCCTTCATATGTGTGCTCCCTCTTCTCAGGGATAGTCCATTTGTCTTCTTGCCACCAGGTCTCCCCATTGGGGCAGCAGGTGACCTCCGCAGCATCCTCCCCATTTGGGACTGGCACGATATCTCAACTGTAATATTTTTAAATTCCTAGATCTTAACTAGGTGTATTTTTTACTACTCCCCAAAAATATAAATAAGCCTTTAACCGCTTTACAGGTAACAAGGGTTAGTTAGGGCCAAGGGACACGTTGGAGGGCTGCGTTTCTGGTGATGATAGTGTACTTACGCTGGAGCCTGGCAAATCTCTTAGCAGCAACATGGTAAGGTTCAATCCCTGTGGCATTTTCCATACATTTCAACATAGTGGAAGTTTTTCAACACAACATTGACTTTCCCCTCCTGCTGGGGAATGAAACGGTTACTATGTAACCCTCGATCTCTGAGGCAGAGAAAACAAAATGCTATGTTCCTTCGCCACAGTAATTGCTCCTTAGCTGACAGCTTGAGTTTAGCTCTCCAGCTAGAAAAGTTCATTCGCATGGCTGGCATCTGTATTCACAACTGATTGTGATTGCTGCCAACTGCGTATGCTGACGCAGCCAATTCTTTGGTTTTTCATTGGTCCGTTTCATTACTTTTTAGATGATTGGCTTTCTGGCAAAATCCCCGTAGTGGAAGTTTTTCCACATAGCATTTATATTCCCCCCTCTGAAAACTAGGAATTTTTCATATGCTTAAAACTAATTCCTTTCTAAAATACAGTACAAACAGCATGCAAATACATATGTTAGTTTGTGTGCATGTGTATGTGTACCTTGTATTTCTAAAGTTGTCCCGGCAAGTACAGCAATGCTAAATACTTTGGACCCTGTGGTGACATTTTTCCCAATGAGAAAACAGCTCATAAATCACACTAAATAAATTATTTAGAAAATATAAAACTCCAGAATGTTACATGTGAACATTTAAGGCTGATTTATACTTCTGCGTCAAACACCGGCGTATGCTACGGCGCTGACACATAGCCCTTCACCGTGGCCGTCGTTGTCACTGACGTGCACCTCTCAAAAAATGTAACTACACGTCGCAACAACGCGTAGCACAAGCTCTGTGATTGGTCGGCTTGGTAGCCCTGACGAGTCGGGGCGGGACCGAGAGCCGCGCAAATGGCGCGAGCCCAATGTAGCGATTGTATACAAGTGTAGAGTCCCGTGAAGGAGCTCCGGATGGAAAGTTTTGTTTTGTGTTCACCTCATAGTTAAAGTTGTTGCATGTACGCCGGTTTCTGCCTCAAAATGAGCTAGTTTGAGTTACTTGTACAACCAGGAAGTGTTCAGGAAACACAAAACAGAAGAGAAAAAACTCGACACGGAGGAACATTTACACCTCACTGCCCACTAGCGTTTCGGAAGTGTTAATGCAGACCAACAGAGACAGCGCACAGAAGTATAAATGCAAAGCCAAGGCATGCGCCGTGGGTTACACCGGTCACTTGACGCAGAAGTATAAATCAGGCTTTAGGGGTAGGGAGATACAATATACAATTTGTACAGAATAAAAATTGTTTTATCTATGGGAAGCCGATATGTTATGTGAGGTAAATAAAATTTTATTATTTGGCCTACCACTGGCATTCTGTGAAAATCCTAATGATGGCCCAGGAAACAGTGGACAGGTTTCTGTCACTTGATTCACTGCTGTGGCTGCTCTGTTTATAAGAAATAATAATAACATAAATAATATTACTAATAAATACCAACAAATGCTTCCATTGGGAGGGAATAGGAAACAACCCTACATGGGGATAGTTGTAACATACGTGGTTTAAAAGCTTCAACACACAATAGTCAGTTAGGCGTTCACTTCTTACCATATCAAATGTTTACGGGAGGGAAAAAAATCTGCTAAATTGTAAAAAAAAAAATTTATTATAATACCTGACCAGAACAGATAATTTAAATAACTACAGTATAGCATCATTTGTATTCTCAATTTTCTGTTATCATGCTAATCCCAAATGTATTATTTAGCAGTTTAAATAGTTAGCTAACTAAGAGAAGACCAGATTTTAAATCCCAGTTGTGCGGTTGGAGCACACCCAAAAAACCACATGTATTATACCAACTTAAATACAATGAGAATACATTACTTACTGTTCTGTCTGCTCATTCAATTCTTTTTGTTTTTCCTTGGCCTCCTCATAAGTGCCTGCAGTAAGATAAGAAAATATTTTATTATTGAGAACTCATTGAGAGTAAAAGTTGACTCTTTAAAGTAAGAAATGGTACCATATTCTTCATGAAACAGGACAGCTAATTTCTCCCAAGATTTCTCTCCTGTTTGAGGTGCTAATCCTTTCTGAACAGCTTCTATGAATTTCTCTGATGATTTGTATGGAGGCCAGTAACATTGTTTTTTGTCTTCGCTCAACCAGTTTGATGCTGTCACCATCACCTCTTCTGATTCTTCTAAGGTTACAACTGCATACATGGTGGTCCTGCAGTAAATAAGTAATTAATTATTTAAAATAATGAACAAAAGATGTAGAACTCTTCCCAACAGCACACACACACACACATACACACACACACACACACACACACACACATAAGGGCAGATTTACTAACTGCTTGCACTAGCACAAACCATCTTTTTTGGCTTTAAAACAGAATTGTTGGTATTTAATAAACATGCACAGAGAAGGATAGCACTAAAAAGGCATAGACACAGCTATTTTTTATCTGACCTTATTGACCTAATCAGATGCAAAATTTATGCAAGAAGTATTTAAATGAATCACGCAATATGATTTACTAAGATTTGCATTCCTCAAATTCTAGGTATTTGTGCCAATGTTTAAATCCTAAAAAAGAATGTCTTTAGTGTGGCACATGAAATGGCTGCAGTTGTTGAAGCTATTGGATGCACAACAGAGAACAGAGAGTGAGCAATACAATTGTAATGCCAGAGGAACATTGGAAAATATTGTTTTCCAATGTTCCACAAGCCATGTGATTTTTAATGTCCTTCAGGAATTAAAAGATAACTTGGAACTAGGGTTGTAACAATATACCGGTATGACGGTCTACCACGATTTGAACGTGCACGATTATCATACCATGAACAATTGCATATCAACGGTTTTAACCCTTAAAGACCGAGACAGCCGTCCGTGGCTAAAAATAAGTATTGCTCTTAAATGTTTAATAACTTTTGATCCGCTGATCCGATTCATACAATTCAAAGATTGGCATAAAGAAGAGAATCTTTCCAGTCAAGCTTTCCAGTGCTGTATCACATAACATTCGCGGACTTTCAGAGCCTCCGGAATCAGTGCGGTTACGTCATCAAAATTTGACAACGCTGATTTGACAAAGAAACGCTCGTCACTGTGTCTCCGGACAAACCAGACATGATACATTGATGCATTGTCCTCCCTCCATGCCCAGATTGGTTCAAACTCGCTATATCACAACCAATAAGCATAGGTTTCGCTTTTGTTTGTGGACCAACAATGAGCTTTTTGAACAACACGGAATGAGAGATAGGCATACATTTATGCGCGGCTAAATAAAACGCCAAAAAAAAAAGTTTTGCATGAAATAATTCTCATACTAAGTACTTTTGCATGCACAGCAGCACAGAAACATGACAAAACAGTGACACAGCAAAGACGAACTGCTGCTCTTGCTGTTTTCAAAAGACTCAAATGAAGGTGCAGCTGTTTGTCTGCATTGCAGACAACCATATCCAAATCCATATCCACAGACAACCATATCCATGCTGGCACATAAAACCTGAGGATGTTCCATATTGAATCTAGTTTCGTTATGTAACTATTTATAGTATAGTAAATATTTATATCTATTTTTTTTACTGAGGATTTGCACCATGTTTATTTGGACTTTGACACATTATTTATTATTTTCTTATTTTTTTATTTGTTCATTGTACAAGTGGACACATTCTCTCACCTCAGCGGTCAAGATTAAGTCCTGAAAATCTCAACATGCTTACATTTCTTCATCACAACCTAGACTGAAAAAAACAACGCTTTAAATACATGTTTACGGCCATAAACTTGGTATTGCACTTTTGGTCTCCCATTTATCCTGCTTATAAGGAAGGACAGTTTAAGTTTATTTTTGTCTAATCTTAAAAGACCTTGCTTGTTTATTCCTTCTAATTTAATTTATTAAAATGGTAAATTTTTCTGTTTATTTTTATAAAAGACTTCTATAGTTCAATTAAAATGGTTCTTTCAAAAGTTTGTTGAAATAAAACCTTTGTTCAGTCAGAAAACGTGTTCTTATTCTTTTCAGGGTCTTTGCTATGAGAATTACTATTTAATACCGTATACCGCGAAACCATCAAACCATGGTATTGTTTTAGACGATTATCATACCGTAAAAAATTCATACCGTTACAACCCTACTTGGAACACACAACTAGGGTGAGTCACAGAATACCAGGTCTAGACCAGCCCTTAATTTTTGTCCTACTGTGGTTTTAAAAGTCTGCATTTTAACTTGGATTATCCACTAATCAAAGGTGACTGAGCGCACCATAGTACAAAATTACCATAAATTTGCATTCGTTATCTCCCGGTAGAGAAAAAAAAGCTTGTTCTTAGTAAATCACCTGCATTTTATGAGCATCTACTCTGCTTATTAGCCACTGAGCTCATTTGCACTGCACATATTACATTGGTTGATATGTACATAAGATTTTACATCTGTGTTGTTTAACTTGCATACTGTCAGTAACTCATCCATGCCCATCAGTGCTCTTTTGGAATTGAGCTCTCGTGCAAACTTGCCATTTAGTTAATTTGGGCCATAATGTGAATGCATTCTATGTACATTTGGTAGTCTACAAGTGGTTATTAAAAGTGTGACACCACTGTGTTTGGTGTAAATTTTCGTAGACCTTTAGAATTAGGCAGATGAAAATTAATTTGTCCAATAGGGAAACACACTAACCCACACGAATTACAGTGTACAGTAGACACAGGAGGATCACTGCAGCTGAGAATCTCCTAAAAGTGCCCAAAGTTCCATTGTGTTTTATGTTTCTTATAATAAAGTCTGCTATATATTATTAGCCATCTTCAATATCCTCACCTTCCATCACTTTCAATTGATTTAGATTTTCCCTCATGTTCAATTGACCCAACACTGTCTTCAAAAAGTGTATTGCTATACCCAAGACAGTTTTCCTCTGTGTCGTCACTCAGTCCATCATAATCTTCACTTGCAGACTCATTACCCTCAACACTTTGTCCTCTGAATAATGTCATAATATCATATTCTTCTTCATTGTTGCTGCTTTCCATAGCATGCATCTTATCTAGGTCTTCAGATGGGATGCAAATGATCACATTTGTCTTGAAAACATGCACTGCATAATTTTCTAAATTCTTACACAACTTTAAGGCGCAGCTTTTCAGTTTTAAAGCTGTGAGTACTGGCTTCAGTGGGCAGCCCACACACTCCAAAGATTTTGAATCTCTGAGGAGATTTTGCACAATGAGAAAGTCTTGATAAAGAACTGAATGTGAGTCCTCAATTTCATCCTTTAGACAGCAGAGCATTGCTTCAGTGCAGACTGTTTTGGGAGTGATCATAACAATTGCTGTATCCTTAATTGTCCCTTTTGACTGAGACTTTAAGAAATCATCGAGACGTCTTGCCAGAATTGTTGCAATGATGAGGTAGTCGGCATTAAAAAAGTGAGGGATATCATCCTGTGGATCTTGAAAATACAATTCAGAGCAGTTGACTTCACCCATGTGGATTCCGTCATAGAGCATCTTTATGTATGGAATTACATCCCGGATGTTGTCTTTATAGAAGGACACTGGGATGTCGTCTGGTCTTACAGTGTCTGACACTTGAAGTGACTGAACTGCTGACACAATGTCAACTTCACTGACTGCAGATGAGCTTTCTTCACACTGTAATGAACTGGTTTCATCTGTCAAAAGTAGTTTTTTGCTGTTAAATATTTTGAAATGTAACTGTGTTTGATCTATCAGAAGAGGCTCTGTGTAGACACAGTTGATCTCTAAAGACACAGGTTGGTGATCTTTGAGCTCTCCTGACCTTGAATTCATGATTTCACAACTTCTTACTCGCCACATGCATTCATCTGGAATGAAGAAGTAATCCAGTCTAGACACTGGACGATCTCTTATGTAGAAGGTAAAATCCTGCTTTACAGGGTTCATTCTTCTCCAGACATCAGCCAGCTGAAGAGATTTCATGAATTTATCCACAAACAAGTGCAGATTTTTCTGATTTCTTTTATTTGCTATCTTGTTTGAATTATTCTTTTTGTCGATAAACGGATTGAGAATCGTGTTGAAATCTCCACCAATCACCAGCAGCCCAGTGGTCATTTTCTGCAGGTATCTTGAAAGATTATCAAGAGTTTTTGCATCGGTGTGATGGTTATAAACACTCACCAGAGTGTACTTCTGACCCGCCAGTTTACATTTCAACACAACATAAGCTCCCCTGTTATCTTTGTCATGACTTATACATTCAAAATCTAAACTCTTCCTCACTAAAATGGCAGTTCCTCTGCTGGAGGAGGTGTACTTTGTGTAGAAAACAACCCAATCTTTTTTATAATCTTCTATCTGTTTATCTCGTACACCAATGTGAGTCTCTTGCAAGAAAACAATGTCAGCATTTTGAAGTTCTTGAAATTTCTGATCTCTGTTTTGTTTAAGTCCATTAACATTCCACGTGATGAAGTTTATGGTGTGTGAAGCCATCAACAGATCTGCTTTGATGGATCAAAGATCCTCAGCTTTGTAAGTTCACTGCCAAAACAAAGAGCGATGGATAGTAGGAAGTTTTTGTTTTGCATTCTGAGAGAATTGTCTTGCATTCTGACAGCAATAAAAGCATTTTGTGTTTGACACATATTTGTATTAATTGTATTCAAGATTTACATTTTTTCTTTTTAAAAAAGTTTTCTGTAAATTGCCACACCCTGCTTATATGATGCATTCATATTAATAATACAGTGATACGTCTTGAAAAACAAGTGTCTTTAAATTGTATCCATAACATATTAGACAAAACATGAATATATTCTTCTGCATCTGTTTCCATTATTTTATTTATTTTCACATTTGCCAGAGTTTCACATTTCCCAGTGTCCCACAAAGAACACATAGTTGACCTTTTTCAAATATGTACATTATTGTATCAGAAAATTTAAAATTAACAGAGGAATCAAATTTCTAAATGTTTATTTAGATTGTTTTAGAAAAAGCAAACATAAGACAGTATAAATTTTTGACATATATTTTGTAACTGTAGTTCACTTCTAAGCATCATAATAATTTAAAAGAAAAGTTACCTTTTATTTCTCTGGATAACGTCTGAAGGACAGAACACTCCTGCCGATACGACTGCCAAGAGCAATGAAGTACAGGATTGCTACTATTCTGTGTGTTAGCTCTGAGTCATCATTGGGTGTGGTCTTTTAAAGAGAGAAACATACTAAAGGGAAAGATAAAGTTTCTCTTCTGCTTTTGTTGTGGAAAGGTGTACTGGATCTCAACGGATATCTTCTAAGTTTCAAAAAAGAGGCTGAGGTCTTCGAAGTTCTCAAGTTGAAGCAGTTTATTGTGACAGCAAAGTTGGTTGATCGATCTTTCTCCTATCAATGTTCAAAAACCCACAGTTTATATAGAGTTTTTTCCCATGGTCGTCATGACATGTCGTGTAGCATCACGCCATTTCCCGGCTCCAATAGTATCCTTGCTTTTTAATTAATGGCTGTATGTTTTTCTGTTTTTACATATCTTAAAGGTCATATAGCATGTGCTTACCAACATGTGTTTGCACATGATCATGTTGTTTTCATACTTTCTAAATGATTCTCCTTATGTATGCTATTTTGGCAAGGGTTGTTTTTGTCTTGGTCAATACATACATTTGTCTAAATGTATTGCATATGCAGGCTGAATGTTTCTTCTGCAGAAAACACTAGGCAGGGGGGCCCAGGAGAGTCAGCTGGACTGGACTGGAGCCAGTGGGACACGAGGCATCTGGACTGGAGCCGGCGGGACAGGAGGCAGCTGGACTGGAGCCGGCGGGACAGGAGGCAGCTGGACTGGAGCCGGCGGGTAAGGAGGCAACTGGACTGGAGCCGGCAGGACAGGAGGCAGCTGGACTGGAGCCGGCGAAACAGGAGGCAGCTGCACTGGAGCCGGCAGGGGTGGCGCCGGCAGGGCGAGGAGCCGGGGTAGCGCCGGCAGGGTGAGGAGCTGGGGTGGCGCCGGCAGGGTGAGGAGCTGGGGTGGCGCCGGCAGGGCTGGAGCCGACACTGGCGGGCGCTCTGGGGCTGGAGCCGACACTGGCAGGCGCTCTGGGGCTGGAGCCGACACTGGCGGGCGCTCTGGGGCTGGAGGCAACACTGGCGGGCGCTCTGGGGCTGGAGCCAACACTGGCGGGCACTCTGGGACACTGGTGGACTTTCTGGTGCATTGGCAGTTTTCTTCCTACGCCTCCTCCGTCTGGTTGTCTGAGGGAGAGCGCTGTCGGCAGAAAAAGGAGCCTGTTCTGGAGCTGGAACCGACACTGGCAGGCATTGTAGGACTAGGGCGGACACTGGTGTATCACACAGATCCAGAAGACTTTCCAGAGGCTCCGAGAAGGGTGGTCTCCGGACAGCGCGACGCGGATAAGTCCGCAACTCCAGTCCAGCCTCTCTCCTCCTTCCCTTAGACAAATCAGCTGGCCCTGAAAATATCACTCTCTGTTGCCCTCCAACCAGGCCTCCCTCCTGAGGGTTCTCCTCCCTCAGGGCAACAGAGAGAGGGGAGCCAGCGATCAACAAAGCTGATTCAATGAAGCGGTAAAGGTTCCAATCCTCCTCATATGGCGGCATTTTGGATCGTACGGGCTCTACAAGTCCTCCCCGAAAAAACATCATGAGCAGTAAATCACTAAAACTACTGGTAGGAGCCAGATCCAAAAAACTCTTTAACGTAACGCTCAACGGAGCGGTTACCCTGTTTAATTCACACTAGAATATTATCTGCTGAATCCATAGTGATTGCGTCGTTCTGTCACGTTATGCGTGATCAAAACAATAACAAAACGAGAACAAAAAGATTGCGGATTCAAGTGCAGATTTTAATATAATATAGTGCAAAAACAGTGAACATAAATTCCAAAAATATCAAGGTGCAAAGTGACAAATAAACAACAAAACTAGAAACTAAGACAGATAAACACAAACTAGACTATAGCAAGATACGAGAACAAGATCAAGAACAACAACTCGGAATAACAGACTTACTGGAACTGGAGACATGAAAGACAAATGATGCGATAACAAACAACGGTGGAATGATGGAATATATAGTCCAGATAATCAACGGTAACACAGAACAGATGTGATGACAGGTCAGTGTATGTGTTCCGGTGTATGCGCGTGGAATGTATGGAATTGTGGTCTTTCTGGGACGCTGTAGTGCTTTCTGAGTCCTGATGCACTACAGTGCCCTCAGGTGGTCACTGACGGATGTGACAGTTCTTACTTTGCCGCATGAACTGCCATGCCTCAAGGCCGTAAGGCCCTCAATTATAAGGCCCTGTATGTCTGTGTGTTTTCGTCAATTATAAGGCCCTGCATGTCTGTGTGTTTTCCCCTGCATCACTTGAACATATTTCTATATGTTTTAACAGTGTATCATAATAGTAATCTAAATTTTAATAGTGGCAGATTATATAGTGATTACATAGTAAAAGTTCCTCTAAAATTCTCCTAAACTTTCGACTAAATTACTACTGTAAATATAAAGCAATATCATTAATATGTACTCAATGAATGATTTACTTGTGTTTTATTTTATTTTATTAATTTATTTTAATATAACTGATAGATTTCTCTAAATACGTCTAAATTATGGTATTTTTTTTTCTTTAGCAGTGGTGTGTCCTGAGTTTTGCTCTTCCAAAGAGAATATGTAAAGTTAAGAAAGTTCTAAGCTTGGATTTAAATGAAAACAACACATGAAGTGACTTGTTCTTTGATGATCTATTTACCCCAGAGGCCAAATTTGATTTTTGATTCTTTTTCTTTTTTAAATATTTCCCAAATGATGTTTAACAGTACAAGAAATTTTTCACAGTATGTCTGATAATATTTTTACTTCTAGATAAAGTTTTAATTGTTTTATTATTTTTGCTAGAATAAAAAGTTTTGAATTTTTAAAAGAAAAATTTAAGGTAAAAATTATTAGCCCCTTTAAGCTATCTTTGTTTTCGCTAGTCTACAGAAGAAACCAATCTTATACAATAACTTGTTTAATTACCCTATAACTGCCTAGTTAACCTAATTAACCTAGTCTAAGTCTTTAAATGCAACTTTAAGCTGAATAGAAGTGTCTTGAAAATATCTTGTAAAACATTCATTGTTGTCATCATGGCAACAATAAAAGAAATCAGTTTTTAGAAATGAGTTATTAAAACTATTATGTGTTTAAATGTGTTGAAAAAAAAACTTCACTCAGTCAAATTTTGACTGTAGCTCAATCTCAGTTTTGATTATTCCCATCTTAGACCCCTAAAAGCAACCAGATATGTTTTTATTGCTATGTTATCTGTATTATAACTGCTACAACTGCTTTATCAAAAAGTAGGCTAACAAAATATTGGTTTATGTTCCAAGTGGCAATTACACACACACATACACACGCAACACCATGCGTTTTTTTTTTTTTTTTTACATAAATATCAAACTACTTTTATAAGTTGCAATAAAACTAATCCATATAACAAATAACAAGTGCAAAACTATTATGAAACACACTTATTTCATATAGATAACAACCCTAAATAAACTTTTTTTTTTAATTCAATAAACAGATTTTTGTAATTGGTAAGAAGTTAAATATTTGGAGAAAAGTGTTATCTTGTATGTCTAAGGATAAAATCACACAACTGCAGTCACACTTTGGGTGTGGCATTCTGATATCAACTGAAAACTTGAGGCAAGCACAAGACATGACAGGACAAGTGTCTGGACTCCACCACTAAAACAAGAATTAACAAGACCAAAGAGGCAAGTCCTGACAATACACCTGGAATACTCAATACAGATAAAACAGCTCTCAAACACAAGAAATAGTATCTAGTATATAAATACTCCCAAAATAATAGTAGAAGGACATGACATGTCCTCAGACTCACAGCCCACAAACAATACCAACAACACCCTTCAACCCCAGTCATTCACAGTTTTTAAACCATTACACTTAATTTGTTACACAATTACTTGCCTTTTACTCAAGAAGTTTTAAAGAAATTAACTGCAATTAATGCTAAAAAACAAGTAAGATAAGTAAACATAAGATAAATATCAGATAATGTATCTAAAATACCTTAATATTAATGGTGGGCTTTTTTAAAATCATAACTGTTGAAGCAGCAAAAGCAGCAAACTATAAATGTAGTGTCTCTACATATTTATCTCTGACATTACAGACTCCAGTATCTGAAATGGGTGTACCAGACCAAAGTGTAAAAATGTTTACTAATGCGGCTTTTACATTAGCAAACATGATCTGTCCTAAGATTTGTGTCATGTTTGGTTTAATGCTGTTTGCATTTAATTTATAACTTATTTTGAATTTATATCTCAATTTGACATGCCTTCAGAAGAAATTGACCAGTTAACTCAAGTTGAAATATATACATTTCTGAAAAAAAATAAAATAAACATTGGATCATCTTTAACAAAACAGAGAACCTGATTGTAACGTTAACATGGTATATGGGGTGAATGTAGTAGTGTGAAGGGAATCTGAGTTCATACAAAACATGGTTGACTTGACGGATGATGGTTAAAGGACCAATGAATCTGGGATTTAGCTTCCTGCAGAGTAGTCTCAGTCGAATGTTGCTGGTGGAGAGCCACAGCTTCTGTCTTGGATAGTAAGTTGGACTGGGGTCTCTCCAGACATTCATTATTGCATACTGGAGGTGTTGGTGAGTCCCAGACCCCCTTACTCTCCCGGAACCAATGATGGACAGATGGAACTTGTTAAAAGTTCCCCAGACCAGGGAAACAGAAGTGGCTGAGTATGCACTGGACAGAGTTCTGTGGAGGGTTGACATAAGGAGTTTTGTGAGTACGGTAATATCAGCCTATTTTCTATATTTTCCTCTCTGTCCATTGCTGTGGGGATGATCACCAGAAGATCGGTTGACTGTCATGCCTAGGAACGAGAAGAAAGCTCTCCAGACTTGGGAGATGAAGTGGGGTCCTCGATCAGAGACAATGTCCTAAGGAATGCCAAAGTTTCGAAACACATGGTTGAATAATATTTCTGCTGTTTCCATGGCTGTGAGTAAACCTTTCAGTAGTACAAGACGACAGGCTTTGGAGAATCTGTCCACTGGTGATACAAGTTGTAAAAAGTTTCTTTGTGTGGGAAGAAGAAGACAGGGTCGGCGTTAAGGTTAGTGACAATTTGTTTATTAATCTTTTTATGCGGTAACAACAGCTCACAAGGCACTGGTTGTCGCTCGGCTCTCTCTCTCCTGACTGGTCCTCCCGTTCTCCTTAAGACGGGTGTCTCTCCGGTCCAATCACTAGAATAAACAGGTGTTATTTATTATTTCTGATTGGCCTGCTGATTATCCGTCGGCCTCTGAGCATGCTCTCCCCCTTTATTGGGTGTTCGATCATGTTTACCTCTCCACACAAGTATTTTAGTTAGTTTAGTTTAGTTTATTTATATAGCACATTTTTTACAACACAACGTTGCCCAAAGTGCTGAACACAATCAATACTAAAAATGAAATCTACATCACATAAATAACATCATCAGACAGTGGCAAATCTGTGACAAAATCAACTCCTAGGTGTGACCAGGGATGCAGAGGAATAGGAAGAGGAAAGGGCGCTTACCAGATGGAAGATGACGAGGATCTCTGGACATTTGAGAGGGTTTGATTGGTTGCAGGATGACCCACTGGATTGGGATGATGATTATCTCAGCTGGTAGAATAGGTTCAGGAATTCGTGAGGAGTATGCATTTTAGACAGATTGTGAGCTTATGTGTTATTGGAGCCTGGACGATAGGAAATAGTTAAATCTGGTGAAGAATAAAGCCCACCTGCCATCCTGGGGTTTGCGATGTTCAGTTTTTTCTTAGATACTCAAGGTTATGATGATCTGTGCATACAAGGAATGGGTGTTTTGCTCCTTCCAACCAGTTTCTGCATTTTTCCAGTCAGAGTTCATACGGTCATGGAAAACCTGGAAAAGTCATGGAATTTTGACATGCCATTTCCAGGGGTGAAAAAGTTTTGGAAAAACAGAAAACCCCACAAAGTTTTTGAAAAGTCATGGAAAACAGATATCTAGATACTTGAATATAGATCAGTTGTCTTGACTTCTATTCTGTCCTTGGCCAATCACATACTTTCAGGTTATTAGTGTGGTGTAAGCATTGTCTAAATAGATTTTACATAGATATAAATATAAATTTAGCGTCACAATGGCACAGTGGGTAACACAATTGCCTCACAGCAAGAAGATCACTGGTTTGAGCCTCTGCTGGGTCAGTTGGCATTTCTGTGTGAAGTTTGCATGTTCTGTCCGTGTTCGCGTGGGTTTTCTCCGGGTGCTCTAGTTTCCCCCAAAAGTCCAAAGACAGGCGGTATAGGGGAATTAGGTAAGCTAAATTGACTGTAGTGTATGTATGCGAATGAGTGTTTATGGATGTTTCCCAGTGATGGATTGCAGCTGGAAGGGCATCCGCTGTGTAATACTTATGCTAGATAAGTTGCCAGTTTCTTCAACTGTGGCGGCCCCAGATTAATGAAGAGACTAAGCCGAAAAGAGAAGCAATGAATAAAATATAAATTTAAAGTAAGTAGTTTGTTGCATGTTTTACAATATGCTGTAATACATTTAAACATGCATTGTTTTCTTTTGCCACGTATATGTAGACATTGCATGAAACATTAGTTCATAAAAATTTACTTGAAAGTCTTGGAAAAATCATGGAAAAGTCATGGAATTTTAGTAGTAAAATGTGTATGAATCCTGTACAGTGCTGCTTTGATGGCCAATAATTCACGATTCCCAATGTCGTAGTTTTTGGGAGTATGAGGCACATGGAAGGTCTCTTGCTACTGGGAAAGTAGAGCTCCCACTCTGGTATTGGAGGCATCTAACTCCACAACAAAAACATTTTCACAGACTTGGGGTCCATTCTTCGTACCTCGCTGAAATGATCTTAGATAATTTGACAGATCCTGGATCTTTTAATCTTGATAACTGATCTGTGGCTAATTTGGTTCTTCAAACAAGTTTGCGAATCAAATTAAAATGTTTTGATGAACTGATCTGAGATCGGTGCGTGTGTTGTGAAGAACAGATCTATCGATTCTCAAACTCATGATCAGCAATGCTGATTGGCTGACGGCACAGCAGCATAATGACCTCATCTGATTATATTCAATAATCCATGTGAGCAAGGTTAAATAAAATTTGTAGTGAACGGTTTGTTAAATATGATACGCAATAACTTGCCACCTGTTGTGCACTGGAAGCTTTACACTTTCATGTGTCAAGAGTATTTAGCAATTTGTTTGATTTTAAATTTTAGATCAGATTTTCCTTATTTTATTGAGTAATCCATGTATGAAGAACGGACCCCAGGGCTTATATTTTAGGAGATTTTTCAATTTATAGATGCAAAAGCTTTGAAATTGAGTTATTTGTCGGTTGTGGGAGTTGGCCAGTTCTTTACAGCATCCACCTTCCACTCGTCCATCTTAATGCCTTAAGAATGTGATAACCCAGGAACTGGATGGATGATTGGTAAAACATGCACTTCTCTGCCTTGAGATACAGGTGGATTTCACTGAGACATTGGTGGACCTAAAAATATGGAAGGGGTGTTTACCAGCCCAAAGGGCTTCACTAGGTACTCGTAGTGGCCAGAAGGGTCAGAAATGCTGTCTTCCATTCATCCCTTTAACATATCTAGATGAGGTTATATGTGCTTCTAAGATCCAACTTGGTGAAGATCTATCTGGGCTCCTTGAAGTTGTCCGAGGGCAGATGAAGTGAGGGAAAGTGGGTATTGGTACTTGACAGTTTTCTTGTTGAGTGCCCTGTAATTACTGCAGGACCTCAAGCCTCTGTCCTTTTTACCTACAAAGAAGAAACATGAAGCAGCAGGGGATGTAGTTTGTATTTAGCTGACTGATTTAGTCAATTTGTCTCTCCTTTTGAAGAATGCTGGATATATCTTAACTAATCCTTTACAATGTAACTTAAAAATTGTCCAATTGGGCAAATAATAATTTAAATAATAATAAATAAAATTTAGGACCAGTTCCTATTACTAATAAACAGTTACGGGATAGTCATATAACAAATTTAATTACCTCTAATAAGGAGTTTCTTTTAAATGGCTAATTATTTGCATGTTCTAATCTTCCGACACAAAAAACAAACGGAAGAACAAACTCAGCTATATGGCTTCAAATATATGGTTTCCTGAGTAGATGCCCAGGCAAACAGAGATTCAGTGCTCTACTATCACACAACATTCAAATTCTGTAGGCAGTCGGAAATCTCTTCACCCAATATTTACCGTATATGACATTCAATATGCTTTTCGATGTGGGACAAAGTATGTGTGCAGGAAACTGGTAAACTCAACCCAAATAGTTGAATTTACCTAAATAGCTTTGTAAGCAATTGCCTAAAAACACTCAGTGTTTACACAAGGTCAAAATAAGCTGTGAGTTGAACTAACATAGAACCTTAACCTTTGGTTCAAAAGTATTTTGTTAAGCTTCATACTAAATGTATTGATTTATCCTGTAGGCATTGGTTTGTAAGGCACTGTTTTTATTATTTGTCTTTGCAACAGTATATACTCTGATTGTGTACACTGTTTTCAGGACACACAAACATTTTTTTTACTCAGCAAACATGTTAAAAGTAAGCCATTTCAAAAACTTCACACAAATACTGAATAACTGCAAATCAAATGTTTTTTTTTTTATTCAATGATTAGTCAATGTTTACATTAATTCATATCAAGCTGTCAGTGTTCATGTTTTAACTGCAATTTAAGGATTTACTGCATTGTTTTAATTATTCATTTATTTTGTGTGCAATACATTGTTATGAAACGTCAAATAAAATATTAAAAGATTTGAGAAAACGAAATGGTTTACTACAAAATCAATGATCACCCTCTCTGCTTCTCATTGTGTATTAGCTAGATTTAACATTTGCACATTATCACAATCAGTCACACAATCTACAAGCATGTTACAGTACATATGAAGTGACAAACAGTACAATTCATTTCAGTATGCTACTTTTGCAAGTTTAAGCTCTATCTCATTAAAAACAAAACTACACATCAAAAAAAAAAGTATTCTTTCATTTATATATATCAAGTCTTATGTGACTAGACAGACACATTTTAAATCAACAGTAGATATTAACCAAAAGGTTTAATTCTCGAGTAACTGGAGATGCTGAAATGCGTTCTCTCTTGCCGTTGCTTTAAAATGTTGACATTAGTCAGATTTCTGCGATGTGTTCAGACAATGTCTCCAGGGTTTCAATCTCTTTCGAGACATCTAGAAAAGGAAGATTTATTAGTCTGACTTTCTAATCATTTGTAGCTGTTTGTATGCAACATTTACTCTACAGGTATATTGGATATATTCTAAAACATGCAATATGGACACATGTACACCAATATTATAATGAAAATATTTTGTATAGTGAATTGTGTTTAAAGGATTTAAGCAAAAACAGGATTCAGAATCACTCTCAAGTACTCATTGCTAAAAAAATTATTCTTAAATTGGTATTTTCCCTTACCCATCAGGGAAGCTTTGCTGCTTTGTGAGAATGAGCGCTCCACTGATCTGCTCAACTCAGATTTAAGTCTCTCGCATATATCGCTCTTTGATGGAAACAACAGAAAAAACATACACTGTATGTACTTAAGGTGTATAAAAATCTGATTGTTTTGTATCGTTTATAAATATTTTCAGAAATAGCAAATAGCAAATGCTCAAAGAATATTGAAATACAATTACCGTCACAGACTTGAACTCTTTCAGAAATTGTATTTTTGTGTCTTTGAACATGCTGTCTTTTAACAATTCAATTGTTTCTATTATTGTGGTCTCTCTCCTTCCCATGGCTCCTACTCCTTTCTTCTCCGCAGCTTCTATAAAGGCAACATTAAATGTTTATTCACATTCTGAGTATAAATGCAACACAAACACAGAAGTCTGGATAAAATGGTAGTTAATTATAAAAGATTTATTTTAAAGCCAGCAGATGTTTTGTTATACAATACCATGTGAGAAACAGTTTAAAAATCTGACATTATTATGTGTTTTACATGTCCTTACTTTTATAGCCAGCAGTCATTTGATCCTGAATTGTTGTTTGGATCGATGAGTAGATTTTTTTCTTTCTATGGACAACATCTCTTTTGAGGAATGTCTTCACTTTGGTTTCCTTTTCATGAAGTTAAACAAATGAATTATTATCATTATTAATATTATTACTATTATTACTATTCTTATTATTGTATTACAAAAGTAATTATAAGTATTTTTGTATTAATATTTAGCTTGACCATATTTCAATTTGCAAAAAAAAAAAAAAAAAAAAGAGTATGGAGAGAGAATGGGCACTTTACTACTAATGTAGTTAATACAAAAGAAAAAAAACATTCTTAACATTAAACTTTAGGCCGTCAGCAATAAAAAAAATAACAGAAAAAAAATGTTTAGCTTTTAACACATTTTACTTTTTTTCAATGAGTTCAATTAAAAATAAAATAAAATCCATTATTTCTCTTTTTTATGCTGTTCAGGAGCCATGTGCACAGCCCAGGCTAATTAAAATTTTGTGCCCAGGGCTACATTTTTGATAACCGAACAATATGTACTACAACTTCTTGAAGTTTTTGTTTTCACAAATCAACTAGAGGTCACATTTTTAACAATCTCAAATATACATAAATATGGCACATTTTCTCATATGTCTCTTTTTTCATAAATCTACCAGAGGCCGCAGTATATATTTCTGCCAATCTTAACGTCATTCTGGCTCGAGTCTATGAGAGATGTCGGTTAACTTTTTATGCTTTTACCATTGGGATCACACAGCTATTTCAGTGGGGTATTGTTTTACCTGGTTTCTGGAACCATCCTTCGTTGAACTTAAACCCCAATCAAATTTGACAAACCAGTGCCGGTAAATCTCAAAACAGCTCTTTCTACTGGTTCTATTATTGAGGCTTGCTGTGAGCAAAATTACAGCTACAGTCTGCTTATGTTTGTTGTGAGGTATCACGTCAGAATGCAAAATAGTGAGAGTCAAGTGTCACGAATGGATGACGTCAATCTCATGTAGATAGATGATAAATAAATGAACTGAAATAGAAATTACAACTCACCTCTGTTTTCATGAAGTTCTGAATGTGGTACAGCATGGAAGATGGAGGGTAAACTGTGCCATTCTGAATGATACTGAACTTATCGATCTGTTCTTGCACCGACTTCCCTGTTTTGATTTTACTATCAACACTAATAAAATGAATTAAACAAAACATAGAATATTACAATCTTTAATAAGGAAAATCTTGTTATCATATTGTTCAGAACATGAATTATTCTTTAATATACTTGTGGGAACCATTGTTTAACCATTAGTTTGTGGTACATGTCATCACCTACAACAAATAAATTTAAAAACACTAATGTAGATATGATTATACTTCAGGGTATTTACTCTGTTTTATGACAGCTTATTAGTGCCACTTTTAAAAATCTGAACTTTGTTCTGATGCGCCAAAAGACAAAGAATATCTTTATTGCTAAATCCTAACCTTAAGTAGGATTTAACTAAATCTTTCACACCCCTTTTGCACCCCTTTAGTTATTTTTTCCCAAATTTTGCAAAATATTTATTCTTACAACTTAAATAATTATTGTAATATTTACTTATGTTTTTGCTTTAATCTCCAATCACTTTGACTTTATTTCCGTAACATTGCAACTTTATTATTGAAATTTTGACTTTTAATCTTGTAATCTTTTTTTATTGTCATCGTACTGTTTAATTATCACTGTAAAAAAAAATGACAAAAACTGTCAGTATAGTGAATAGGGAATGATGGCAAAACTTACGGAAATATCAAATTGAACTCCTCATCAATGTTGTCGTAGATGTGTTTAGCCAAGCACTTGTTTAGATCTACAGCTGCATCCTTGCTTTTTGGCCAGTAATATCCTTTGTTCTTGCACAAAGCCTGGAGGGTTTTATCTGATGGTTTCACCTGATTTACAATACAAAACAAAGCATTACATTTAGAAAGTCCTGAAAGTAAAAAACATTATCTTTCATTGGGGGTGTGACGTTACAGTCAACTCTTCATTCGAGCCGTATCTCAATACTGAACTCACAGTACAATAATTTATGCTATAAAAATGTTTAATATCAGTATTTTTGTTTGTTTTTTTCTCAGTATTCTATTATAGCATGTAGGGCCATGTTGTTTAAAATGCTACATTTATTTAAAGACTTGGGTAGGTGGACTTGAATAGACTTTAGATTCGTCCTGGTCCTCATTGCTCAGGACAGTTATGACAGTCCTTCTATAGATGATTTATTAATTATGTTGGACATGTATGCTTGCACTCTGTCGTGGACTACATATAAAGAGTTTATTATCACTGGTAAAATCAGACATTTGATTTTAATAATGCTACTATAATCAGCATTATATATAGTCTAGAGCAGAGATGCTCAAACTAGGGCCTGCAGGCCAAAGTTGGCCCATTGTAAATTTGATTTGGCCTACCATAGCATCTGAGAAGGGAGTAAGAATGATGGGCAGAGTTGGGGCGAACCAAATCAAGACATTCTGTTTCCACTGATCATTCTTGAGTTGTTTCAGCAACTTAATTGGAGTTCACCTGTGGTAAATTAAAAAACCTGTCTATATAAGGTCCCAGGGTTGACAGTGCATGTCTTAGCACAAACCAAGCATGAAGACAAAGAAATTGTCTGTAGACCTCTAAGACCGGATTGTCTTGAGGTACAAGTATGGGGAAGGTTACAGAGAAAATTTTGCCCTATGAAAGTTCCAATGAGCACAGTGGTCTTCATTATCCGTAAGTGGAAGATGTTTGAAACCACCAGGACTCTTCCTAGAGCTGGCCGGCCATCTAATCCGATGGTCACTTTGTCTGAGCTCCAGCGTTCTTCTGTGGAGAGAGGAGAACCATACAGATGGACAACCATCTGTCAAGCAATCCACCAATTAGGCCTGCATAGTAGAATGGCCAGATGGAAGCTACTCCCCTTCTGGAATTTACCAAAAAGCATCTGAAGGCCTCTCAGACCATAAGAAACAAAACTCTCTGGTCTGATGAGACTAAAATTGAACTCTTTGGAGAGAAGGCCAGGAGTTACGTTTAGAGAAAACCAGGCACCACTTATCACCAGGCTAATACCAAGGTGGTGGCAGCATCATGCTGTGGGGATGTTTTTTAGCAGCAGGAACTGCATGAATAGACTGTATAAAGGGGAAGATGAATGCAGCAATGTACAGAGACATCCTGAATGAAAACCTGCTTCAGAGTGCTCTTGACCTCAGACTGGTGCGACGGTTCATCTTCCAGCAGGACAATGACCCAAAGCACACCGCCCAAAGATTAATGGAGTGGCTTCACAACAACTCGTTGTATGTCTTTGAGTGGCCCAGCCAGAGCCCAGATCTAAATCCTATTAAACATCTCTGGAGAGACCTGAAAATGGCTGTACACCATCACTTCTTATCCAACCTGATAGAACTTGATAGGTACTGCAAAGAGGAATGGGCAAAAATTCCCGAAGACAGTTGTGCATCAACAAATTTTGAGCAAAGGCTGTGAATAGTGATGTACAGGTGATTTTTCAGGTTTTTTATTTTTAATAAATTTGCAACAATTTCAAAAACTCTTTTTTCACATTGTCATTATGGGGTATTGTGTGTTGAATTTTGAGGAAATAAATGAATTTAAGCCATTTTAGAATAAGGCTGTAACATAAAAAAATGTGAAAAGGTGAAGAGCTATGAATATTGTGCAGATGCACTGTATGTCTGACTACAATAAGCTCAAAATGGCAAATCGTTTTGTTTACATCAGTGATAAGCATAAGCACATTTCTATGCTTCCCGATATTTCAATGTATCATTACACCTCTGTCTTTCATATATTTCACTGAACAGAATCACACTTACAGATGCAATCACAGGCTTTGTGGTACTGACACACTGTTCCACTGATTTCTCCACTCCTTTTGAGAAACATTGCTCTATGATCTTGTAATGTGAATCAAACCGACTGTTCAGTTCCTTCAGTGCTTTTTCAAGGCTCTCATAGTAATCTTTACAAACTGTGGCTTTAAGCTTTGCCTATACAACACAAGGAAACGCAGCAGTGAATTACTGAATGAACTAACTGATGTAAGCAGACATCTGTAAATGATCAATCAGCAATTCTGTACCATTCCTTCATTTGTATCCAGTTTGATACTTTGGATGAAGAACAAAACTCCCTTTGCTTGATTGACATAATCTCTGATCAGTTCCCTCCTGATGCTCTTGTTGGTGTTCTTGAGAAGGTCCTGCAGTTTGGGGATTTCTACAGATAATTGAAAGAATATTTATAGTTCAATGATTTAATGAAAAGAGAATGAACAGACATATAAATAAAACGTTTGTTTTCCAGGTTCACTTAATTTTTTACCAGTTTCATTTTGATCCATCTGAAGATCTGCATCAAAGTATGCCTTCGAGCTGACAGTAAAAACATCAGCGGTGAATCTTCTGAAGTCTTTTGATTTCTGAGTACGAACAAGGATAAGGATAAGAATAAGAATTACATTAACAATAATAATTTTCAGTTTCACAATTATACCATGGTTTCAAACTTGTTTTTCACGGAATCCTTTGCAGTCTTGTTCCTATGATGTATGCATGCTGTTTTCAGATTCTGAAAAAAAAAATAATATTAATAATATGGTAATAGTGTAATAATATATTACAGTGACAGTTAGTTTATATGAAAGACTCTTAATGTGTGTGTTAATTTAACACACAAATTAGGCGTCTTTAATATAAACTAATTGTCATTGTAAAATTAGCCCAAGAGTAAACTCAGTCATTTTTGCATTTCTATAGAGCAATCCATTTCTAGTAAGTCATTCATATTTCTGTTATGTAACTATTGAGCCCAGAAAGAGAGAACAGACACATTAAATTAGGGCTTTTACAGTGGACCAATTTCCTTACAACAGTATGAAAGCCAATAGAATGGCCACTACAAAGGACATACAGCAGGTACTGTGTTGGGTAAGTTGCTTTAAAAAGTAATAGATTACAACTTACTGACTACTCCTGGAAAAAAGTAATCTGATTACTTTAACTGATTTAATTGATTTTTATATCAAATATACCTAGATACAAAATAAACTGCAGCACTTTCAGTAATTTAATATTCACTAAAAAACATTACAATGGGTTGATCACAGCAGCTTGACATATTCAAAAGAGTTTTTTGGTGACGAGTATTGTCATGGAATGCTTTCTGTTCAAGTGCTTAAATAAGTTGCTGGTCAAGTTAAAAGCAGTCAAAAGTTGTTAAGAGCTCACATTTTCCAGCAATTTAAAACTGCATGCTCATTAATTGATGTTGCAGCGGAAAACCTGATGTAAAAAAAGATTTTTTTTTTCTTCTAAAAATTATATTTGTAACATAAGTAATGCAATTACTTTGACTTTAGTAACAGTAATCAAATTACACAAATTTTAAATGTAATTCGGTATATTACATTCCTCTATGTATATCATTGAGGTAAACAAAAACAATATTAAAAAATTTCAACTTTTGCAGCGGTTTATGCTAATAAACTAAGCTATTTTCTGTCTTGTGATATTCACATATTCATTGATTCTGCTAGGGATTTGCATGATTTCAAGCAGCACTGTAAAAAGCTCTACATAAGGAGAAGGTTGTTCTTCTCGGAGTTGACTCAGGGTGCTTTCACACCTGTGAATCGATTCAGTTGTTCCGAAACAGAGATTAAAATTGTTACATTGTTGCTCTTTGCTCTTGGAGCGGTTCGCTTTCACACTGCAAAGTTTCTAATCGGTCCAAAAGAGCTAAAACAAGTCACGTGCGAGTAAACTCTCCTTACATTGGTCAGAGTGTCAGGGTTTATTTTGCAGCGTCCCGCTCAGCTGTCAGGAGAGGTGGTGGTTTGGTGGTGATTGACAGGGTGCGCGCGCGCGCGTGACGTGTCTGAGGAGAGACACGGTGGGGAGGGGTGAGAAGGGTGCGTGACGATGCCTATTTGAGGACTGGGAGAGAGATGCGAGATTACCGGGAGATCATCACTCGTTTGCGGGCATCCGGAGACTCACGAAACTTCCCGCCCTACTCATAATTCTCTCTTCATATAGCCGTAAGCCTATTACATATCCATAAAACACAGTGATATAACCGTGCTCGGATCGGATCGCTTTCTCACTGCAATCGAACCGCTCCAGGGTTCGTTTCAATCGAGCCGAGACCACCTCATTCAAGCGATCTCGGTGCGATTACTTTGGCGCGGAACAGAGCGCGATTGCCCTGTTCACATATGCCAATCGAACCGCGCTAACTGGGCAAACGAGACACGTTCCGAAACAAAAGTGTAGGTGTGAAAGCACCCTCAAAGTTCTATTTGTCTGAGGTGGCTGAGCATGATGTCCCTAGACTACACTTGATCACTTGATCACAGCTGCTCGAGAATAAGCAGGAAAACTGCATTTCAACAATGCAAAAAACATATTCATTTTTGCTTGTAAATGTACCAGACCTTCCCTGAAGTAAATTGGTCTCCAGAGGGCAGTGCAGATCTATGATAAAAATAAAATACATTAATAAATTTGATTTAATAATGTAGAAATGTAGAACATTGACAAAAATTTCTATATTCCTACCTTTGATATTCTTTTATATTAATGTCATCAGTCCTGGTACAGATGAAGTTTATTGTTTTGCACTGTCCTCCTGGTCCCAAGTCTTGCATGCAGTGCTCCATTATGCTCCATGGCTCTATGCTACTAATTGCTCGACTGATGCCATTTACAATCCACACAGAAGAGCACTCTCTCACTTTCTGTGGAATTAGAAAAATAAAAACTGAATAAAACACCAGTGGTATTGCTCTACATTACACACTCATGTTGAACTGCACCCCTGCCTCAATGTATGTAAGTGTGGCTCAAATGTGACCTCAACAGAACAGTTACAGCCTTTAAAATAAGACACAGTTACATCAGATTCAGAGTTATAAAATGCACATGAGGTGGTTTCTAATTTGGAAGCAATACAAATATTTAAAATATGATGCTCTACACGAGGTGATGCCAGCTGGGCTGTTCACAGTGGAATGCTGCATTCACACCAAACATGGAGCACCATGTCACAGATTCTAGTTTAATCGTTGGATGTTTTTCACTCTGAAGTGAATTTTCACCTTAAATGAAACGTTAGAAATTAAGGGGTAGACACAACTGAGGTGAATTCTCTGCATTCCCAGCAAATGAAGCAGATGAAAAGTTATAATAGTTTGAAATTACATAATGGTAGGTAAATCATGAAATGATCTTTAGGATATTTGGTAGTGTAGTACTTACTGATTTCCACAGATCATTTCGGATCTTGTTGCAGTCTCCAGTGCCAGGAATATCAAAAAGTACAATGTGTTCCAGAAGCTCTTGACGATCTGGAATCTTGATGGTCACACTCTTCACAAGCGGCCAGTACCAGCCACCAGGACTATACTCACTTTGCTGAATGTGACATTTAACATCAAGGTCAAAGTCAAGGACCTGTTGTAAGAAATTAAATATGTGTCGATGTTTTTTATTTAGATAAAAGTTCAGAAATACATTGAATATTTCAAAATTTAGAGTATATTACTAGTATAATCATATTTTACTATAATATTTTAGCCTATTTTGTAAACAATGAAACTAAATGAGTAAAACGTTATTTTGATTGTCCCCCTATAGTCCGCTGACCATACAAGTTCAAACAAGCTTTGCCATTCGGCTTAGCTCCTTTTTACCAGAGCGGACCAACACATCGACCACATTACTGCTGCTGCAGCACAGAATCCACCTGTCAATTGAATGTTCCACCCTTCGCTCACTCGTAAACAAAACGCCAAGATATTTGAACTCCTCCATCTGGGGTAAAGACTCTCATTCAACCTAGAGATGGCACACCACCTTTGACTTGGAGATGTTGATTCTCAGACTGGTCGTGTTTCATTCTAAGGCTATCTGTCCCAGTGCACAACATCATCTGCAAATAGTCACTGAGGTAGTTTGCAAGCTCTGCAATGGCAAAGCAGTGAGGGTAGATGAGATACACCCCGTGTACCTCGAGTCTCTGGATGTTGTGTGGGATTAAAATCAAGTAGTGTGAGCAAGAATTAACTACTACATACATACAGACTAGGTTGCTGTTTGAAGTGGTTTTAGTGAGACCAACAGGGGTCACTCCACATGTGGCCTGAGTCTTGATACCCAGTATAGTCAAAGGGATGCTATACAGTCTGTGAGCACCATCATTCAGATGAGATATTTAAGTGAGGTCCTGACTCTGTAGTCATTAAAAATCCTATAGCACTTCTCGTAAAGAATAGGGGTGTTACCCCGATCTCCTGGCCAAATTCCCTCTCTCTGCCTTGTAAAATTTTACTGACCAGTAGTTTATTAGATGTTCACGTTGTAGATGTTTTAATAATGTAAAACATTCACAAAACAATCCACAGACACTACAAAGATGAGAGTAAGCATAAGTATTTAATAGGGATGTAACGGTATTGTAAATACCGTCATACCGCAATATTAATTTTTTTCGATATTACCGAAGTCGCATGACTCGGTAAAACTATAGGTCTTCTGAGAAAATTTGCTCAGGCGAATGAAGCGAACGGGAGGTAACGAAAACTACAATTGCCATCAGCCCATGCTTGACCATCATCCCTTGCGGTCTGTTGTCGCTACAGATCCAGTAATGCGGAAATGGAGTGTGCTGCTGGAAGCGGGGATGAAAAGAACTGGAAAACTCTAAAGCCCCGTTTACACTAATGCGTTTTAGTTTGAAAACGCATAAGTTTTGCTACGGTTACGCCAACCGTCCACACTACGCCGGAGTTCTCGAGCGCCGAAAACGGAGCGTTTCGAAAACGCTGGAGAAGCCGTTTTCATTCTGAAACGCTGCTGCTCCGTCTCAGTGTGGATGATGGAAAACGGAGACATCTGAAAACGGAGGCGGGGCTGCAGACATTCGCCTCTCTGATTGGGGCTTTTCCTGAATATTAAGTAGCCTAACACACACAGTTCAGTCCTGCATTCTCTCCGTGTAAGTTCAGACTTCGCAAGTTTGATCAAGGCTGCAGTCTCTTCTTCTCAGTTTGATATGGAAAAGCAGATTATACCGAGGACACGGGTAAATCTTCAAAGGGAACAGTGTACTTTATAACTTCATTCACATCACCCTGGCTTCGTTGTTTCACTTTGTCAACAATAAAATGTAAACATAATTTAAGGAACTGCCTATTTTCATTTTAATATTAGCAACTTAGACAGCAGACATGTTGAGGCGTCTTGCTGCATATATGAGCGTCATCTTCACTGTGTGGATATTTATAACAAAACGGAGCCGATAACAACTGCCTCCTTTCAATTTCAGTGAAAATACGAAACACACCCTCTCTTTTGCTGAGTATCAGTTTTAAGAATCGATAATGGCCATTTTAAAAGTATAACATACAACAAGTTTATACATTATAGGAAATAAAGGCAAGCGATCAGTCAATATACAGAATGTACGTGGTTACATTAATCATTAACTTATCTTTGCGCTCAGCCAAAACACGTTACCTGAGAACAAGTAATAGATTCCAATGACCAAAGTCAGGGAATATGTCGTTAGATAAAGACAACAAGATAAATGAAATATCCCGTTTAATAAATATAGTGAGATTAGATCCAGCGGGAGATGCTTGATGAGAAGTCCGACTAGCAGAGCTCTCATCTGGGTAGATGGGCTGATTAAATGTTGAATGTGATGAGTTTTCAACAATACTAAATTGAAACTTTATTTTTTACATGGTTTAATATTTTTTTTGTTATTAAAATTGAAGTTCCTGTTTCAAAGCTTACAGATAGATGGCTAATTTGTATGTTATTGACACTTTTGGCACTTTTTTGGAGTATTTTCATAAGTTTTGTTTTTTCCTGTAATTGATTCAATAAATACCGTACCGTGACATTCATACCGAGGTATTACCGTACCGTGAAATTCTGATACCGTTACATCCCTAGTATTTAACGTTTATCATGGTCAGCAGGAAGACCATCAAAATAAGGTGTTACCTTAAAGAATTTCATCTGAAAGAGAAACTTCTACAAACACACAGCCACAAAGTACTGTAGGCAAAACTGTTCACACCTTTTCAGTGCAAAAAAAAAATCACTGTCTTCATAAAATCTGACGATATTTTTTAAACACTTAAATATCTAATGAGAAAAATATTTGCTAAGGTTATATATATATATATATATATATATATATATATATATATATATATATATATATATATATATATATATATGTATTAGGGCTGTCAAAATTAGCGCGTTAACACACGTGATTAATTTGAAATATTTAACGCGTAAAAAAAATAACGCAAATAACGCAGTTGCAGTTTTTTGTTTTTTTCTTGTTGTGGCTGACGTGTGTTTAGGGCCGGCGCGTCCATAGAGGCGGCAGGCGGCCGCCTTAAGCAGCAGAATAGGCAGAATAGTGAGCGATAATCACAATAGTAATCCTCACATTAATCCGCTACACCTACCCTACCCTCACAGTCCTCGGCCTTCCATATGAATGAAACGGTGTGATTGCCGTTTGCCTAGAGCGCCAGTTCAGCTTGCTCTGGTCCTGTGTGTGTTTAACGTGCAAAGAAATATGGATAAGGGTGTTTCATTTTTTTATATTTAGACTTTAACAGCAGTTCAGCAGTTCTCTCTCATTCAGCATATTTTCATTCAGGATGTTTTAATGGAATTTGATGCCGCATGGCGAACGGAAAGAAAAACATCCGCAGTTCGGAACCCACGTGATCCTTTAAGGTAATTAAAAATCGCTGTATACATGGTAGACTCTTAATTAATACTATCTTAATCATCACAGCTGAGTATTGGTGTCCATGTGAATGAAAGTGCCAGATGAATTCGCAAGCTGTCAAAGACAGCCCATTTCTCCTCCTTAAGTTTAATGTGTTCCCCGGTTTTGTAAAGTGTTTGCTTCACGTTGATGTGTCAGAATCTTTGCTTGTGAAATACAGCTATAGTTTAGAACGCTTAGTTTAAGCAAATTTGATGAACGCGATCGTGTTTGTGTGTGCGTGCGTGCGTGCGTGCGTGCGTGCGCGCGTGTGTGTGTTTATAGTCCTCTAAGAATCCAACATGGAAAGCATTTTTGTTTGTTATTGGCATGGATTGTTTTGAAATTTAAATGGCACTTACATGCCTGTGTTTGTATTTCTGTAAGAAATACAGCATTTTGTGATTAATCATGGTTAATTGCAAAAAGAGTGTAATCAAGTAAACTTTTTAATCATTTGACTGCACTATATATATTTTTTATATATATTTATATATATTTAATTTTTTTTTTTTTTTTTTTTTTTTTTTTTTTTGCCCTTACTTCAGAGTGTGAAATCGTTTTTTTCCCAATAGACAAAAATTGATCAATTTCAGCATATTTGGCATCTTTCTTAAGTTCTTCCAGAGATTTCTTATCTGCATCAGCCCCATACACTGCAATTATCCTTTCGTTATCTGTATCAGTCCTTTCATCAGTGGAAGCAATCTCATTCTCCCATTCCTGCAAAACAACACAAATAAAATACTTTATTATTTCAGATAGACAGACAGATAGACAGATAGACAGATAGATAGATAGATAGATAGATAGATAGATAGATAGATAGATAGATAGATAGATGAACCTCTTTAGAGATAAGCTCAATCTCAGCTATGTATTTAGAGTCCTCCAGATTTGCTTCCACTTGAGTAATAACTGCTGTACAGGCACCAAGACTACCAGATGGCAGCAGACCCTCTAATCCCAACACTGCATTTAATAAAGAGCTTTTTCCTTCTCCTGTTTTGCCAAAAACACCAATGGTTTCCTTTCTTCTTTTGTCTTTGTCCATCTCCTTCATTTTTGCAATGGAATCTCTACATCATGATACAGATAAAAGTAACTAAACACCACTTTACAATTGAGCAGAACAATTCACAGCATATGATTTAAAAGTACTTACAAAATGGTGTTTTTTATCTCATTTGTTTTTTGGTCTGTGCTGGTAATGTTTCGAAGTCTATCATCAACTTCATTCATGATCTTTTTTGCTATATTCAATATTTCTATATCTGTTAAAGTATAAGAATTCAATATGAGATTGATGAATTAATACTAAATTCACACATTCATAATAAATGTAGGTATAAATAATACAAAAATGACTTGCCTGAATATGATTTAGCACTGATCAGTAAATCTCTCGATTCACGTTTTCTTTTTGTGCCTAAATCAGAGAATGAAAACACGTCAGCTTTGTACTTAATACAACTTGATCATTTTATTTGATTTATTTGTTTTTATTTTTATTTTTTGAACACTCAGTGGATGTTTTAATCAAACAAGTTAAAGAACATGAAATGTCCTAATGAATTTAGTCTGTTGTTTATTTTTTAAATAGTTTTTCCTGATATTTGCAGGTACATGAAACTCACCTGTAACTGTTTGTTTTTATTCACTATAACAATTCACTTTCGTAAGGCCATCTATAAAGATGGTTTTTATGATTAGAATTAATTCTTTTCTACAATATAGTACATACCACATGTGAATACAAATGTGTGTGTGTGTGTGTGTGTGTGTGTGTGTGTGTGTGCGTGCGTGCGTGCGTGCGTGCGTGCGTGCGTGTGTGTGTGACTTGTATTTCTAAAGTTGTCCCCGCAAGTATAGCAATGCTAATAACTCTTGACCCTGTGGGGACATTTTTCCCCTTGAGAAATCCTCTCATAAATCACTCTGAATTCTTTATTTAAAAATATAAAACTGCAAAATGTTACATGTGAAAGTTGGGTTTAGGGGTAAGGAGATATACAATTTGTACAGAATAAAAATCATTATGTTTATGGGAAGCCCCCTCAAAGATAGCAGTACAAGTGTGTGTGGTAAATATAAAATGATTTGACCTACCACTGGCATTCTGTGAAATTCCTGACTGAGATGGCCCAGGAGACTGTGGACAGGTTCCTGTTACTTGATTCACTGCTGTGGCTGCTCTGTTTATATCAAACAATAATATTACTAATAAATAACAACCAATGCTTCCATTGGGAGGGAATAATAAACAACCTTACATGGGGATAGTTGTAACATACTTGGTTTAAAAGCTTCAACACACAATAGTAAGTTAGGTGTTCACTTCTTACCAAATTAAATATTTGCAGGGGGAATAAAATCTGCTAAATTGTAAAAAAAAAAAAAAAAAAAAAAAAAGACCTGTCCTCAACAGATCATTTATATAACTACAGTACAGCGTCATTTGTATTCTCAGTTTTTATCTGCTATTATGTTATTCACAAATGTATCATTTAGCAGTTTAGATAGTTGTTTGCTTGATGCTTAGCTAACTTGAAGACCAGGTTTTAAAGCCGAGTTGTGCAGTTGGAGCACAAAAAAAACTACATGTATTATACCAACTTAAATACAATGAATATATATTACTTACTGTTCTGTCTGCTCATTCATTTCTTTTCGTTTTTTATTGGCCTCCTCATAAGTGCCTGCAGTAAGAAAGGAAAATATTTTAATATCGGGAACCTAATGAGAGTAAAAGTTGATTGTCTTTTGGGCCTCAGTATACATGAAATATTTAAACAGATTAAATTAGGAACTGGTACCATATTCTCCATGAAACAGGACAGCTAATTTCTCCCAAGATTTCTCTCCTGTTTGAGGTGCTAATCCTTTCTGAACAGCTTCCATTAATTTCTCTGATGATTTGTATGGAGGCCAGTAACATTGTTTTTTGCCTTCGCTCAACCAGTTTGATGCTGTCACCATCACCTCTTCTGATTTTTCTAGGGTTACAACTGCATACATGGTGGTCCTGCAGTAAATCAGTAATTCATTATTAAAGAAAACTTGAAAAAACTGTAGAACACTTCTCATATGCACACAGATACATATATTATGCCAATATTTAAATGCCTAAAAAAAAAAGTTTTAAGTATTGCACATGAAATGGCAGCATGTGTTGATGCTGTTAAAGGCACAAGAGAGCGAGCAATGCATTTATATGTAATGACAGAGGAACATTGAAACATATTGTTTCCCATGTTATTTTTAAATCCTTCAAGAATTAAAAGCTAATTTGGAGCACACAACTAGGCTGAGTTGCATGATACTGGGTCTTGACGGACTCTTCATTTTTGTCCTACTGTGGTTTTAACAGTCCACATTTTAACTTGGATTATCCACTAATCAAAGGTGACTAAGTACACCATACCAAATTACTATAAATTTGCATTGGTTATCTCTTGGTAGAGAAAAATATGCCTGTTCTTAGTAGATCACCTGCATTTTATGAGCATCTACTGTGCTTATTTACCACTGTGCTAATGCATTACAGCATACAGTAGACATAGGAGGATCACTACAGCTGAGGATCACTTGAAAGTGCCCAAAATTCCATTGTGTGTTTTATGTTTTTCATAATAAAGTCTCCTAAATATTATTAATCATCTTCGAGATGTATAATCCCCACCTTCCATCACTTTCAATCGATTTAGATTTTCCCTCATGTTCATTTGACCCATTGTCGCTGTCTTCACACTGTGAATTGTCTTCTGTGTCCTCCAACAGTCCATCATAATCTTCACTTGCAGACTCATTACCCTCAACACTTTGTCCTCTGTATAATGTCATAATATCATATTCTTCATTGTTGCTGCTTTCCATAGCAAGTATCTCATCTAGGTCTTCAGATGGGACGCAAATGATCACGTTTGTCTTGAAAACATGCACTGCATAATTTTCTAAATTCTTACACAACTTTAAGGCGCAGCTTTTCAGTTTTAAAGCTGTGAGTACTGGCTTCAGTGGGCAGCCCTGACACTTTTTGAATTTTGAATCTCTGAGGATTTTTTCCACAAGCTGAAAGTCTTGATAAAGAACTGAATGTGAGTCCTCAATTTCATCCTTTAGACAGCAGAGCATTGCTTCAGTGCAGACTGTTTTAGGAGTGATCATAACAATTGCTGTATCCTTAATTGTCCCCTTTGACTGAGGATTCAATAAATAATTAAGACGTCTTGCCAGAATAGTTGCAATGATGAGGTAGTCGGCATTTAAAAAGTGAGGAATATCATCCTGTGGATCTTGAAAATACAATTCAGGGCAGTTGACTTCACCCCTGTGGATTTTGCCATAGAGCATCTTTATGTGTGGAATTACATCCCGGATGTTGTCTTTATAGGAGGACACTGGGATGTCGTCTGGTCTTACAGTGTCTGACACTTGAAGTGACTGAACCGCTGACACAATGTCAACTTCACTGACTCCAGGTGAGCTTTCTTCAGACTGTGATGAACTGGTTTCATCAGTCAAAAGAATGTTTTTGCAGTGAAATTGTTTTTTTGCAGTGAAATAGACACTGTTGATCTCTAAAGACACAGGTTGGTGATCTTTGAGCTCTCCGAAATTCATGATTTCACAACTTCCTACACGCCACATACATTCATCTGGAATGAAGAAGTAATCGAGTCTGGACACTGGACGATCTCTTATGTAGAATGTAAAATCCTGCTTTACAGGGTTCATTCTTCTCCACACATCAGCCAGCTGAAGAGATTCCATGAAATTCTCCACACATAAGATCAGTTTATTGTGCATTCTGTTCTTTGTCATCTTCCCTGTACATTTTTTGTCTATAAACGGATTGAGGAATGTGTTGAAATCTCCACCAATCACCAGCAGCCCTGTGGTCATTGACTGCAGGTATCTTGAAAGATTATCAAGCGTTTTTGTGTCTGTCTGATGGTTATAAACACTCACTAGAGTGTACAGGCAACCTTCCAGTTCACATTTCAACAATACATATTCACCACAATGACCTTTCTCGACACTTAAACATTTGAAATCTAGACTCTTTCTGACGAGAATGGCAGTTCCACTGCTGGAAGAGTTGTACTTTGTATAGAAAACATTCCACTCATCTTTTAAACCTTCTATAACATGTTCATCTCCTGCTCCAATGTGTGTCTCTTGTAAGAAAACAACATCAGCGCATTGAAGTTCTTGAAATTTCTGATACTTGTTTTGCTTAAGTCCGTTAATATTCCAGGTGATGAAGTTAATGGTGTGTGAATCCATGACAGATCAGCTTTCACAAGATCCTCAGCTTAGCACATTCCCTGTTAAAAAACAAATATTGATGGAGGATGGGATGTTTGTTGGTTTTACCCTTTGTAATCTGAGTGATTACCTGATATTTTCATTAGACATTTTATGGTAACACTTTACAATAACAGTACATGAATAATGATGTATTAATATGTAAACTAAACATTACTTTTAAAGTATTAATGATGAGTTAAGGTATGCACTAATAATGAATTAACTTTAACTACAACATGAGTCATATGAGTTCATGTGTAAATAATGACTACCTTAATTACTTGTTTGTACATGTTGTTAATTAATGTATTAATTAACATTTACATTTAAGCTAAATAAGGGTGTCACGATCCTACAAATCCTTGATTCGATTATATTTTCGATTCTAAAGGTACGATTCGATTCGATTATAAATAGTTAATTAATTATTGACCAATTAATTATTTGTAGCCTAACGTTTAAACTACCTGACCTGCATGGTCTTTGTTTTACCCATAAACAAATCATACAGTAAATGAATAAAGGCAAGATCCACAAATAATTACCACCTGTCAATCACTTTTTCTGCGGGATTCGGGAATAGGCAGTGATCTGTGTCGTTATAATGGCGTCGGTAAAAAAGACGCACAACCAACAGGAACCAGCCAACAGTATCTGAGGTGTTTGCTAAAATGACTAAGTACAAGTGAGTGAAAGATTGAAGCAGTCCTCTGACTGCCTGGACTCGCTGTCTGGAGCGCAAGGCTGTGTGTGCATCTGTGTCTGTGTGGTCACGTGATGTGCATTTTCAGAGGTAGAGAGTAAGGAGGGCTGCTCAAAAATGCTACACGCCACTGTGGATGTCAAATCGTTGTCGTTCTAAAATGCCATTTAAAAACAAAGACAGTGTAAACAGGGCCTGAGTGTGTACTTTTAGCGAGCGGATTTGCAACGGGGGCGGGCGGAGGATCGCGATGCCTGTGTTGTCTATCGGACGAACCGTACGTAATACGTACATAGCAGAGCTTGCAAAACTGTGTTTTTTTTGTCGACAACACGAACGTTGTCAACATAACTCACTGGAAATCCAAAATGCTTAAACACCGGCGACTTCATTGAAAGAGAAGAGGGTTTAAGTTCTCTCGACGGGTCTCCTGCTTCTGCAGTTTAACAAGCACTTCAACAAGCATGTTTTTTTCCAGCTTGGCAAGCCAAGCTGACGTGATATGGGGGCGTGGCAGCATCGAAGATTCTATTTTTTGATTCAATAATCGAAATTGAGCATAAATTTGATCGATTACGATTAAAAATCGAAATCGTGACACCCCTAAAGCTAAATGTAACCAACATGAACTCATGAGCTGTTAATGTCATGACTTTACTTGGAGGGGCACATCACTATTAACTCATCCTTAACTACTCATGAACTCCTGATCATGTTGATGTTGACAGAACACTTTTCTATTGTTATTCAGTGTAAATTCACTAGTTGAACAAGCATAAGGAGTTCATGTGTAGTTAAGAATAGTTTAATGATGATGCGCCCCTCCAAGTAAAGTCACAACATAATTATACATTAACATATCATGAGTTCATCATGGTTAAATTAAGCATAAACTAATGTGGTAATTTATACATTAATAAACAAACAATCATGTACTAACAAATAATTAAGGTAGCCGTCATTCACACATGAACTCATGTGACTCATGTTGTAGTTAAAGTTATTTCATGATTAGTGCATACCTTAACTCATCATTAATTTATAATAAACTAATGTTTAGATTACATATTAATACATCATTATTCATGTACTGTTATTGTAAAGTGTTACCCATTTTATTTATCCAAAGTGATTTGAATTGATTTGATTCTTTTCTAAACATGTCCTACATATTATGTTCAATGGTTAAGTCCAGAGTTATGCAGCAGTGTTGTCTGACACTTGCTTGGTAGATTATCGTGTACATGCTTCCCCACAGTTGCCACATCCTGTTTAAGTAGCTGATTCTTGCATGCAAAAAGCAAAGGTGATTCTGGAAATCTGTACCAATTGCTAATGTTTTCTTATGATATTATTGTACTGAATTGAAACATAATCCACACTCTGGGTGATATTACTACAGTTTTAAAGGATATTGTACTTCTTAGGGACTAACATGTAGACTTTAGGTACTAAAATGTGACTTTAAGACAGTGATATGGACAAAAGCATGTATTTTGAATAGGTACCACACTTATGACAGCTTTTGTACCTTTGTTTCTAAGCATGTATGATAATAAACATGGCCATTATTCTGACTGAGAGACCCATGTTTGTGCTGGATTCATCCACACAGGTAAAGTTTTATTTAAATTATTGATTCTTTAAAAAAATACACAGAGTCAAATAAACGAATGGCATTGGGTTCGGATCTTTTGTTTGAACGCATCGACGTCGATACATCACGAAATATGGAGTTCCAATTCCGGTAAAATGTGAACGCTCTTTCCCTCCACACATTAGGCTCTTTGATTAGATTATACCATCATGCTGCCATTAGCAATAAACACAAGCACACACATCGCTTATGACTTCATATTTGAATCTGGTTAGCAGTCTAGTTTGAAGCACTAAATTAGTTAGAGATCAAGGGGAAGTGTCATGTTGATTTCACACATATAGGCTGTTTCTCAATACCAAGAATGCAGAAAATAGACTTGTGTTCTTTCAATTCAATTCATCTTTATTTCTATAGCGCTTTTACAATGTAGATTCTGTCAAAGCATCTGCACATAGAAGATTACAGTAAATTGAAACCGTGTCAGTCCAGAGTTCAGAGTTAAAGTTCAATTTAGTTCTGTGTGTGTAAAATTCACTCGACTGGTCCTGAACCATGCAAGCCAGTGGCGACAGCAGTGAGGAAAAAAAACGTCACCAATTAGCAAAAGTGAAGAATTAAAAAACCTCGAGAAAAGCCAGGCTCAGTTGGGCACGACTATTTCTCCAATGGCCAGAATGGTCTTACCTCAAAAGTATGAACTTGGAAGATTACAAGCACACAGAATGCATCCTGTGAGATATGAGATGCTACGATCTTCCTGTTAGTCGCGTGACCTTTGCATGTTTTAATGGAAAATAATTTAAAAATTACTGCATTCATACAATGATGTTTTGCTTTTTTCCCTTTTCAATGTATATAACATGCACACAAGCATTTACAGACTATACGTTTCACGATGCAAAGAGAACAGATTTGAATGTGAATATTATCAAATAAATGCTTTTCCATGAAGAAACGCATATTGAGAAACAGCCATAGTATGACCAGTTAAGTTGCTGCTGACCAGTCGTATCATGTGATATGTGCACATGAATCAAGAGCTTCGCCTTTGCACTGTATGCTTTAAAGCTGCATGGAAATCGCACAGCCCTGCCTAACATGGGCATACATGAGTGTGGCAAAGGACAACAAAGGGATGAACAGAAACAATAAAAAACACACAGGGCAACCGGGTCCACCTCACTCAGTTAAAATGGAAGTAAATAGCCACAATTGTTACAAAGCACAGAGATAATTTGCCAGTCCTCAATAAAAAAATCCAGATATATCTCAAACCATCCTTCACACTACACAATGTAACAGTAAAATGAAAAAAATCGAATTAATCCTTAAGCAAACCTTAATGCAAGTCACCATTAACAAACACAAAACTATATAATAACAACACATACACATATTGCCTGACACGCAACAAAAATACCCACACTAAAGTATATATATAATAACAACAAAGCATTGTACAGCAAATAAAACCATGCCATAGGACCAGGAGAGAATAGGGAGGAAAAATATGAAAAATAAATGTCCTTGGAGACGTTATTTATTTAACGCTTTCTAATTATTTTCTGTTTCTGGATAGTTCAGATGCAAAAGCTTCTAAGTGGAGCATTTTTCTCATCCTCCTTTATGTTCAGTTTACTTTAAATCAATGTAAATGACTTGTCTGTGTAAACTACTCAACCTACATACAGGAGCCTGAGAACAATACTCATTTTAGAAGAACATTTCTGATGCCACTTAGAGGATTTTGCATCTGAACTATTCATATGTTTTCAAAATCAGAGCTCTGTGACAGTAAATAAGAAATAACTCACCTGTGGCCAAAAATTATGCCTTCCTGTGTCTTTTGTTTATGTTCTAGATGACCCCCAGGATGTTAATAGAATGTGGTATTTTGAAAGCAGAATCCCTTGATGCACCGCAGTACTAATGGAGGGTTGCCAAGTAGATGCTCGAGCAAACAGACACAGTGCTCTACTATGACATACTGTTGCTTGATGGAGGAAGTTCAAAATCCTTTATGGGCAGTACAACAAAATCTTTACCCAATCTGATTTGCATACTCAAAACATAACACTAAGTAGAGCATTCAAAGCTTTACCATAAGTGGTTTGGTCTAAGAGGATAGATGCGTGCAGGAAGCAGATGCTTTAGTGAACAGGAAATAACGTGCAGACAAAAGTGAGGTGTTCCCTTCAGCTGTATTTTCATGAGGGGGTCATTTCAGACAAATTTTATACAGGTCTAAATGCATCTAGTTTTTAAAATCACCTTTGTAAAATTTTCTCTTACCAAAAAGTAATAAATAAATAGGCTTGTGAGAGGTTGTGATGGGAATAGCAGTGTTATAAAGAGAAAATACCCTTTTTCAGTATAACAAATGTTATATAAACTGTTTCCCCTGTTGCAATGACTGTACCATTAATTACAGTAAAATGCAGCGTTACACAATTTGACTTGATGCAGTATGTAAGTTTGACACCCAGTGGTTTAACTAGGTATTACATTCCTGGATCAAAAGAAACACAAGCGCAAGTTGCCAGTTTGAAGACCATCGGTGTTGATTTAAATAAAAGCAAGGGCACGCGATATGAGGAATATTTTCCATATTAAAAGGAGTTTTTGTCATAACCAACACCTCAAATTAGAAACGGCTTCTATTTCTCACAGGTGAACAACAGAAAACTGACAATGATCACCTCAGGTACACCTCATGTGCTGTATTCAGTGTTTAATGTTAGTAATGTGAGTTTGAATGCCATTTCACATGACATTTATTGCCATACTTTTAAAAGCAGCAGCAGATAGTTCACCTCAGATCTTGAAAATAAAATAAACCATTTGAAATTAAACTTAACTGTGACTCAAAATCAACACATATCAGTGATTGAGTATCTACATTTAATAATTTTAAAGAGGATGAATATGTATTAAATAGATTATATGGTAGCGTGGTAGGACACAGGGTTAGAATGTAAACCTGCTCACCTAATGTTTTTACGCTCATAATATTAATATTATTTGCTCATAAATAACCTCATAGGGAACTCTGAATCTGCGTCTCATTTCGAGGCTGATACTGTTCACCGGAGGTTGCATTTTGGTCGTGGATGCATGCTTTGAGAGCCTTTCTGAATGAATGAATGAACAAATGAACGGTTTTCCAACAAGACCATAGGCACAATAGGCATTTCTGTAGCTGTTTAATTAGCTGCTTTAGAACAGACCTTTCACTTTCATACAACTATGTGACTGATCACAATCACAGATTAATTTTCAACTTATTTACTTTTTCTGGATTTTAAGTTGCCTTTTGGCAGGTATTTATATTGCCATGAGGCCAGGAGCTCTTTCTAAAGCAGCAATTGTTGCTGTAATCTTTCAAGCAAGTTTGCTAAATTTGGAATCAGGAACCTCATACCATTTCAGAGGATCAATTTCTGCGTTCAGCATTTCAATTCCTCTTTTATAACTTTTGTAAAGAAGCAGATTTTGCAGTACTATCAGTTCCTGAGGTTTTCAAAAGAACTACAGTACCAAGTGATTTCCTTGCCTAATCGTGATTAGCTAAAGCTAAACATAACCGTTTTAGACATATTATTTTAACCATTTTAAACTATAAGCACTCTTACTTACTATACACATACAGTTGAAGTTTATTAGTAGCCCCCCTTTGATTTATTTATTTTTTTTTCCTAAATGATGTTTAGCAGAGCACGAAAATTTTCACTGTATGTCTGATAATATTTTTTTCTTCTGGAGAAAGTATTATTTGTTTTATTTTGGCCAGAATAAAAGCAGTTTATAATTTTTTTATTAACCATTTTAAGGTCAAAATTATTAGCCCCTTAAGCTAATTGTATTCTTTATAGTCTACAGAACAAACCATCGTTATACATTTACTTGCCTAATTACCCTAACCTGCCTAGTTAACTTAATTATTGTAGTTAAGCTTTTAAATGTCACTTTAGGCTGTATAGAAGTAAATAAGAAAGAATATCTAGTCAAATATTATTTACTGTCATCATAAAAAAGATCAAATAAATCAGTTGTTAGAAATAAGTTATTAAAACTATTATGTTTAGAAATATGTTGATAAAATCTTCTCTCCATTAAACAGAAATTGGGGGAAAAATAAACAGGGGGGCTAATAATTCAGGGGAGGGGTAATAAATAATTCTAACTTCAACTGTACCTGACCTAAATAATAAATCTATTAAGTGGTTTTATCACTTCACGATTGGATTATTGCAACTCACTGTGTATTTGTCAGCAACAACTTGCATACCTACAGCTTGTGCAGGATGTTGCAGCTAGGCTACTGACAGGTTTGAGAGAACACCTCACTTCGGTGCTATTTTCTCTCCACTGACTTCCAGTCAAGTTCAGGATAGATTTTAAGATTTTATCTCTGGTTTTTAAAACTTTTCCCTAAAAATGATCAGTGAGCTCGTATAGGGTCTCAAACAACAGGTCACTTAGATCAGATAATCAGTCTTTGTTGACTGTTCTAAGGTTCAAAAAAGATATCAAATGATGACTGCAGAATTGCTGTAGTAGACCCAAATTTGTTATCTTTAGAGGGTTTTAGGTCACAGCTGAAGACACTTTTTTTTTTAGTTTAGCATTTGATGTATTAAGGAATGCTTGATGTGGAAACTTTTTAATTAAATGTTTGTACTGAAAACAAACAGGAAAGCGCGGACAAGTGGGATAAAGGCGTCTATATCAAAGAAAAACAGCATGATGGAAATATGGGAATACTTTGGTTTCACAGTCACAGACACCAAAAAAACAGGTCATTTTTAAGAGCTGTCACAGAATTGATTCCACAGCTTACACATTATTGAGCTCAAGCTTGTCTATAAAATTAAATTGCAAATCAAATCACAATCGCAATATCTGTCAAAAATAAATTGCAATTAGATATATTCCCCAAATCGCACAGCCCTACTGCAAAGTAAAAATGTTTATCTGAAGCTCCTTCAGCATTAATAGCTCAACTACATAGAGAAAAAAATGAGCCCTTCACACAGCATGATATATTAAGCAGTTAGTTTAGGCTGGAAACACTGAAATAATGAAATGGCTAGCCCAGAGTCCTGATCTGAACTTGATCTAAATCGCGCTACAATCATTCACTAGTTTTAATCACTGTGTTTTCCACAAAATAATGTTTTATTTGCTGAAATATATTGGTGACTTTGTTAAACACTGCTCGACTAGTATAAACTCATGTGAGACGTAAGTCTTTAAATGAATTGTTTTTGGATATTAATTAAGATCAGAGCTGAGTTTGCAATTCATTACGTAATGAAACATTAGATCAAACTATAACAAAAATAAGACAACTTGAAAAGGTTGAGTATGTCAAATTTACACATCACCATCCGTGATAAAACTACAAGCAGACATGAAATGATATTCATTGTTATTCTTTCATACCCATCAAATGTGATTAGACAAGTTTTAATTTATGCTGACATGTTGTTTCTTTTGTCCTTGTGTTTAAATGATGACTTCAGTCAGATTTAAGTGACAATGTATTCAGACAGTGTCTCCAGGGTTTCGATCTCTCTTGAGACATCTAGAAAAGATATATTAGACATATTAGCCTCTACATAATATTTGCTGTGCTGACATGCCAAAACATGCAATATAAACACATAATCAATTCTAATCATGTAAATATGTATTTAGACCCTGATTCAGAATAATCAAACTCAAATACTTGTTTCTAGAAATGATTCTTAAATGTTGTAATTTCTCTTACCCATCAAGGAAGCTTTGCTGCTTTGTGAAAATGAGCGCTCCATTGATCTGCTCAGCTTAGATTTAAGGCTCTCGCATATATAGCACTTTGAAAGCAACAACAGAAAACATAATTGTTTTGAATTGTTTATAAATATTCGTTTACAAATGTTTTGTTTGAAATGTGAAATTCAAATACCATCAAGGACTTGAACTCATTCAGAAATTGCATTTTTGCTTCTTCGAACATGCTGTCTTTTAATGATTCAATTGTTTTTATTATTGTGCTCTTTCTCTTTCCCATGGCTCCTTGTCCTCTCTTCTCGGCAGCTTCTGTAAAGGCAACATTCAGTGTTTATTCACATTCTGTAGCATAAATGCAACACAAACACCGAATGTCTCAAAGTCTGAATGAAATGGTAATTGATTATAATGAATAAAATGAAAGACTCTGTTATTTTAAAGCCAGCAGATGTTGGTGCTTTCTTGAACAACCACATAGTGGACAACAGTTTACTAATCAGACAGTGTGTAGTTTTAAATGTCTTACTTTTATAGCCTGCAGTCATTTGATCCCGAATTGTTTTTTGGATTACTGAGTAGACATTCTTCTTTCTATTAACAACATCTTGTTTGAGGGATGTCTTCACTTTGGTTTCCTTTTCAAAAGGTTGAAAACGATGAATTATTAGAAGTAGTAGTAGTAGTAGTAGTAGTAGTATGGTATATAATAGGGATGCCACAATTCTCAATATAATATTGAACTGTTCGGTACAACATCCACGGTTCAATACTCGCTTGTGAATTGTTTTCTCGGTTTTAATAATGTATGTGCGGTTTATATCTCCATGAATTGACTGTTTGTGTGTGCCTGTCTTGCCGAGCTGAGATGAGGAAACTCCTCCAATCACAGTAAATATCCAATCACTATGCTCCAAAGTTAGGGGGCGTTTTAATATCAGTCCACACTATAACATAGCAAGCGGCGGTGAAGTGAAGCAATAGTAGGAGGAAGCACCAGCGTCCTTTAAATCTGCGGTGTGAGGACGTTTCAGTTTTGCTGGTAAGTATAATGCCAATGAAAGAAAAAAATGGGGAACAAAAAATAACTGTGTGCAAGCATTGTTTTACACGTATAACCATGACTGCACATCTGCAGCGCCATCACCCAGCAATATCACTGTCTGAAGGCAGGATAGCAGAGAAGGTAACAAAGTCCTCCAAAAAACAATCCCTTGCTGAATCCTTCTAGCAAACATAGCCAACTGGTTCAGAGGGACACATAAAAATAACAAAGGCAGTGCGGGTGTTTATTGCTAAAGATTTGCAGCCGTTTCGGTGATTGGAGATGCCGGCTTTTGTCATATTATAAAAGCACTCGATCTGAGTTACAGACTACCATCTCACACTTTTTTCAGCAGAGATAATTATGATGGTTTATTTATGTTTACTTAAGTACAAATATGTTTATTTGAAATGGTCAATTTATGTTTATTATCTTCACATGTATGTTTATTTTCCAAATGTAGGAATTTATGTTTGTACATGGGCTACCAGCAGCTGTGAGATTTCAGTGATCATTTTTTTAATACAATAAACTAGAATCTAATGTACTTTTCTTGGCTTATAAGTAAAAACAAAGGAGTATTGCAATAAATCGTTTTTATTTTTTTCTCTTTAACCTCTTACTGTTTCTACTCCCTAAACATAGAATAAAAAATAAATAAATAAAAAAACACGTGTCAAGCCATCCGAACCGAAAACCGTGTTAAAAAAACCGTGGTATGTATTGAGCCGTAGGCTAACTGTATTGTTGCATCCCTAATATATAACATGTAAAACAGGATCATGAAAAAAAAAACATTCAAAAAGAAAGTCTTGTAAACATCTTAATCATATCATTTTCTTATTTATATTAAGGCAAATAATTTGATTACTGATGTTCACGTGAACGTAGTCAATGTTATTTTTTTAAAGCAGGGAATGAGATTTGTTTGTTAAGACACTTTGTTGCTTTCACACCATTGGAACAAAGTTTACATGTAGACAGAAGATGATTAAATGAATTGAAGTAAAATTCAGCAACTCACCTCTGTTTTCATGAAGTTCTGAATGTGGTATAGAATGGAAGATGGAGAGTAAACAGTGCCATTCTGAACAACACTGAACTTATCAATCTTTTCTTGCACTGACCTCCCTGTTATGTTATTACTATCAACACTGTAATAATTAAAACAAAATTAAACTCAACAAAACAGAGAAGTTAAAAATCCAAGTTATGGGTTATATCTTGTTATACTACACTGTTCAGGTCATTTTTTCAACACCCACAACAAAGACACAATACACAACAAAGACAAATATGTAAACAACAATATCACCCACCAGCTAATGTAATGTTTACTTAGCACTGTTAAAACACTCATCTGAATGTACAGCGGATAGGGAAGGACAGCAAAACTTACGGAAATATCAAGCTGAACTCCTCATCGATGTTGTCGTAGATGTGTTTGGCCAAGCACTTGTTTAGATCTACAGGTGCATCCCAGTATTGTGGCCAGCAAAATCCTTTCTTCTTGCACAATGCTTGGAGGGTTTTATCATATGGCACCTGATTTACAATACAAAATAGTATTGCTACCATTAGAAAGCCCAGAAAAAAAGATATTTGAAATTTTGATCACTTACAGATGAAATCACAGGCTTTGTGGTACTGAGACACTGGTCCACTGATTTCTCCACTCCCTTTGAGAAACATTGCTCTATAGTCTCATATAGTGGATCAAACCGACCGTTCAGTTCCCTCAGTGCTTTTTTAAGGCTCTCTTTGTAATCATTACGAACTGCAGCTTTAATCTTTGCCTATAAAACACAAGGAAACACAGCGTAAATTACTGAATAAACCTACTATTTGATTTCCACACATGGAAAGAACCTATATGAGGATATATGCACATATATGAAGCCTATATACAGTATACATGCACATATGATATATGCTGTATATATGTGTATATATGCCACATACAGGCAAATTGGAGGTGCAGATATGTCCATATACAAATAATTTTGGCAACTGTCATACAGTACTTGATGCCTAGCTCATTTTTTCTATTATCAAGGCAATCACTAAGAACTAACTAAAATATGCAACAAAAAAAAAACGTATGCATGTGCGAACAGTTTATCTTGATATCACATGTTATTGGCATGTCATGGAATTTTACTATGGCAAAAAAAGTGAGAGGAGATGGAAAGCTATGATGTGCACACGTTTTCCTGTAACATTTACAAGGTCATTTCTTTCTTGTATGAAGTGGAAAAGAAGGAAATGCATAACAAAATTATTTGCAGTTTTTTCTTTTGTTTTTTGTTCAGTTTTTTTGTCTTGTTTTTGTTCCTGTACCATATTTTTTCTTGTCCTATTTGACTGTTCTTATGTACATAAAAAATGTAAATTTCTACATGGGCATTTTTTTATGTTGTCTAGCAGCTATGGATTTTCATCATTTTTACTAACATATACAAACATATAGGTAAACATGTATGTGCACACACACACACACACACACACACACACACATATATATATATATATATATATATATATGTGTGTGTGTGTGTGTGTGTGTGTGTGTGTGTGTGTGGTACATGTATTTACGTGTATATGTGCATATGTGTTCTTATAATATAGGAAAACGGCCATGTTTATATATGTAGAGTGATGAAGTTTGCCCTGCGTGCTTGCGTTTTTTTAAAGAAACTTTTTTGGTGCATCAATCTTGTTAATGCTATTATTCAAAAGAGTAATGATTCGCACTGATCAAGTTATTGCTTCATACTGTTTTTACTTTTTGACAAACTGAGGAAGGCATTGTGCCGAAACATTTGTCTTTAAATCACCAGAAGAATATAAAAAGAAAAAAGAAAAACAGTACGAAGCAATTACTTGATGAGAGCGAATAATTACCTTTTTGAATGAAGTATTTTTTTATATGTCACATATTTAAAAACCTATTTCAAAACCTCTAGGCTCTTTATGAGTGGGTCAGTAAACATCTGTAAATGATCAATCAGCAGTTCTGTACCATTTCTTCATCTGTTGTATTTAGTTTGGTTTGTTGGATAAGGAACAAAACTCCCTTTGCTTGATTGACATAATCTCTGATCAGTTCCCTCCTGATGCTCTTGTTGGTGTTCTTGAGAAGGTCCTGCAACTTTGGGATTTCTACAGATAATTGGAAAAAAAAAAATTGTATTTCAGTAATTTAAATGAAACGAGAATGAACAGATACTCAGTTCAAGACAGAATTATTAGCCAACCTTTGATTTTTTATTTTTTTTTCTCAAATGATGTTTAACAGAGCGAGGACATTTTTAAAGTTTTAAAATTTTTAAAAACCATTTTAAAGTCAATATTATTAGTCCCTTTAAGCAATTTTTTTTCAATAGTCTACAGAACAAACCATCATTTTACAATAACTTGCCTAATTACCCTAACCTGCCTTGTTAACCTAATTAACCTAGTTAAACATTTAAATGTCACTCTAATAGAATATCTAGTGAAATATTATCTACTGTCATCATGACAAAGATCAAATAAATCAGTTATTAGAAATGAGTTATTAAAATTCTACTATGTTTAGAAATGTGCTGAAAAACTCTTCTCTCCTTTAAAAAGATATTAGGGGGGAAATAAACAGGGGGGCTAGTAATTCTAAATCAACTGTCTATATAAAATGTTTGTTTTCCAGGTTCACTTAATGGTTTACCTGTTTCATTTTTATCCATCTGGAGATCTTCATTAAAGTATGCCTTAGAGCTGACAGCAAAAACATCAGCGGTGAATCTTCTGACGTCTTTTGATTTCTGAGTAAAAAGCAGGAATAAGAGTAAGAATAAGAATTACAAATACATATGTCAATTTTCTAAAAAAAAAATGTGAATTGGTTTTGCAGTGGCAAGTCACTGGTGTAAAATGCATTTTAATTGGTTCTTAGGTGGTTGCTGGGGTGTTTTGAGTGGTTGCTAGTTTTTTGCTAAGTAATTGGTAATCAGTTATTAGGGTGTTCTGAATAGTTCATAGGTGGTTGCTAAGGTGTTGCTAGGAAGTTGCTAGGGTGTTCTAAGTGATTCCTAGGTGGTTGCTAAAGTGTCGCTAGGTGGTCATTAAGGTATTCTCAGTGGTTGCAAAAGCATTGCTAAACAGTTGCTAGGGTGTCCTGAGTGATGCTAGGCAGATCTTAAGGCATTATTACTGGGTGGTTGCTAGGCAGCTTCTATGGTACACTGGGTTGTTACTAGGCATGCCTCACATAGCATAGCTAGTCAGATCAATTGATCATGTTAAAATGACAGTTAATATTTATGTATTTTTACACATTTATTCACACACTTGCATTCCTGAGAGCAGGAAAGAGACAGGCTGCACTGGTAAGCAGTATCTCCATATAGTTTAATTAAAATAAATGATCAACAAATGAATCTGTCATGACAGTCTCTACCAGTGAGGACATTATCTACACACAATATGAATTCCCAATTAGAAAAATACTACAAATTATGAAACACTATTTATCAAAATACTTAAATAACAGACAAATCAAAATGCCCAACGCAAGCGGGCTGCGTTCCAGACCAGCTCAGCTCGATGACGTATAATGTCTCCGACACCGCCTCCAGTCCCATTTAGCAACTTGATAGCAACTGTCTTTTTAAAGAAACGTAACTGCTTTAAAAAAGCAACAGTGTGATGTAACTGGTGTGTTTCATGTTGTAGAATAAAACATGAAAGTATCTTCAGTATGTGGTAGCCACAAACCTTATTTGAGCAATTTAATCAAAATCCCATTTAAAAAAAAACATTGACTTTGAGATAAGGGAACCAGAACTGGAAAACTGCTAACTCGCTTCTAGATTTTTGCATAGAAATTGATGTCATAGTTTCTCCACTCTATTGAGATGATGATTGGTTGCCTGTCAATCAGCTTACTCCAATGTCTCTATGACACTGCTATTATAATGGCAGTCTATAGAATCAATTACTAAAGGTGTGTAAATGGTTTTGGGGCATGGCTTGAGAGCTTCATTATCATATTGAGATTATTATTGGTTGTCCGTGTCAGATGAGCCCACCCGCAGGTTTGTATGTCCCTGCTATGTAGTGTTATTGATGTGTGACATTTATAATGGGAGTCAATTGGCTCAATGTATTTCAGTGGGCATCCCGTCCCCATGTTAGGTCAATGGGACCACTTTGGGACATCCTAGCAACTCAGGGGTATCCTTGTGGGGTACATTTTCTTCATCAGGCAGCAACCCCCTACAGATGTTTTGAATCCCATATTTATACTAAATTCACACTTGGCGCTATGTTGCGTCAAAGTTGGGTGTAATGTTGCGTCAATGGGTTTTGGGGATGAACCCCTTAAAAAAGTCGTAGCACATCATTCCCAATAAATCTGCATGATTTGAACCCTCTTTCAAGGGTCTGGGAAAACTGTGGGACTGGTTATGCACCAAAAAAAGAAGTAGAATAAGTTTGGAGAATAACAATAGTGGATTTGCCTAAAGGCAAACCCCACTAATAACAAAAAAAATTCAATTTCACATTTATACCATGTTTTCAAGCTTCCTTTTCAGAGTATCCTTTGCAGAGTTGTTCCTATGATGAATGCACGCTGTTTTCGAACTCTGAAAAACAATAACAATAATAAATTATAACACGCATGAAGTGTCTTTAATATAAACTAAGTGTCACTGTAAAATTAGCCCATGAGTCAATTCAGTCATTTTTGCATTTCTATGCAATCCATTGTTCGTTTTTAGGAAGTCATTCACGCCTCTGTTATGTAACCCTTTTGCCCGAAAGTAGAGAACGGACACATCATGCAACATTAGGGGTTCCATAGAGGAGACCAATTTTCTCAGAACAGTACGAAAGGAAACCAATAGAATGGCCACTGCAAAGGACATAATGTATGATAGAGGTAGCAAAAGATTCAAGAACAACCGTACCAAAGATAAAGAACAGTTGTACATGATTGAGGTTATCAAAAGCAATATTAAAAAATACTAAAAGTAGGTAGTGCTGGCGCCTCACAGCAAGAAGGTCGCTGGGTCGCTGGTTCGAGCCTCGGCTCAGTTGGCGTTTCTGTGTGGAGTTTGCATGTTCTCCCTGTGTTCGCGTGGGTTTCCTCCGGGTGCTCCGGTTTCCCCCACAGTCCAAAGACATGCGGTACAGGTGAATTGGGTAGGCTAAATTGTCCGAAGTGTGTGAATGTGTGTGTGGATGTTTCCCAGAGATGGGTTGCGGCTGGAAGGGCATCCGCTGTGTAAAAACTTGCTGGATAAGTTGGCGGTTCATTCTGCTGTGGCAACCCCGGACAAGAAAATGAAATGAAATGAAATGAAACTAAGTTTTGCAGCGGTTTATGTTAATAAACTAGGCTATTTTTGTCCTATGATTTTTAAATTTCTATTGATTCTGCAAGGAATTTCCATAATTTCAACCTCTAACTATCAGAGGTGGCTGATCACAATCTCCCTATGCTACACTTGATCACTTGTTGTCACAGCTGCTCTAGAATAAGCCAGTCCTCAGGAGAATCTGGGCACCCACTTCCAATAACATGAAAAGGGTCTGGCTGCAGAGCTGCACTTGCACTTTCAGACTTGCACTCTCGGGCCGGCATGTTCAGTCACCCATGCTTTCTATGCAAGAGACACCATTTACAATTGACACCTGTCACGTCACTTGAAATCAATACAAATAAACAAAAGATAAGTTTCCAGTTTGTTTGTGTTGACAGTGAGGACATTGTCAAATAATTCTAAGTACTTAAGTTGTACACCATGACAGACCCCCCCTCTATCTCTCTCTTGTGAAGTGGTTTGTATTTTCATCATATGATTAGAATGTTTTAATATAAATTTACCAAAGCAGGCTTCTATTACCATTTATACCAGCAAAGCTTATTATTTATTTATATGAGCTATCAGGTCTAAATATACGCACAAATGATTCTTCGATTATTCTTGAACTACTTGGGAAACTTTTCTTTATTCAGCAGGTCCCAGAACAACTGCAAACAAGAATGCAAATGTCGATGCAAGTGACGTGGCAGGAGAGTGCAGGGCTCGTTTGCATAAAAGTCCATAACCAAAAAATCCCCCAGTTTAAGGTTAAGGGTACCCTTAGTAAAAGTTGGAGGGTTTGCAAGTAAAGGGTAAAAGTAAAAGTTTTGCAAGGAGAACAAAAAGAAAAAGATCACCTATAAAGTATTTCCCCTTAGTCCTTAGTAACCATTTCCTCTTAAAACATTTAAGGGACCTAATCAGCTCCCTTGAACAAATGAGATTTAAAATGCAAGCATTCCCACCCCAAAAAAATTTTTTTCGATAAAAGACTCATATGAATGCAGATACATAATTTAATAAAACAATTTCATAAATAAAGGGAACGTCTCGACTCACAGATGATGTGTAACATTACTGCAAAGCTGTTGTAAGGCAAGCATTTGTGGTTTGTTACGATCTGTTTACGTAACTATATAACTGCGGTGCCCATCACCGTATGTTGCCAGAAACTATAGTTGTGAAATGCTTAGAAAAAAGGCACTTGAGTAAGGGTGACAGAAAAGAAGTTTGTTGCAATGATCTTCTGCCTCAGGAACACCCTTAAGTTAAATTACCGAAGGACTTTCATGCAAGCTGCCACAAGTGGCGATTGTAAATAACCTCACTTGCAGAGGAAGCGCACTTGACCTGAAGGTGCAGCCAGACTCTATAGAGCAGACTCTCGGCAGGTACACCATCTGCGATAAGGACTGAAATTTTAGAAAACTGCATGTAAATAATGCAGAAAACAAACAATTAATCTTTTGTTTGTAAATGTACCAGACCTTGTCTGAAGAAAAGTGATCTCCAGATGGCTGTGCAGATCTATAACAAAAAATAAATGTGATTTATTAATGCAGAAATGCAGAATATTGACAAAAATCTCTATATTCTTACCCTAGATATTCTTTTATATTAATGTCATCAGTCCTGGTACAGATGAAGTTTATTGTTTTGCACTGTCCTCCTGGTCCCAAGTCTTGGATGCAGTGCTCGATTATGCTCCAGGGCTCTTTGCTACTGATTGCACGCTTGATGTCATTTACAATCCACACAGAAGAGCACTCCTTCACTCTCTGTAGAATTAGAAAAGTCTTCATAAAATCCTGAATAAAATACCTGTGGTATTGCTCTACTTTACACTTGTTGAACTGCACCCCGGCTTGCCCTGGCAGAAAACACAGTGTCTGAAGGCTACCTCAATGTATGTGAGTGCGGACAAAATGTGACCTCCACAGAACAGTAACAGCCTCCAAAATAAGACAGAGTTACTGTATATCAGATTTAGCGTTATAAAATCCACATGAGGTGGTTTCTAATTTGGAAACAATACAAATATTTTAAATGTAAACATTGCATTTGGGTTCACACCAAATGTGGTGCAGCATGTCACAGACTAAAAACTGGATGTTTTTCACCAAAAGCAAACTTTCCACTCAAATGAAACATTAGAATTTGAGATGTAGACACAACTGAGGTAAATTCCATGCATTCACAGTAAATGAAACAGATGAAAAGTAATAATAGTATGAATTGACATAATAGTAGGTAATTACAGTTTTTCTCAGTCACTTTGGTGCATTTCTCACAACACTATTTACATTTGCACAATAGTTCATGCATTTCTCAAAACAATTAGTCATTTGTGCACATCTTAGTAGCAGTTTCTCATTCCTTTCAACAAATTGCAAATGCTTTCGGACATGCATCAATTGCTTTCATTCAACTCTCTGCTGTTTATAACATTATCACTTGCTTATGTCATGTCAGTCAAAATGAACTAAACTTGTAAATGCTGAATAGTCATTCCATATAAAACTAACAGTCCTCATTTCTTTACTTCAGTCATTACATACAAAAATGTTGAACTTGATGACAAAATCGGTCAAGCAAACTTTTTTTTTTTTTTTAAATATCTTTATTTTCCTGAAAATGTCGTTAAAATTGAAGAATTTGGTGAATGATTTACAGACCTGTGTATGTTGCAGGTTCAGGTCCAATTTGTACTGCAATATTGTTTACAGTTGTGCACAGTTCAACCCAAAGGGAGTTTATTTTTGTTGTAAATAAGGGTGTGTTTATTCTTTTGCACAATGCTGTGAATAAATTAGGATTGTAAAGAGCAAATGCAGAGTAAAAATGTAAAACATACATATTCAGTGTCTTGTACTCAGATACCTCACTAAATTACAGTAAGTGATGTCCAACTTTACTGTAGTTTTCAAATGGCTGTGCAAAAAGTATATAGTGCTGTCTTGAGCATTTTCAGGAAGTGTCACCAAAATCAGAATCAGTAAACTGTCATAATGAAAACATGACATCTTGTTCATAAACAATGGTGTCAGGACTTTTCATTTTGATGATACTGACACTTGGATTGACATGAATACTTGCTTTTGAGAAATAAACTATCCATTTTACGCATGTGACGCGCTTTTGCAGGTTATCAGCTAGGTTTTGCAGTTTGTACTTATTGTTTTGAGAAATGCATTAACTGTTGAGCAGAAATGCACTAGTGTTGTGAGAAACGCACCAAAGCGACTGAGAAAAACTGTAAATCATGAAAGAATCTTCATATGTAAGATATCTGGTAGTGCAGCATTTACTGATTTCCACAGATCATCTCGTATCTTGTTGCAGTCTCCAGTGCCAGGAACATCAAACAGCACAATGTGTTCCAGAAGCTCTTGACGATCTGGAATCTTGATGGTCACACTCTTCACAAGAGGCCAGTACCAGCCACCAGGATTATACTCACTTTGCTGAATGTGACATTTAACATCACGGACAAAGTCAAGGACCTGTTGTAAAAAAATAAAACAAAAAAATCTTAAATCATATAAAAAGTCAGGAATACATCAAATACTATTTCAGAATTCATAGTATAATAATATATTAATCATATTTTACCATACTTTGTAATATTTTAGCCTTTTTAGTAAATAATGAAAAGAAATTAGTAACTTTATTTTGATGGTCTCCCTATAGTCTGCTGACCATAAGATGCTTTACAAATTCATATCTGCTTACTCTCATCAGCATGTCCCTCTAAGTCTCATCTTGGTTGAAAAAACCTGAAACACCTCCTTAGTTTGGCGTCCAGTTGGCATATGAAACAGATGCCTGATCCACCTCAGCTGGCTTCTGGCAGTGACAGAACTTCTGACCTTATTTATAAGGGTGTGCAGTATAGAGATACTGAAAACTTGTTGAGGATTTCTTGCATGTCTTATAACAGTTAAATGAACATCTATAACCTTAATTGGTAACATTTTACTGACCAAAAGTTTATTAGATGTTCAAATGTTGAAGATGAGAGTAAGTATAAGTGTTTGAAGTATATTATAGTCAGCAGGGGGACCATCAGGATAAGGTCTTACAAAGAATTTAAAATGTAATGAATTAAAGAATTTCATCTGAAAGGGAAACAAAGTACTGTATCCAGAACTGTCCACACCTTTTCATTGCAAAACCGTGTCTTTGTCAAAATCTGACAATAGTATCTAAACTTTTAAACAAAGAATATTTGCTAACGAAAAAATATATATTTTAGCCCTTACTTCAGTGTGCGAAATTGTTTTTTTCTCGGTAGACAAAAAGTGATCAATTTCAGCATATTTGGCATTTTTCTTAAGTTCTTCCAGTGATTTCTTATCTGCATCAGCCCCATACACTGCAATGATCCTTTCATTATCTGTATCAGTCCTTTCATCTGTGGAAGCAATCTCATTCTCCCATTCCTGCAAAACAATACAAATAAAATACTTTATTATTTTAGACAGACAGACAGACAGACAGATAGACAGATAGATAGATAGATAGATAGATAGATAGATAGATAGATAGATAGATAGATAGATAGATAGATAGATAGATAGATAGATAGATAGATAGATAGATAGATAGATAGATAGATAGATAGATAGATAGATAGATAGATAGATAGATGAACCTCTTTAGAGATGAGCTCAATCTCAGCTTTGTATTCAGAGTCCTCAAGATTTGCTTCCACTTGAGTAATCACTGCTGTACAGGCACCAAGACTACCACATGGCAGCAGACCTTCTAATCCCAACACTGCATTTAATAAAGAGCTTTTTCCTTCTCCTGTTTTGCCAAAAACACCAATGGTTTCCTTTCTTCTTTTGTCTTTGTCCATCTCATTCATTTTTGCAATGGAATCTCTACATCATGATACAGATAAAAGTGACTGAACACCACTTTACAATTGAGCATACAGAACAATTTACATTGTGATTTATAAGTACTTACAAAATTGTGTTTTTTATCTCATTTGTTGTTTGGTCTGTGCTTTTAATGTTTTGAAATCTGACATTAACTTCATTCATGATCTTTTTTGTCATATTCAGTATTTCCATATCTGTTAAATAAATTTAAGAAATAACTTTGAGATTGATGAATTAATACTAAATTCACAAATTCAATAAATGTAGGAATAAAAACATACCAAAATGACTTGCCTGAATATGATTTAGCACTGATCTTTAAATCCCTCGATTCACGCTTTCTTTTAGTGCCTGCATCAGAGAATTGAAACACATCAATCTTGTACCTAATACAACGTGATCATTTTATTTAAAATATTTTTTTGTTTGACTACCCAGTGGATGTTTAATCAAACAAGTTTGAAATGAAAAATGAAGAAATGAAATCTCCTAATGACTTTTGTTTGTATTTTTTAAAATAGCTTTTCCTGATATTTGCAGGTACATGAAACTCACCTGTAACTGTTTGTTTTAATTCACTATACCAATTTACTTTTGTAAGGCCATCTATAAAGATGCTTTTCATATGCTTAAAATAATTTTTTTTCAACAATGTTGTACAAACCACATGTGAATACGTATGTTAGTTTGTGTGTGTGTGTGTGAGTGTGTGTGTGTGTGTGTGTACCTTGTATTCCTAAAGTTGTCCCCGCAAGTATAGCAATGCTGGTAACTCCTAACCCTGTGGGGACATTTTTCCCCATGAGAAAACCTCTCATAAATCACACTGAATTAATTACTTTAAAATATAAAACTGCAGAATGTTACATGTGAAAGTTTAGGGGTAGGGAGATACAATATACAATTTGTACAGAATAAAAATCATTATGTTTATGTGAAGCCCCCTCAAAGTTAGCAATACAAGTGTGTGTGGTAAATATAAAATGATTTGGCCTACCACTGGCATTCTGTGAAATTCCTGACCAAGATGGCCCAGGAGACTGTGGACAGGTTCCTGTTACTTGATTCATTGCTATGGCTGCTCTGTTTATATAAAACAATAATATTACTAATAAATATCAACAAATGCTTCCATTGGGTAGGAATATGAAAGAATGAGGATAGTTGTAACACACTTAGTTTAAAGATTTCACTTTCAGTTCACTTCTTACCATGTCAAATGTTACAGGGGGAAAAAATTTGCTAAATTGTAAAAAAAAAAAAAAAAAAAGTACCTAGCCACAACAGATGATTTATATAACTACAGTACAGCGTCATTTGTATTCTCAAATTAATCATAAATGTATCATTTAGCAGTTTCAATAGTTGTCCAATGGTTTGGTAACTTAGAGAGGACCAGATTTTAAATCTCAGTTGTGCAGTAGGAGCACAAAAAAATGCAAGTATCATATCAACTTGAAATAAGAATATATTTCTTACTGTTCCGGCTGCTTCATTTGTTTTAGTTTTTTCTTGGCCTCCTCATAAGTGCCTGCAGTAAGATAAAAAAAAATTGTTATTGAGAACATAATGAGAGTAAAAGTTGACTGTTTAAATTAAGAACTGGTACCATATTCTCCATGAAACAGGACAGCTAATTTCTCCCAAGATTTCTCTCCTGTTTGAGGTGCAAATCTGTACTGAACAGCTTCCATGAATTTCTCTGATGATTTGTATGGAGGCCAGTAACATTGTTTTTTGTCTGCGGTCAACCAGTTTGATGCTGTCACCATCACCTCTTCTGATTCTTCTAAAGTTACAACTGCATACATGGTTGTTCTGCAATAAATAAGTAATTCATTAATAAAGAAAATTAGATAAAGCTGTACAACACTTCTCATATGCACACAGACACATAGGCCCAGATTTACTAACTGCTTGCACCAGCGCAAACCATCTTTTTGGCTTTAAAACAGTATTGTGGGTATTTAATAAATACACACAGAGAAGAATAGGGCTGAAAAGGCATGGACACAGCTATAGTTATAATAGTTATCGAGTATCAAGTCAGACAAATTTTATGCAAGGAGTATTTAAATTAATCACACAATGGGATTTACTAAGATTTGCATTTCTCAAATTCTGGATATTTGTGCCAATATCTAATACCTAAAAAGGAATGTTAGTCAAGACCCAGTATTATGTGACTCACTCTAGTTGTGTGTTCCAAGTTATCTTTTAATTCCTGAAGGATATTAAAAATAACATGGGAAACAATATGTTTCAATGTTCCTCTGTCATTACAAATAAATGCATTGCTCGCTCTCTTGTGCCTTTAACAGCATCAACAACTGCAGCCATTTCATGTGCAATACTTAAGACTCTTCATTTTTGTCCTACTGTGGTTTTAACAGTCCACATTTTAACTTGGATTATCCACTTATCAAAGGTGACTGAGTGCACCATACAAAATTACCCTAAATTTGCATTGGTTATGAACCAGTAGAGAAAAAAAATGCCTGTTCGTAGTAGATAACCTGCATTTTATGAGCATCTACTGTGCTTATTTACCACTGTGCTAATGCATTACAGCGAACAGTAGACACAGGAGGATCACTACAGCTGAGGATCACTTGAAAGTGCCCAAAGTTCATTGTATGTATTATGTTTCTTATAATAAAATCTCCCAAATATTTTTAATCATCTTCAAAATGTATAACTCTCACCTTTCAATCGATTTAGATTTTCCCTCATGTTCATTTGACCCATTGTCGCTGTCTTCACACTGTGAATTGTCTTCTGTGTCCTCCAACAGTCCATCATAATCTTCACTTGCGGACTCATTACCCTCAACACTTTGTCCTCTGTATAATGTCATAATATCATATTCTTCATTGTTGCTGCTTTCCATAGCAAGTATCTCATCTAGGTCTTCAGATGGGACGCAAATGATCACATTTGTCTTGAAAACATGCACTGCATAATTTTCTAAATTCTTACACAACTTTAAGGCGCAGCTTTTCAGTTTTAAAGCTGTGAGTACTGGCTTCAGTGGGCAGCCCTGACACTTTTTGAATTTTGAATCTCTGAAGATTTTTTCCACAAGCGGAAAGTCTTGATAAAGAACTGAATGTGAGTCCTCAATTTCATCCTTTAGACAGCAGAGCATTGCTTCAGTGCAGACTGTTTTAGGAGTGATCATAACAATTGCTGAATCCTTAATCATACCCTTTGACTGAGGATTCAAGAAATCATCAAGACGTCTTGCCAGAATAGTTGCAATGATGAGGTAGTCGGCATTAAAAAAGTGAGGGATATCATCCTGTGGATCTTGAAAATACAATTCAGAGCAGTTGACTTCACCCCTGTGGATTCCGTCATAGAGCATCTTTATGTATGGAATTACATCCCGGATGTTGTCTTTATAGAAGGACACTGGGATGTCGTCTGGTCTTACTGTGTCTGACACTTGAAGAGACTGAACCGCTGACACAATGTCAACTTCACTGACTGCAGGTGAGCTTTCTTCAGACTGTGATGAACTGGTTTCATCAGTCAAAAGTATTTTTTTGCAGTGAAATAGTTTGAAGAGTGACTGTGTTTGATCTATCAGAAGAGGCACTGTGGAGACATAGTTGATCTCTAAAGACACAGGTTGACGATCTTTGAGCTCTCCGAACCTTGAATTCATGATTTCACAACTTCCTACACGCCACATACATTCATCTGGAATGAAGAAGTAATCGAGTCTGGACACTGGACGATCTCTTATGTAGAATGTAAAATCCTGCTTTACAGGGTTCATTCTTCTCCACACATCAGCCAGCTGAAGAGATTTCATGAAATTCTCCACACATAAGAGCAGTTTATTGTGCATTCTGTTCTTTGTCATCTTGCCTGTACTCCATTTTTTGTCGATAAACGGATTGAGGAATGTGTTGAAATCTCCACCAATCACCAGCAGCCCTGTGGTCATTGACTGCAGGTATCTTGAAAGATTATCAAGCGTTTTTGTGTCTGTCTGATGGTTATAAACACTCACTAGAGTGTACAGGCAACCTTCCAGTTCACATTTCAACAATACATATTCACCACAATTACCTTTCTCGACACTTAAACATTTGAAATCTAGACTCTTTCTGACGAGAATGGCAGTTCCACTGCTGGAAGAGTTGTACTTTGTATAGAAAACATTCCACCGCTTTTTTAAACCTTCTATAACATGTTCATCCCCTGCTCCAATGTGTGTCTCTTGTAGGAAAACAACATCAGCGCATTGAAGTTCTTGAAATTTCTGATACTTGTTTTGCTTAAGTCCGTTAGCATTCCAGGTGATAAAGTTAATGGTGTATGAATCCATGACAGATCAGCTTTCACAAGATCCTCAGCTTAGCACGTTCCCTGTGGAAACAAATATTGATGGAGGGTGGGATGTTTGTTGGTTTTTCCCTTTGTAATCTGAGTGATTAACTTATATTTTCATTAGACATTTTATTTATCCAAAGTGATTTGAACTGATTTGATTCTTTTCTAAACTACATATTATGTTCATTGGCTAAGTCCTGAGTTATAAAGCAGTGTTGTCTGACTCTTGTGTTTATGTGTCTCGTGTATGTGCTTCCCCACAATTTCCACATCCTGTTTGAGTAGCTGATTCTCGCATGCAAAAAGTAAAAGTGATTCTGAAAATCTTTACCAATTGCTAATGTTTTTTATGATAGTATTGTACTGAATTGAAACATAATCCATAATCTGGGTGATATTGTTACAGTTTAAGGATATTGTTTTGTACTTCTTAGGGACTAATATGTACACTTTAGGTACTAATATATAACTTTAAGACACCAATAAGGACAAAAGCATATATATATATGCTAATGACAGCTTTTGTACCTTTGTTTCTAAGAGTGTGTGATAATAGACATGGCCATTATTCTGACTGAGAGACCTATGATTATGCTGGATTCATGCACCGTGGTAAATCTGAACATTGACAAATATTATGTGGGAAGACAATACAACAAATGTTGAAAAGTTTAGCTTATCGTTTATCAAACTGTTTAGAACTTTTAAGTTCTTTTGCTCACATGGCTCATTTTTTTAAAGAGATCCTATTATGGGTTTTTGAAATTGATCTTCCATGCAGTGTGTAAAACAGTTTTAAGTGAATGAAAACATCCAGCTAATGTTTAAATCTAAAAGTGCAGGATGTTTAAAACTATTGAATCTTTAACAAAATAGTCGACTCAGAGTCAAATAAAAAGAACCGCATTAAGTTAAAATGTGAACACGCTTTCCCTTCAGACACTAACAGAGGTGCAGGGGATCCAGGGGCTGATCATGACGTGAAGATGACGATCACTCACAGATTGAGATTCGGCTGCGGTGAATAAAGGGTTAAAGTTCATAGTGGGATTTGCAGGCCGTTTGTTATTGAAAGAGCAGAAGACAAGAACTTTGTCTAACTTTTACTGTTTAAATGGACCAGTTTCTTCTTCCTCTGGATCATAACATGTAAGTGTCATTAAAATTGTTACCTCGTTTTCTGTAGTTTGCAAAATATGTGTTTAATTGTGTGTTGTAAGTTGTAATCACCCCGCGCAACTTGTAATCAAATATCGATTGTAGATCAGTGCTTGGACTGTATTTCTCAGGTTAAATCTGTATGGGGCTTTTCACATATCGCGTCCAAAACTATGTTAAAAATGTGACGAGTGCTTCTTCTTTTACCACTTTTAAATGTTTCTTAACTGGCGATCTTCTGCTGTGTGTTTTTGCTATGGCCACCATCAGCTGTTGTTCACACATGCTGTGTGGCGCGGTCAGTTTTTTAAAAAGTTTAACTTTTGCCACTGTGTGGATTAATACTGAATGTGTGTCATTGTTATTACTCTGGGTTAGGGTTAAGAGTAGACTAAAACTCTGGGTGTTTAACTGCATTGCTTTATTGCACTCCTGCATTGGGCTCTCACATACTTTCTGCTACTTCATACTGTAGCCGTGGTGAGCATTTCTCTCTGTCTCCTGGGGAACGCAGTCGACCAATCGCAACAGACTGGGTCATCGGACCAATCGCTGAACAATTAATTTGGGAGTCGCTAGGATAATAAGGTAAAAATATATGCATTTTATAAGACAATAAAGGTGTTTTTTGACCTTGCATGCATATCAGCCTGTTGTTGGAGAACCCTAAAACCAAATTATGAATTTTTTTAATGCAAAATAGGGGCTCTTTGTTTAGATTGTACCACCTTGCTGTGATTCACAATAAACACAAGCACACGCAGCTCTAATAACTTCATATTTGAATCTGGTTAGCAGTCTAGTTTGAAGCACTAAATTAGTTAGAGATCAAGGGGAAGTGTCATGTTGATTTCAAACATATAGGCTGTTTCTCAAAACCAAGAATGCAGAAAATAGACTTGTGTTCTTTCAATTAAATTAATCTTTGTTTCTATAGCGCTTTTACAATGTAGATTCTGTCAAAGCATCTTCACATAGAAGATTATAGTAAACTCCAGTGTTCAGAGTTAAAGTTCAGTTTTGTTCAGTGTGTTTTAATATTCACTAGACAGGTCCTGAACCATGCAAGCCAGTGGCGACAGCGGCGAGGAAAAAACGTCACCAATTGGCAAAAGTGAAAAATTAAAGAACCTAGAGAGAAACCAGGCTCCGTTGGGCACGACTATTTCTCCAATGGCCAGACTGGTCTTACCTCAAAAGTATGAACTTGGAAGATCACAAGAACACAGAATGCATCCTTTGACATATGAGATGCTACTATCTTCCTGTTACTTGCATGACCTTTGCACGTTTTAATGGAAAATTATTTACACATTACTGCATTCATACAATGATGTTTTGCTTTTTTCGCTTTTCAGTGTATATAACATGCACACAAGCATTTACAGACTATACATTTCACAATGCAAAGAGAACAGATTTCGCCTTTTGCATGGTATGCTTTGAAGCTGCATGGAAATCGCACAGCCCTGCCTAACATGGGCATACATGAGTGTGGCAAAAGACAACAAAGGGATGAACAGAAACAATAAAAAAACACACAGGGCAACCGGGTCCACCTCTGTCCACTCAGGTAAAATGGAAGTAAATAGCCACAATTGCTACAAAGCACAGAGATAATTTGCCAGTCCTCAATAAAAAATCCAGATATATTTCAAACCATATTTCACACTACACAATTACCAGTAAAAACAAAAAAAAATCAAATTAATCCTTAAGCAAACCATAGTCACCTTTAACAAACTCAAAACTATATAATAACACATACACATATTGCCTGACACGCAACAAAAATACCCACACTAAAGTATATATATAATATATAATAACAACAAAGCATTGTACAGCAAATAAAACCATGCCATGGGACCAGCAGAAAAAAGGGAGGAAAAATATGACAAATAAATGTCCTTGAAGACGTTATTTATTTAAGGCTTTCTAATTATTTTCTGTTTCTGGATAGTTCAGATGCAAAAGCTTCTATTTTTCTCAGTCTTCTTTATGTTCAGTTCATTTTAAATTAATGAAAATGATTTGTCCAGATGAAATTACTCAACCTACATACAGGAGCCTGAGAACAATACCCATTTTAGAAGAACATTTCTGATGCCACTTAAAGCCTTTTGCATTTGAACTATTCATATGTTTTCAAAATCAGAGCTCTGTGACAGTAAATAAAATATTAACTCACCTGTGGCCAGAGATTATGCCTTGCTGCGTCTTTTGTTTGTTCTAGATGACCCCCAGGATTGTTAGTAGAATGTGGTATATTGAATGCAGAATCTCTTGATGTACCGCAGTCAAGCAAACAGACACAGTGCTCTACTATGACATACTGTTGGTTAATGGAGGAAGCACACAATCCTTTATGGGGAGTACAACACAATCTTCACCCAATCTGATTTGCATACTCAAAACATAACACTAAGTAGAGCATTCAAAGCTTTACCATAAGTGGTTTGGTCTAAGAGGATAGATGTGTGCAGGAAGCAGATGCTTTAGCGAACAGGAAATAACGTGAAGACAAAAGTGAGGTGTTCCCTTCAGCTGTATTTTCATGAGGGGGTCATTTCAGACAAAATCATACAGGTCTAAATGCATCTAGTTTATGAAATTATATTTGTAAAATTTTCTCTTGCCAAAAAGTAAAAAAAATAAAATAAATAAGCTTGTGAGAGTCTGTGATGGAAATAGCAGTGTTATAAACAGTATAAAAAAATATTATATATATGTTATAAACAGTATTTTCAGTATAACAAATGTTATATAAACTGTTTCCCCTGTTGCAATGACTGTACCATTAATGACAGTAAAATGCAGCGTTATATAAAAAAAATATACAATTTTTGACAAAGTTTTGATTCTGCATTTCAGAAGCCCTTTCAGAAAAAAAATGTCCTTTTCATGGATACAAAGCTACTCAGGTCTTTCAGAAAGAAGTTCAGGTTGATGCAAAGTTTGCGGATGACATCTCTGTCAGCAGTAGATCAGTGCTTTATGTGTGCGCACGAGTGACATATCTGTTTACTTAAAGAGACTGCACAGAAATTCTAATTAAAATTTGTTGACAGACAAGTTTGAGATGCCTGTCGTAATTGAGTTATTTGTCGGTCCAACAATATTTAATTGGATGAATATTTTTTTAGTTTTATGCCTTATCCAGAATATTAAAAAAACATAAATACATTTCTATCATTTCCTTTAATCAGTACTATTGGAATGTGAAAAGACTTTCAACCAGCACAACAAAAAAACATTTCTGAAGACATTCACCTACTGCACCTTTAACTTAGCTGCTTTAGAAGAGACCTTTCACTTTCTTACAATTTTATATGTTTTTGTAAAAGAATGTAAAATGTGACTGATCACAATCAGATTAATTTTTCAACTTATTTACTTTTTCTGGATTTTAAGTTGCCTTTTGGCAGGTAACTATATTGCCATAGGGCTAAGAGCTCTTTCAAAGGGAGCAATTGTTGCTGTAATCTTTCAGGCAAGTTTGCTAAATTTTGAATCAGGAACCCCAAACCAGGATAAATTTTTGCATTCAGTATTTCAATTCCTCTTTTATTTCTTTATAAAGAAGCTGATCTTGCAGTACTTTCAGTTTCTGAGGTTTTTTAAAAGAACCACCAAGTGATTTCTTTGCCTAAGCGGGATTAGCTAAAGCTAAACATAACTATTTTAGACATTATTTTAACCATTTTAAACGATAAGCTACAACAACAACAAAAAAAAAAAATTAAGCTTTTTCTTGCTATATACAGTTGAGGTTTATTATTAGCAGGGGTGTCCAAACTTTTTGGGCTGAGGGCCAGATGCAAAAAAAAAAAAGTTGTCCCGGGCCATATATTATATACATTACACAGACACACGTGCATCCATATATATATATATATATATATATATATATATATATATATATATATATATATATATATATATATGTGTGTGTGTGTGTGTATG